GTGGTCCTTTAACTAAACCTTCCAAAATGAACCATTATCTCAATTACATCTCTATTAAATTTAATATCTGTTAGATATGGGAATATATAAAAAATTTAGATTGTGGGAAAGGATAAGAAGAAACAGTAAAATGGCAAATGGAGATTGGAAAATATCATTAATGGAACACTCCCACCGCATAACGACTTAAAGGGACACTATAGTGCAAAGAAACGACCCTCCACCCTCCCCCTTCTCCCCCAAACTCTGCTGTGGTAAATAAAGGGATAAAAACCCTTTATTTACTTACTTGATCCCAGCACAGATGTCCCTCTGCTTTTGCTAGCCCAGCACTGTGGGTCTTTGTGCTTTCAAGCCTGGGATGTTTTCTACCGGACTGCAGTATCTGGGGACAATTAAACTCCCAGGTTGAGATGAATAATGTCTCTGGAGGTTTTTGCAAATTGTTGCTTCAATTAGACGATGCAGACAGCAGTAACAAGTACCTTTAGACACTTTCTCCTCCAAAATGGAGGTAAGCAGAAGCTGCAAGAGTAGGGTACTATATTTTGTGATTAATAGTATCTGTTTGTATGACGGTGTAGAAAACGAAAAAAATCTACAATACAATAATAACAAAGAGAAACATAGTGCAATAATGTTGCAACAATTTTGAGGTGGAAAGTAAATGTAATAATTGCACTAACAAACCAAAATTGATAATAGGCATATCATCAATATAGTAGAAACCTCAAGACTTGCGGGACATCGTGGCAAATATGAAGGAGAAAAGGAAAATAATAATAGTGCAGAGTATCTCAATCAGAATAATCACTTTTAATGTAAAAACACACTTACAAAATGGAAGTAAAAAACAGGCACATCATATAGAGTTGATTCAATCACAGGATCTCAGTGGGCTGGAACACCGGAGAGAACAGCATTAAAAAAAAATAAAAAAATAAAAAAAAAATAAAAAAATAGTAAATGAAAAATAAATACAAACAAATAAAATAAAAATCTGCACTAATACAAATAGGCCTACGCGTTTCGTTCAACTAATTGAACTTCCTCAGGGGAAAGTAAAGCTCCTTCTAGCCATAGATGTCCACACAGTCTCAATCTTCTTTTAAACTCTTCCAATTTCTCCAATTTTGGCGCGCAAGGTGGCCGAACCTATCAGCAACGTACTTCCGGGCTCATTGTTGTTAATACTTCCGGATACAGCCATATTCCCGGAAATGCAGTTCAAGCCTCTCTTTCAAAATGAAACCGGGCATGATGACGTATGGGCTTGCATTTCATTCGGCGACTTGCGTTCCATCACTCATAATGAGTGCGGAGAAAATCATAAAAATACAAGGCATTTTAAAACATGTCAAATAAATATCCCAAATGTTGGGCAATCACAAAAAATCCTATTAACAATCCTTCATTTGTATGACGGTGTGTCTAGTTATGCATGCATATAGTGGTTAATTATGTTGGCTTGTGAATGAAACTATTTAGGGGTGTGGTGTCTGTCACTAAGGGGTGTGGTGTCTGTCACTAAGAGAAGCAGTGTATGGCTAGTTAGGTGTTTGTCTGGGCTAATTTAGCTGTTTTTGTCTACCATTGGTGGATCCACAACCTAATCTCAGGAGGGGCACTGATATATTGTTTAAAAGAACACTATAGTGTCAGGAATGTAAATGTGTATTCCTGACACTATAGGTATAAAATACCATTTAGTCCCCTGGCCCCCGTTGACAGCTCCACCCCACCCAGTGAAAAGGGTTGAGTACTCAACTTTTTCCATCTCCTTGCGGGTCCGCCCACACTCTGCTTCCTTGGCTGATGATTCCTCATCAATTCTGCGCTCTGCGCCAATCAACATCTCCTCATAGAGATGCATTAAAACAATATGAGAAATTTTCAGCACCTCCATGCAGGACAAAGAGACGCTGAAAGTCAGAACTGCACACTCTGTAGCACTGACAAAGGAAGCACCTATATTGGCCATCTGAGTGAGAAAAGTGCTGCAAAAATGAAATGGATTACTGCAAAAATTTTTATGTATTATTGTTTGCAGATAGAAAGGATCAGTCATGCTTCCTTGGGGGGGTTGCAAAATGTATTTATTTTTTGGCATTTATTAGCATCAGAAATGCTTGTTCTGGTCCAAGATATGAGATTTTTTTAAATAAAACAAATAATATAAAACAAATATTCAAATGATTCAAAGTCTAAATAAAGACAAATGATTCAAAGTTTAAATAAAACGTAAAGGGGCACTATAGGCACCCAGACCACTTAATCTCAATGCCACAAGAGTCGCTTCCTCCGAAATAGCATAGTAACATGCGTTTTGCTATGCATACACACTAAACGTGTTTTGCCTCACATGTGCACTAGCCTCACAATGTTTTCCTGTGGGAAAGCATTGGATTGGATGACCTAATTGATTTGTATTTCTAACACTATAGTTTTTTTAAGGGGTACAATACTAAATTCCAATTAACAATAAAAAGAACTGTCAGGTTAAAGTGTGAGGGATACATGCATCTTTACGATTACTATTATTCTTACACATTCTTATTAAAATTATTCTCAATGTTACTTCCAGGGCCATTGTATATATTTCTTCTTCTTAAAATAGTCACAACAAAACATCAAGTTTAAAATTTTATAATGACATTAAAAATTATACTGGTACTCTCGTTTACAGATAAAGTAAGATACTTAGATATCACCAGGACATTGAGAAGAATTCAACATGTCAATATAACTATTAACTCAACTGGTCGTACAAATACCACCTTCTTTTAAAAAGAAAAAAATAATAATATTAAAACAGTCAAACAAAACAAAACAACTCAAAATAACATACAAGTTACAATTGTATCTATATGTTAAAGCACAAGTAAGAATCTCCTTTCTCTGGGTGTAAGTAAATTAGTGCAGCAGAAGGTGACGTATTCGAGCTCCTACAAAACTGAGTGGTAGGTGCATTATTAATTTAATTTGCATATTCGGGTAGATTTGCATATTGCTAATTCTGCAGGCACGTGAGATATTTTCTGTTAAATATTGTCTCCCCCACCCCTTTAAAAATATACCATTGTGTTATAATAAGTCACTGTATGTTGCCTGCTATGAATTGGCCGTTTGTAATTTTATTGAGTTTTCACAGCATTGTTAATGTAATGACCATATGGGTTAGTCCCAAGTAAAATAAAGGTTTAGACAGTTCTTCTTGATCCCTCTAAACGTAGCCTTGTCTCGTTATTGGAGGGAGCTGTTATAATCACACAGGGATTGCCATGCTCTGCATACTCCCCTGAGCTTGAATCGCTTAGCTCTTTTAAGAGCTTGTTCCTGACACGCTCTCCTTGGAGGAGAGGTCTTCCCCACACAGTCCTTGATGCTGGAGGTTCATACAGGGTAGATGGAAGAGGTCTTTCCCACACGGTCCTGGAGGACAGAAGCTGATCCAGTGTGGACGGAAGATGGCGAGGCTCCAGTTAAGCTATGGCGGTTGTGGAGTCTGCGGTGGTTGTGGTCCTCGGCGCAAGCTAGGAAGCATCCATCAATGGAGGGTACTCGTTCTGAGTACGGAGAGCTCCGTTACAGAGAGGTACCAGTCTCTGGATTTGATCGTCAAGGACCACTCCAGACCTCGCTGAATGAGGAGGGCTTGCATAGGCTGCAGACAAGATCTGCATATTTTGCACGCAGCTTTTAGAATATACCCCAGTGAAAAAATGCATATGTAAATGAGTGCATTTTTTAATTGGAAGTATATCTACTAAATATGGAAACATTTATTTATTTTGTATTTTGGCAGTGGAGTGTCCTTTTATTTGTATGGTGGCCAGAATTGGAAAAATCAGTTTGTTTGATGATGGAAAGATTACTCTATCCAATCCATAAAGAAAACTAATTATACTTTTGCCTAGAGTAGGTTCAGCTAAGGCAGAGCAGGATGGGTCCACTGGTAGAGCACGCATTTTAGTCTGCCACTAGAACAATTTAAATGAGTTTGGCATGGTTATAGAGATAAATCGGAAAAAAAAAGGTCTGGAGCTGGTACTTTAATGATGCAAGTACCATTCACTCCTGTTTTCAAGATTTTCCCCACACCCCACACAGACACAAGTTAATTCCCTAAACATCAAATTAAATCTGATTTGTAATGTATTCTAAAATAGCCAAACTGTGACTATAGCTAAGCTTGAAAAATGTCCCAATCAGCAATTGCAGTTTAACTTATGCAAGTTCTATTTAATATGCTATAATTTTGAGTTTAGTGACTAACCCTTTAAATCTCTCCTATCCTTAAACATCCTTATCTGAATTCTAACCGCAAGTCCCTTAATCCAACAATGCCAAAAAAAAAACTTACACATACCCCATAACTCTAATTCTAAACTTCCTTAATCCTAACCCTATTTTAGTTTTAAACACTCACATTTTTAACGGTGATATAAGCAGACTGTGTTCCTTCACCAAAGCTCAAGTGATGTTCATCATTTAAAGCATAATTTATTATTCAGTAACACCCTTAGCCTGAATCACATTTATGCAGAGAGATGTAGAAAATATGACAAAAGGATAATTATCTTGCCTAAATGTGCATGCTCTATCATCAAAAAACAACTATTTACTAATATTAATTAATTTTATTTTGGGGGGTAATTCTGCTGAATGCTCCAGTAGAAGAAGAAGAAAATAGAAAATTATTGGGTCATTAAAAAAATAAAATAATTAATTGTCCTTAAAAATCTATAGAATTTGCTCAACATTTGACGATTGGTCCTTGATTTGTTTGCAAAATAATTATCAAACTGTAAATTACAAGCTTGGAAAGTACATAAGAAATCATCAATAAAAAAAATTGTATCCACCCAGCTCATTAGCAACAGCTATTAAAATTCTAGGAGAGGCAGTATCCGTAATCCCATATAAATATTGGCTGTGAGAGCGTACAAGTCTCACCGGGTTTGATCAGATGCGTTGATACTTCAAAGCAGAGAGACAACATGGCAAGTAAGTAAGAAAATGGGCATGTGGAATTGTTAAAGACCAGATTAAGAGAACTTGCATGGTTATACATTAAAGCATGACTTGTCAAGAATTCAAAGTGAATTGAAAGTAAATTTCACATTTTTGTCCAAAAAAGCCAAAACAAAAATAGAAGTTTGGAGATTGTTTTTTTTTTTTACTACTCAGTTATATCGAACTAAAATTAAATAATCCTGTTTGACCCTTTCAGGGTTATACACTAAAGAAAGAATTGCCAAGAATTCATAGCGAATTTTAAAATAATAGGTAAAAATAGCCGAACTGCAGACATAACATAGACTTGTAAGCTTGTTTGAGCATCTTTAACCTATTGTTTCTGTAAGTGTTTGTAATTGTCTCATTTATTGTTATATCTCCCCCTTTGAAAATATTGTAAAGCGCTACAGAATATGCTGGCACTATATAAATACCAGTAGTAATACTAATAATAACAGACTTGGAGAATTTCAAATTCGGCTATTTTGGTTTTAAATTTGCTTTGATTTTCAGACAATGACCACTGTAAAGTAATTCATTTTAAATCGCTCAGGGTTATTTTACTAAAGTGATTATTGATGTGAGTTCAAAGTGAATTCAAAGATAATTTCAAAATGTAGCCTCAATAAAGAAATTAGAAAAATTCTCCAACACGATTGTGTTTTCACTTTGACCATTTCGGCCTTAAATTTGAAATTCACTTTGATTTGCCAGCACTCCTTACTTAAGTGAATAACCCTGTGTATGTTACTGCAATATAGAAAATTATAGCCGTGAAAACCCATCATAAAAAAGAGATAATGCATAATGTTTTTTTTTTTAATTTTTGTCAGCTTGTAGTATATAATGTAAGTCTAAAAAGTAAAAAAAAAAAAAAAAATCGGTTTTAATTAAAGGTAATTGTTCATGCTATATTTTTGTTCTGCACGAACTTGCCTTGAAAAGATTAAAAATATAAAATATATCTATAATTTTTTAATATGCGTTAATGTCTGTAAGTATATAGTCTTAATGTTTCTGTGTTGAAAGAAACTACAATCAAACATACAATGTAACTAGCAAAGGCAAGCTTACGGCAGCCAATCATTCTTTGAGACTCGACATTCAGGAAGTTATAAATTCAATGACTCATTGAAACATCTAGTCTGTATAAATCCTTAAATACTTTACAACAAAGATATGTCACTCATCTAAAATCATGAAAGGATTATGGAGTTTGGGAGATGTCCCATAATGATGCCAAATGGATTGTGGTTTTTGAAGTACTTGATTAAGAGGAATACACGGGATTAAGAGGACACTAGAGTATCGCAGTTTGATAACAATTTAGAAAATTGGGCAGACTATATGGGCCGAATGGTTCTTATCTGCCGTCACATTCTATGCTTCTATGAGCTCTGCTTTTTTCAGAGGTAAACTGCAAGCTTGACAATCTTGCCTCTGATGAAATGAGGTTTGAGCGCATCTTGGATTCACTATAATAAAACACATACAGGGTGAATTGTCAAGAATTAAAAGTTAATTACGAATGTTAGGTCAAAACATCTGAAGCGGAGAGACTCTCTAATAAGACAGCTTCTGAAATTCACTTTGGATGCACTTTAAATTCTCAACAATTCACATTTTAGTTCATTGAAACTGAGAGTGGTTATTCTTGAAAATAAAATGATTTTTACGTCACTATAAACAAAAATATAAAAATATTTGAAAAATATTAAATTATTTGAAAAGCTTATGCAAGAATATTAAATTGAGGGCTGTATTTGTACAAAACAGACTCCTCTATATGTTTTCTTTATTCTTTCTTCCTTTTCTTAATTTCTCTTATTCCATCTTCATCTCTTTATAGTGTTTCATCAACGTTTAATATTTTATATAGACAGTGAAATTTTTACACATACATAACAATTCCTAACTATGAGGACCACTGTTAGATATATTATGCATTTAACATTTTTGTTATATGTTATTAAAAATTGTCTTATGTTAGCTTTATATATAAAATATATTCTGTAGTTTTCATAGATTGCAGATCTTAGACTTGAAGAAAGACAAGCTTATATATATATTATATTTTGGAATATACTATTGTGGCTGCATATTGCTGTTGTATGTTTTATTTTGATAATATGCAGTATTGTTATATTATTATACTTTTTTTTAATGTGACAACACATTTTGCAGCACTGTAGATGGGTACAATTGGTACAAGTAAAAATGCAAAGGTACAGTACATCTGAGAAAATACATAAGTTGACAAACAAACAGAAATTCAGGGTCCTTTTCCAATGGGAATTTACAGTCTAGATGCATAGGATGGGTGAGATGGGGACTGCAAAGGTGGAAATTATATTAATACAGATGAGATGATGGTATTTATTGGATATGTAGTGAAATGTGTTAGTGAGTTGAGTGTTAAGGAGCGCTTAAACTAGGGGAAAGTGTGACAGTGCAGGAAAGTGAGTAATATAAAATCTTAAAATGTCTTAATAAAGGCAATGTTTCATACAGAATCGTCTTCATCAAGCCTTTGCCAAGTTACTCGGGGAAGATACGTTGAATAGAATTGCCTTCTATTTCTTTGGTTTGTTGGAATAAAGTAAACTTTTAAAATTGTGAAGTCTTAGAATCCTAATAAATGTAGTACTATAAAGCTTATAGTAACCTACAAACTTATAAAACCTAAGGTACTGTCTTTCCAAGGTTTCTGTGATGTTGGTATAAACAGGTGTACCAAATGATTTTCAAAATGGAGGTCAGTTAACTACTGTGAAGAAAATGGACTTTTAATTGACATTTTCTTCTTTATTCTGTATTTTTCCTGTGTTACTACCTGTATAGTGAATGTATTAGTTCGTTAGTTTGAAACTACCGAACGCCGACCACCCTCCTGGCTTATTAACTACAAAGGAACCAGCTATTAAGTGCTCCCTGGGCGGCCGCTGTTCGTATAGCCGAACGCCACGTGGAATAGAAAACGGCGGCCATCTTGTTTGCACAAGGGGAGTCAGCGGGACTTGGTCGTCGAGTGTCTGGAACTAAAATCGGAACGCCGGCTTCTTTTATTTCCCGAACAACCAGGGAAGCGCCGTTCGGTAGTTCTATGCGAACGGACAAGGGGAGCAATCGCTGCTATGAGCCAGGGGGATCCATTCGGGACTTTTGTTCGGTTTTTACAGATTTGTGAATTGACCGACCGAACACGCTGAATTCATGGAACTGTTTTGGGCAGGAGCCGCGTGTGTGGTCGGTAAAAGGGACCCTCCACACTTTTTCAGAACCCCTGAACCGATCTGGGTGAAATTTGGATATGTTTGTCCCCCAGATCGGGGCTATCAGGGGATATGTAATGTGTGAGGATACCTTGTGGGGAAAGGGGTGTTCTAAGTTTTGGGGAAATTGTGTGCTCTCTGCCTGGAGATAATTGGTTTATTCCTTAACTTATCTCAATATCTCCCAGGCAGAGAGGAGGTGTGTATTACTGTAAATCTGTAAGTTGATTGGCTGTTGTCTTTGTTTGCTGTGGGAGGTCCTCTTGCAGGTGGATTTCTCATAAAAGCCCATTTGTGTCAATAAAATGAATTCCTGTTACACCCTTCATGAAGTCTAGGCCTTTGGTGGATATTCTACTTGCTGGGAAGAATCACCTTGGAACTGCATTTCATCTCCCTTATTCCTCTACTCCCTGCTGCAGCTATAATCACTCATGCTCAGCTGTTGGGAAAGGGAACAGAAGACCGCAGCACCATAACCACTGCAGGTCTTAACAACTGGTGGCAAGCAACGGGATTGAATGGAATGCATAAGGACAACTGGTGAATGGCCCAGCAGTACAAGAAACTAAAAAGGACTACACTAAAGGATCTGCTGGAAGCTCTGGGAACAAGTGGCCAGCAACAAAAAGAAAGCTACCCTCATAGCGGAATTAATGGAGGGCGACCAAACCAGCAGCATGGCGGATGTCAGCCAGGAGGAAGCTGAATTTCAACAAAAGGTGATGTGGAGGCTAAACTTATATGGGCCAAATCCCACACCTGAGATGGTGACGCAAGTGCTGGCACAAGTGAGCGCAGAGCACAGCAGGCAAGCGTGAACCCAGGAGACGCTTCCCTAGCTGGATCTATAAATGGAGGGCAGCGGAGAAAGATTAACTATGCTGCTTTTAAAAGTTTCTCAGATGGAGATATGGAAATTGACACATATCTGCAGGATTTTGAGTGTCAATGCGCGTTGGAGTGTCTGGAATCGGAGCAATGGGCCGCGATTTTAAGCAGTAAGCTTACTGGCCGAGCAACAGAGACGTACCGAGCAGTTCCTGCCACAGCCATACACGACTACGCCAGGGTAAAAGACATTCTGCTAGCCAGGTATGCCGTGACACCAGAGACTTACAGGAAAAAGTTTCGGCATTACGGAAAGGGGGCCGAAACTCCTACACCGAGTGGGCCTTTAGAATGTATCGGGCAGCCCAAAACTGGATATAAGGCTGCCAGGCCACAACGCTAGAGGAGGTGCTGCAACTCCTCTTGCTGGAACAATTTTTTGACCACACACCTGCAGATACCAGGGACTGGGTCAGAGAAGTGGCTAAGCTAGCAGATGAGCATCATGAAGGAAGAAAAGGAGAAGCGGGTGGGAACCGTCCTCTGGTAAGGTACAGCTCCCCAACGGCAGGTCCTGTGGCCAACCCTAGACCAAACCAGGTACCACCCACGACGCAGCCTAATTTTAATAGAAGAACCCCTGTAGTATGTCACCAGTGCAATCAGCCAAGGCACTACAAAATACATTGCCCTCAGCGAAGCAGAGGCAACTGGGAGCGGCCCCCACCACCACCAAGGGCCGCCACTCACCACTACCAGCATGAACCCCTGGAAGAGCACAGCCTAGATGTGGAGCAGTGGGCCGTACTACATGAGGTGAACCTAGCCCATGCCAAGGGAGACAACAGGGTGCACCACAGACAATGGGTCACCATAGACGGAAAAGAGGCAGATGCGCTACGAGACTCTAGGGCTACCCTTACCTTGGTACAACCTCACACCGTGTCTGCAAAGGCGCGCACCCATAAGACTGTAGCCGTAAGAGTGGCAGGGGGCACCATCCACATGTTACCCACCGCCCGGGTACAGTTAAACTGGGGCACCGGAGCCAAGCAGATGGAGGTGGACATCATGTCGGGACTACCTGCGGAAGTTTTGTTGGGGATCGATTTGGGGTGTCTAACTTCACAGCTGACTCACCCCGATCCCGCTGGAACCTGCCCCGTGACTACCAGGACACAAGCCCACCGGGCTGGACCGACACACTCCGAGGAACCACAGGTAGGAACCGAAACCCCCGTAACCTGCCCTAACCCTATTCCCTTCTGGGGCACTCCCCAAGATTTTGGCCAAGCCCAGCAGTCATATCCCACCTTAGCGGGGTACAGGAAGGCAGTAGGGATCTCTAAGGAAGGTAATGTCCACGAGAACTTCCACTGGGACAAGGGACTGCTATATAGGGTCACAGGGGGAGTGGGACAGGGGGCAGCCCAAGTTATAAAAAGGCAGTCAGTCGTACCTCGTAAATACCAGGCGGAGCTGCTAAAGCTCAGCCATGATATCCCGCTAGCAGGGCATCTGGGTATCAAGAAAACTAAGGACCGCCTTACCCAGACGTTCTTCTGGCCGGGGATCTCCAAAGATCTGCAGACCTACTGCAGGACATGTGACACATGTCAAAGGATAGGGAAAAGGGCGGACCACCCTAAGGCCAAGTTATGGTCCCTACCGATAATAGAGGAACCATTCTACAGAGTGGCAGTAGATCTGATATGGCCTCTCAGCAAACCCAGCTCCTCCAGTAAGTGCTACATCCTCACAGTGGTGGACTACGCCACCAGGTACCCTGAGGCTGTAGCGCTCTCCAACATTGAGGCAGAGACAGTAAGAGAGGCTCTAGTCAGGATCTTTTCCCGGGTAGGGTTTCCCCGAGAAATAATCTCAGATCAGGGAACCCAGTTCACGGCAACTGTAACGCAACAGTTGTGGCAGAGCTGCGGGGTGAAGCCGTTATTTAGCTCCCCTTACCACCCCCAGACTAACGGTCTCTGCAAACGCTTCAACGGCACACTTAAGCAAATGCTCACGGCGTTCACAGAGTCCTATGGTCAATGGGAGAAGTTTTTACCTCATCTCCTATTTGCCTACCGAGAAGTGCCTCAGGCGTCCACTGGGTTCTCCCCCTTCGAACTCCTATACGGGAGAAAAGTCCGGGGACCCCTGGACCTCATACGGGAGCACTGGGAGGGCAACACAGGAGAGGAGGGGATCCCGGTTTTGCCATACATGCTGGAGTTCTGGGACCGCTTGCAGGCCCTGACCGAATCAGTTCGGGAGAACCTGCAGGCGGCCCAGAAATGTCAGAAACAATGGTATGATCGGGGAGCCCGAGACAGGAACCTGGAGGTAGGGCAAAAAGTACTAGCCCTCAGACCTTCCAAAAAGGATAAGCTCCAGGCAGCTTGGCAGGGGCTATTTAAAGTGGTAGAACGAATTAGCGACACCACCTACATTGTGGCTAAATGTTCCAATGAAAGGGTCATACGAGCCTTTCATGTGAACATGTTGAAGCCGTACTTCGAACGCTCCGAGGACGTGGCCGCCATCTGTGCCCCATCTTCTGATGATAGTGAAGGGCTCCCCTTGCCCGACCTGCTGGCAGCTAACCAAGGTACCTTAGAACAGGTCGGGTTAGGAGAGAAATTAGACACTGCCCAGCAGGCAGACGCAAAACAACTGCTGTGGGAATACAGTGAGCTTTTCTCAGTCCTACCCAGGTACACCTCCACCGCAGTGCACCGGGTGGAGACGCAGGGGGAGACCCCCTTACGTTAGCAGCAGTACCGTATTCCGACAGCAGTGCGGACTAGCATGTGGAAGGAAATTCAAGAGATGTTAGAACTAGGGGTTATTGAGGCTTCCCAAAGTCCCTGGGCGTCTCCGGTGGTTTTAGTACCGAAGCGAGACGGTACGACTCGCTTCTGTATTGATTACCAGAAATTGAACGACCGGACTATCACGGACGCCTACCCAATGCCGCGGATCGACGAACTGCTCGATCGCATGGCCAGCGGGCACTTCCTAACTACCCTAGACTTGTGCAAAGGATACTGGCAAATCCCGCTAGATCTGGTCGACATCCCTAGGTCGGTATTCGTCACCCCATTCGGGCTATACCAATTTCAGGTTATGCCGTTTGGGATGAAGAATGCCCCAGCTACGTTTCAAAGAATGGCGGACCGACTTCTGGAGGGAATGTAGGACTTCGCATATGCCTATCTAGATGATATTGCCATCTATAGCAGCATATGGGAGTCACACCTGTCGCACTTAGCTATGGTATTTGGGAAGTTACAGGAAGCTGGCCTCACCCTGAAACCTGAGAAATGCCATGTGGGCATGGCCGAGGGTATAGAGTAGGGTCTGGGAAACTGTGCCCCAAACCCGCTAAAGTAGAGGCCATAGCTAATTGGCCCCAGCCCCACACCAAGATGCAGGTATTGGCCTTCCTAGGTAGCGCAGAGTATTAAAGAATGTTCGTCCCTGAGTATAGCACCCTAGCCAAACCCTTTACCAACATGACCAAAAAGTCCCTACCTAAGCAGGTAGCGTAGTCCCCGGAGTGTGCAACAGCGTTCCAGAGACTTAAAACGGCTTTGAGCGGAGCTCCAGTACTGGCGACCCCAGACCCTAACAAAACATTTCTCGTCCATACAGATGCCTCCATGTTTGGGCTGGGAGCCGTGCTGAGCCAGATGGGGGAAGACGGCATAGAGCACCCGGTGGCATATCTCAGTCGCAAGTTGCTACCTAGGGAGGTCAGCTATGCCACCGTGGAAAAAGAATGCCTGGCGCTAGTATGGGCATTAAAGAAACTTCAACCGTATGTTTATGGCCGTGCTTTTACCCTACTGACTGACCACAACCCCCTCATTTGGCTCAACCGAGTCTCTGGAGACAATCCCCGGTTGCTACGCTGGAGTTTGGAGTTGCAACCTTACAATTTTACGCTGCAATATCGTCCGGGCAAGCAGAATGGCAATGCGGATGGGCTTTCCCGTCAAACGGACTTGGATGTTTAATTATGTTACCTGGACATCCCCTAGCCAACCCGTCAGGGTCTAGGTGGGTATGCCGAACCATGGAACTAAGGGGGTATTGTGAAGAAAATTGACTTTTAATTGACATTTTCTTCTTTATTCTGTATTTTTCCTGTGTTACTACCTGTATAGTGAATGTATTAGTTCGTTAGTTTGAAACTACCGAACACTGACCACCCTCCTGACTTATTAACTACAAAGGAACCAGCTATTAAGTGCTCCCTGGGCGGCCGCTGTTCGTATAGCCGAACGCCACGTGGAATAGAAAACGGCGGCCATCTTGTTCGCACGAGGGGAGTCAGCGGGACTTGGTCGTAGAGTGTCTGTAACTAAAATCGGACACTCGACCTCGCGAACTACCGCTGAAACTACCGTACGCCGGCTTCTTGTATTTCCTGAACAACCAGGGAAGCGCCGTTCGGTAGTTCTATGCGAACGGACAAGGGGAGCAATCTCTGCTATGAGCCAGGGGGATCCATTCGGGACTTTTGTTCGGTTTTTACAGATTTGTGAATTGACCGACTGCACACGCTGAATTCATGGAACTGTTTTGGGCAGGAGCCGCGTGTGTGGTCGGTAAAAGGGTCCCTCCACACTTTTCAGAACCCCTGAACCGATCTGGGTGAAATTTGGACATGTTTGTCCCCCAGATCGGGGCTATCAGGAGATATGTAGTGTGTGGGGATACCTTGTGGGGGAAGGGGTGTTCTAAGTTTGGGGGAAATTGTGTGCTCTCTGCCTGGAGATAATTGGTTTATTCCTTAACTTATCTCAATATCTCCCAGGCAGAGAGGAGGTGTGTATTACTGTAAATCTGTACGTTGATTGGCTGTTGTCTTTGTTTGCTGTGGGAGGTCCTCTTGCAGGAAGATTTCTCATAAAAGCCCATTTGTGTCAATAAAATGAATTCCTGTTACACCCTTCATGAAGTCTAGGCTCATGTTTGGGGGATATTCTACTTGCTGGGAAGAATCACCTTGGAACTGCATTTCATCTCCCTTATTCCTCTTCTCCCTGCTGCAGCTATAATCACTCATGCTCAGCTGTTGGGAAAGGGAAGAGCAGCACCATAACCACTGCAGGTCTTTAACAACTACATTGGGAAAAATATGAGTTGGATTTGACCATTTTGGCCAGCATTAGGAGTGTCATTTTTTTTTTTCAATCATTGCATATTATTACTTAGTGAACAAATATTTACAGGGTAATTGATTGAAATGTGCATTTCGTGCAAAACAGCCTTACGTTAGAGAACTGTGAATGCAGAGTAATAGATAAGAATTAGAATATATACATCGGTGCTCCATGCTCAACTTGATATGTCCACAATATGCAAAATAAAACATTACAAAAAAGATATGCACATTTGGCATTCCTGCATTCTTTGCAACTTTTGGAATACATTCTTACCAAGCCAGGAAACTATTCTTTAAGTCATAATCATTTAACTTTTCATAGAACTGCTGAGATTACCTTGTGAGCTGTGTTCTATTGTCAAAGCAGGGGTTCCCCAGTGTAGTACAATTGAGCAGAAGTATTTCTGAAGCAAAAAGAGAAACACTGCAGGTTAGTAGGGTAGGTCAGAAACGGTAAGCTTATAGTAAAAATTAAATTATTGGTAATAACAAATACATTAATAATGAAGTGTATTAATAAAAAAATAAAACACCAGGTATATCCAACTGGAATATATAATTAAAATTGTAATGTAAACTGTAATGATAGCCCAAAAGATTTATACAGTCTCACACAGAACCTAACATCGGATATGTGAAACCGCACTAATATTAAATTACAAAGGATCTGCCCTTCAAATAAATCAAATGGTTAATTTCCAAAGATACAAAACACTACTAAATGATATTGATGGTTATTATAATGTGACGGAGCCAGGGCCGTCTTTAATAACGAATGGACCCTGGGCAAGTGTTTGCTTGGGCCCCCTGTGCCCTGCCGCTCTCGCCCCTCACTCCCTGGTATGCAATCACGGCATCCATCCCAATGCAGTGGCGGTACTAAAGTAGAATGAATTTTATTGGGACCCCCAATTGCAAGGTTGGACTAAAGGTAGAACCCCATCTGTCGTGCAACTCCAACAATGCTTTGACAGCTGGGACTCTACCAATTTCCCATGCTTGCAGGGTTGTATTTAGCACTGAGCCATGTTAGTATGTTTGAATGTAAGCATGTGTTTGTATGGAGTATGTTTGTGTGAATGTGTTTGTATGTGGTACTGGAGTTTGAATGCAAGTGTGCATTTATGTGTAGTGTTTGTTTTTGAATGTAGGAGTGTGCTTGTATGTAGTGTTGACGTTTCAATGCAGGAGTGTGTTTTATATGTAGTGTTGAAGTTTGAATGGAGGGGTGTATTTGTATTTAAAGTTGCGGCTCAGATGCACAGGTACACACTCTGACGCACAAGCAGATACACAGATACATACACTGACTACATACAGATAAACAGGCACATACACTGACAGACACACTGACACAGGTACATATATTGACACACACACAGACACATACACTGGTAGACGTACTGACAGACATACTGACACAGGCACATATACAGACATACTGACACACAGACACATACACTGATCAACATACTGACACACATACACTGACAGAAATACTGACACCCACACACTGACAGATATACTGACACACACACACAGGCACATACACTGAGACACACAGACTGATATACTGACACACACACACACAGACATACTGGCACACAGACAGATATACTGACACATGCATACACATGCACTAACAGACATACTGACGCACTGACAGACATACTGACACATACACATACTGACACACACAGATATACACACACATATATACTGACACACAGACAGACAGACATACTGACACACACACACAGACATACTGACACACACACAGACATGCTGACACACACACACATACACTAACACACACACTAACACACACATACACTAACACACATACACACACACTAACACACATACACAAACACACACTAACACACAAACACACACACTAACACACACATACACTAACACACAAACACTAACACACACATACACTAACACACACACACACACACACACACTAACACACAAACACATACACTAACACACACATACACACAAACAATTTTTTTTTTTTAAATGTAATCCCCCCAGCCTCCTTACCTTTTGGAGTGCTGGGGGGATTCCCTGGGGTCCAGTGGTGCTGCTGGGCTCCTGGGTGGGTGGCCGGTCGGGCAGGAAGGCGGGCGCGCGAGGGAGCACTCACTGATTCCTCTTCAGCTCCCTTGTGCGCCGCGTAGGGATGCCGGCGCCGGAAGATGACGTCATCTTCCGGCTCCGGCATCAGTGCGGTGCGCGAGGGAGCTAAAGAGGAAGCAGTGAGTGCTCCCTCGCGCGCGCGCCTTCCTGCCCGACCGGCCACCCACCCGCCGGGGTCAGCGGGGCCCACGGGGCAGGTGCCTCGGGCCCCCCAAGAGAAACTGGGCCCGGGGCAGCTGCCCCGTTTGCCCCGCGTTAAAGACGGCCCTGGACGGAGCTCCTATACTGTGACTGAATACCACCGCTAGTTTAGCTTTTTCGCTGCTACCAGGGACTCTGAAGTGCTTCAGACCCAGTTGTCGAAGGATGACTGCGGTTTCTGAGAACCTCTCCCCCGGACCAGGGTACCGTGACTATAGCTCCTATAGAGCAGTGATTATAGCAGGGCAGTAATTATAGCCTTTTTCTACCCAAATACTTGTCGAAACATAACATAGTGTGAAACACAACTGACCTTTATTGAAAACAACACATCTATGTGTATACGTTGCAGTGGTACACAAAGTTCCCCCTCCACTGCAACCCCCACCCCAAACAGCACAGTGAGCCCAAATCAACATAGCAGTATAGATTTAGGATAGCAACCAATTACACTATAACATTTAATTGCCTTACAATTAGTGTGAATGGAGTACTATAGTTGGAGTACTATAGTTACAAGGAAGGGTGGGGACAAACAATAACAAGGGTTGAGGACCACATGGAATTTTTAAAGGAGTGAAAGGACAATCACTTTGAACTGGTCTGGTAGTGTCCCAAGAACAATGGAATAATACCCTGCTGGGAAAATAATAAAGGGTAATGCAGACGTGGATCCTGTGCATACTGTGCCTAGAGGGATATCAGTTACAACTTACTGACGAGGCCCAAAGAAGGCTGAAATGATCGTCTAGGATTGCTGTATCTCTCGTGCAGAGAGAATTTGCTGGCATTTTGGTTCTGGACTGCCCTTACGGGTGGGATTAGTCTGATATGCTTCGGATATATTCTCTCTGTAATTGCTCAAGTGAGCAAAAACTATTTTGAGACCTGAGAGGGGATGGCCAGTGGGCACCATGATCGCAGAAGTCCACAGGGAAGCCGGGCCTGCGACCCCTGCGACCGTGGTAGGTCTGCCACTGTGCAGCACCTTATGTGCTTGTTCTGTCTATGGAGTTTATAAAAAAATATTAATACACAGCCTATAAATATGGCCATATATACTCAGAAGCTACTTTAACCCTTGCTGGACTACCAACATAATTTTAGATTCATATTGCCCCTACCGTGTTGGTTCCTATATTGACCTTTCAAATTTGTTTAGGTATGTCAACTTATAGTTGTATTTCTGTTTATGTTTTTTATTAAAGGAACACTATAGGAACTGTAACGGCACCCCCAGGCATAAAAGGGGTTAACAGCCATTTAGGAGATATTCTGTTCCAGATATACAGGCAGCTACTGTAGACACCAATCCACCGAACCGGAGAAGCATACGAATGCTCTCAAACATACAATTGCAGTAAACAGCCGAATTGGAAAAACCATACGAATAGGTTTACACTCCTAGCAGTCGAACTGGAACAGCATACAATAAATCCCCCCCAAGAACGAGACAAGGCTCCGTTTTGAGGGTCAAGCAGGAACAGACCAGAGCTGTGGGTTTATTGTTCTTATACACACATTCTTACACATTAGTACCACCCACAGGGTTTTGTAAAACAACCAATAAACACGTACAATACACTCAGACACTCCCACACAAAATCCTCCCCTCTGCCTGTGATACAATTCATACGTCAACATCATACAAATTTGTCCAGTGGTTCAAAAGATAGATTGTAGTCCTTTGTGACCAAATGAAGCATGGCTTTTCTGCCCAAAACCAGTTCCACAGAGTCTTCTATCCTGGAGATAATTGGGAAGTAATCCAATTATCTCCAAGGACAGAGGCAAAACTCCATTGAACACATGGTAGCAAAAGACAATAAAATACATAAAAATATATAACTGTGCAGCTATTGCATAAAACAGGTACATTCAACATATAATAGAAACATAGAAACATAGAATGTGACGGCAGATAAGAACCATTCGGCCCATCTAGTCTGCCCACTTTTTGAAATCCTTTCATTAGTCCCTGGCCTTATCTTATAGTTAGGATAGCCTTATGCCTATCCCACGCATGCTTAAACTCCTTTACTGTGTTAACCTCTACCACTTCAGCTGGAAGGCTATTCCATGCATCCACTACCCTCTCAGTAAAGTAATACTTCCTTATTTTTAAACCTTTGTCCCTCTAATTTAAGACTATCCCCAGATAGCTTAGATCTGAGCACACATTATTACTGAATGGTGCTCAGATCACATACATACAGTTCAATTGCCATGGAGCCAAAGTCTTTCACATAGTCTTTCGTTATATGAATGGGCTACATGGCATAGCTATCTGGGGTATCACTGTTCAAATAGGGCAAGTACCGAATTACCCGGTTTTCGTGTTTTTGCAGGGGAAAATCAAGCGTTTCAACATGGGGCCATATTCTAAAGGCAGCAGGCGGGCAACCAGGCTCCTCCAATGCACAGTGGCGAAATTGGTCTCGTCACAGGAACCATAACCAGGGCTGCCATCATGATGGTTGTAATGGGCCCAGTGATCCTGGGGGGCCCAAACTGCACTTGTAATCCTTTGTGTGCCCGGACCCCCCGCCCTCCAATGTGCATATATATACGGCGAGTATCGTTATATAATATATTTATGCCTGTGCGGGCCCTGCTTGCTTTCAAGAGGGGCCCATGACACACTGACCTCCCACTCTGGCTCTCTCCTGAGCCATGGCTGTAAAGAGTTGCAGCAGGTTGCCATGATGCAATGCATGTCGACCTTGCATCAGAAGTAGAGCCCGGAGGGGGAAGATGGAGACTGCTGGGTCCCTCTTTGCTGGCCCAACCAGCTGAGCCACCGGACCACCAGAGAATCCAGTTCCCCCCTCGCTGGCTAAAGATAAGAAGCAGGGAGGAAGGGAATACATTTTTTTTAAAATTAAAATTCCACAGCAAACAAATACCCCCAGCAGCATTTGTCCAACATACACATCCACTACATAAACACATACACAGTGTCCACTACACAAACTGCATCCACTACACAAACACACACATCATCCACCACCACCACAACACACACAGCATTCACCACTCAAACACACACACATCATCCACCACCTGACAAACACACAAACTGCAGCCACTACACGAACACACACACCATCCCCTACACAAACACACTGCAATGGCTATACAAACACTACATCAACTACACACACACTCTGCATTCACTATACACACAAACACTACATCCATTACACAAACACACTGTATTTACTATACACACTACATCCACTACACAAACACACACTCTGCATTCACTATACACACACTACATCCACTACACAAACACTTTGCATTTACTATACATGCACTATATCCACTACACAAACACGCACTCTGCATTCACTATACACACACTCTATTCACTACACAAACAAACTCTGCATCTAATACACACAAACATACATTCTGCATCCACTATAAACACTGCATCCACTTTACTCACGCACTTTGCATCCATTACACACATTCTACAGCCACTATACACACACTAAATTCAGTACACACACACTTCATCCTTGTGGGTGAATTCAGGATGGGCCCTGTGGGTTGATTTGGGGGCTGGTCATGCGGGCGGACTCAGGGGGTGGGCCCAAACCTTGGGCTGCGTCAGGGGCCCAAAAAGTTCTGATGGCAGCCCTGACCATAACAATTGCAGCTTCCACACTCAGTCAAAGTTAGTATGAAAATACAGAAATATGAACTTCTATTTCATCAGATCAGTTTAAACTAGAAGGGTCTATCTATCTATCTATCTATCGTCTACCTACCAATCTGCCATGTTATTCTGTAAACATGAAAAATGGAGGCAGTATTTAAGCTAACAAGTGACCAATGTAATGATAGGGAATGCATAAAAGTAATCAAAATTATATGACATTAATCTACCCGCTGAGCCTAATTTAAAAGGATTATCATAAATGATAGCCTCTGTGATTCATCTTAAAATTGCTGAATCGTTTGAGAAAAAAATAAACCATACCAACAAACAGACAGATTTAATTGCCAGGTTCATTTTAAATACAGTGTTTAGAATCCTTAAATAGCATACATTTCTTACTGAAGTAATAAAGAAACACTACTCTATATTTTATTGGCTCTACTTATAGTCTCTCTGAGAGATGTGATCTGCCATAGATGTTTAAATGGCCCAGATAAAGAAGAGACTACCAGTGGTATATATAGGATGAGTAAGTTGAGTTCCAAAAATTAAACTACATTAATTGTGGTGAATGGATTTTTTTTTTAAAAAAAGTGGTCTGGGTAAAGTGTCCTTATTGCCCTTAGTTTCAGAAAAAACAGCCATGGTAGACAGCCATTAGAGGGTTTTGTGGTTTGGAACGGACCTTTGGTCCGGTATCTGACGTTGGACATCCTCATGCTCTGCATGAAGCTCTCCAGCATCAGATTTTTCCCCATAGGAAAGCATTGATTCAGTGCTTTCCTATGGGGAGGTCTAATGCGTGTGCAGCATTTGCCGCGCATGCGCGTTAGTACACGCTTATCACAGGACGCCAGAGGGTGCGGAGTGTTGATCCAGCTCCAAAGGACATTGGTGCTGGGATCAGATAATTAAATAAAGGGTTTTTAACCCTTTATTTTCCCGGGCAGGGGGAGCGCGAGAGGCAGGTGGAGCGATAGTGCCAGGAATGCAGCTTTGTTGTCATGGCACTATACTATCCCTTAAATTTCTGATATTTTTCACAGTATTTTTCTAAACAATACCTACTTGGTTACTGCACATATAACTCAATGACAAGTGGGTAACTTACTGTACAGGTGTAAGTTGTAGATTCTCATGATGATGTCTTATCTTGCAGCTCTTCGGGTTACAGGCTCTGATCTTCAAATTAGTACCAACCGAGTGGAACACCACACCAACTCTTACCAGAGTAAAGATCTGATTGTGAGAAGGGGCTACCCGTTCAGTGCCAATGTGACTTTTAATCAGTCAGTCACGAATGAAGATCAAATGCAGTTCTATGCCAGACTTGTTACAGAAGACAAAGGTAAAACCAAAGAAATATGCATGGCTGTAAGAATTCAACAGATACTGATATATATCAAAAACATAATATAGAAGGCACTAATCTAACAAGCTGTTGACAAAGACATACTGACTACCATCGGTCCAGAAAATCTAGAGACTGTTAGCATTGTTCTTATATTTACACGCAGCCCATTCAGGTCAATTCTAAGACATGGTAATTTTTTTAAGTAAGTGCAATTTCTATAGAACTGTGCCAGCATGTTAATTGATCCCAAATATTGGTTGATACGTTGAAATTGAGCTCATTAAGAGTTCTGTCAAAGCGTTCTTATACAGACACATTTGGTCCTATAAAACTAAAATGACCACCAGTAATGCCCCAGATAATGCCACTAAGTGAACACAGATCAACCTATTTCCTTCAGCCACTTAATGCCACATGTTTTGTCATTCTTAAATTGCTCCCAGAATAGACTTGTTTATCATTCATCATTTGGAAGTGAATTCCACAGCTTAACTGCCAGAACTGTAAAAAACGAAAAATAAATAAATAAAAAACATAACTTGTCCTGAGTTTCTAAAAGCCTGAATTTGTGCACAAATGATTATTTTAGCACCAACTAGTCCCTCTTTTTTCCATAGCTAATTGTCCATATAAATGTATTTAATAACATAATGTATGTGTTTGTTTGTTTGCTTTGTCTAATGGAATAGTTTTCATTTTTCTTTGTTGAAAGTTGCTTTCCATTTATCTGTCCAGTCTCTAATGTTGAGTAAATACTTACCGTTAAATAGGATATATTATAATAGCATATGGATTGTTATATAAGATTTTGTTGCGCACAGAAAAAAAATAAATACATTTTTTTGGGGGCCTTAATCAAGATTATTGGTATGAAAAAAATTAAGAGAATGGAAACATCTGACTTTTGAAGTTATCCACATATGGATGTTTCTTATATGTCTGCAACATATTTTGAAACATTCACTGTAAAAAGGATCCAATGCCATATTTTTTGATTGTCACTGTAAATTACCATTGAGTATCAACAGCATTTACAAATTTATTACATTCACCAAATAACCTTAGTTGTTAAGAGATTTCATAGGATGCAATTTGTTTTTTACTTCTCTTGAGATTATTTTTCAAAGATATTTCAAGACTTTTGCAATGATGATAGTCAAAGACTAAATAATGTAAGAACTATCCAATGGGCACTATCATCATGCTCCAGTCAAAAACTAAAAGAATACGCAGGAGGGTAAAAATACAATTGAGCTATTGTAGACCAAGGGTTTGGTTGAGAACATGGGACTACTAAGAACAGGTAAAAACATACTGACTATAGTTTTTACTTTTATTAAGATTCTTCCCCATTGTAGTCAAAACTGAAATTCTGGTCTTTCCTCCCTCAAGTGTTGTTACTCCTGTGTCTGTCTCCCTCCAAGTCAACAGTGCTCACTGCCTAGGTGTTCTCTTTGACTCTGACCTCTCCTTCAAGCCTCATGTTCAATCTATCGCCAAATCCTGTTATTTCCATCTCAAAAACACTGCGCGCATCCGCCCCTACTTAACGCCAGATGAGACTAAGGTGTTGGTCCATTCCACTGTCCTTTCTCACCTTGACTACTGTAATCTGCTTCTCAGTGGTCTTATGTGCTCCCAACTTGCGCCGTTACAGTCCATAATGAATGCGATGGCGAGGCTCATCTTCCTGTCTGCCCGCACCTCCCATGCTTCACCCTTCTGTCAGTCCCTAAATTGGCTTCCTATAAAATATATAGCTCAATTTAAAATTCTGGTTCTTGCTTTTAAATCTCTACATAATGCTGCTCCCACCTATCTATCCTCCCTTATACACAAGTATATCCCGTCTAGCCCCTTACGATCTGCTGAAGACTTACGTCTATCTTCTGTCTGTACTCCCACCTCTGATGCTCGCCTTCAAGATTTCTCGAGGGCTGCACCGTTCCTGTGGAACTCACTTCCCTCCTCCGTTAGATGCTCACCCAGTCTCCATTCCTTCAAAAAATCGTTAAAAACCCACTTCTTCATAAAAGCGTATCCATTAAACTGTTAATAGCTCCTGACTGATTCCTCTTCTGCAACTGTCACTAGTCTAATACTATCCTTACCTTTTTGTGTCCTTTTACCCCACTCCCTCTAGCACGTAAACTCATTGAGCAGGCCCTCAACCCCTCTGTTCCTGTGTGCCCAACTTGTCTGCTTACAACTACATGTCTGTTCGTCCACCCATTGTAAAGCGCTGCGGAATTTGATGGTGCTATATAAATATCATCATAATAATAATATGTCCAAATCGATTTTGCAGATATAGACATATGGTAGTTATATTTTTGGAATAGACGTCTTACTTTCTGAACAATATAATTCATTGCATTTTAGATGGAAACCGTTAGGACCTCAAAGGGAGAATACAGGGCTGTTGAGGACAGGTTATATATAATGGAATACTTAGGAAAAAATTTGATATACAAGAGTATTCCTTCCAACATAGAAAGCTGATGAAAGACAGGCAGGGTAAGAAAACAAAGTCTGAAGAACAGTGCATAAAGGGTTAGGTGCAGTTAACTGAAATTTACACTCTTGCAATTGTGAAATTATGAACACAATCTATATTGATCTAGCTCTAACTTATTACATGTGCTTTCTGGCATCAGGTGCCTCTTTGCTAGAAAATCCATTTGTAAATTCATCCAAAACACCAATTAACGGCTGGGGTGTCCTGAGAGAAGCAACTGTATCCAACTCAGTGAGACTGACCTTTTACACTCCATCCAATGCTGTGATTGGACGTTATTCTCTTGAACTGGACATAAATGGAGAAAGGACAAATGTTGGAGCGTTTATACTGCTATTCAACTGCTGGGCCTCAGGTAATACAATCCATTTACCCATCCTGATTTGCAGCAACAAATGTGAACTGTGAATGACCACATCTATCTGCCAAGATAATTATTCTCATAGTACTGCTAAGTAATATTCTAATTTCTAACGGTGGAAAAGAGTGTTCATTGTTAATCCCAGTACAAGGCTAGAAACACAACAGATTACTGCCATTTAGATTTTTGCTAATGGAAGTTTAGGTCTCTTTTTGCACACGGTTTACAGCTACGTGCCCCAGGAGTGCATTAATGGGGACCAGAACAAGGTCAGCCAGCTGACTGGTTTCTTTTTATTAACAGCCAAAAACACAAAATATATCATATCATATTCCATATTAAAAATCAAGAAAATACTTGATATACTCTATGTATGCGATGAGACTGAAGGCCCCCGCTAGTGTAGGACATAAAAAGACACTATAATTTTTGTTCTAAGACTAAAGGTTGATTATTGCAGTATAGAAAAATATGGTATGAAAATTAATTTAATGCCAGGACGCATAACAACATTGCACAACACTGTCTACTGCAACTCAGAAATGAAACCTCCCTTCAAAGGAAGCTTTGAGATGAAAGGGCCAGATAATTATTCAGCCTCGGTAGAGAGATGCCTCTTAGTCTTCATGGCCATGGAGCAGTAAATAAAAAATAATATATACTAATAAAATATACTTTTTCCTTTGTTCCAAATTGTTCAAATCATCAGACCACCTAGCTCTTACTGGAAAAAACTGTATCTTGTTAACCCTTCAAAAGTACACATGGGATTAAAGAATTACTCCAAGCACCATAACCATGTAATTGATTTGAAGTGGTCATGGTGCCAAGAGTCTGTATGTGTAGCATTTTGCTATGAAACACTGCGCATACTGAGGATAACCCCTCAGTATCCTCGGCTGCAGGATCTCAGTATCATCATGAGATGTCGTCAGCAATCCCGCTAATGTCATTTCTGTGCAACAGTGTGCCATTTATTGGCTGAGAGTGGCCAGCTGAATCGCAACTGGATCATAATCAGTATAGAGGCTGTAGTGATAACCCTTTAACACCTGTATGAGCAAAAATTTTGGAAATTGTATGCATTTATAAACATTTTATGCCAAAAATGCCAGAGTATTTCAATATGCTATCATACCTTTTTTTTATTGAACTAACATAATTTTTAAAAGACAAGCTTTTGAGAGTTTTCTTCTCAGTTTTCCTCTCAAAAGGTCTGAAGGAACCCTGTTATTATTGGAATACTCTGGTATTTAGACATCTTGTCTGCTAGACCAATACAGATCATCTAATCAACATTAAAGGGACACTGTAGGCATCCAGACCACTTCAGCTCATTGAAGTGGTCTGGGTGCAATGTCTCATGTCCCTTAACCCTGAGCATGTAATTATTGCAATTATTAATAGAGGGCTCCTGGTTTGAAATGGACCTTAGGTCCATTATCTGACGCTGGACGTTCTCACACTCTGCAAGATTACCTCCAGCATCAGATTTTTTCCCAATAGAAAAGCATTGAATAATGTTCTCCTATGGACAAATCCTAATGCGAGCGCAGCCATTGCTGCGCATGGACATTAGGTCTCCCCTGCCGGCTGATATTGGCGGGGAGGGAGCATGTGCGGAGCCTGACTCTGTGCGGAGGTTGGGGGGGAAGGGGCGAGAGAAGGGGGCACTGCAGGAGCATATAGTGCCAGGAAAACTGCTTTGTTTTCCTGGCACTATAGGATCCCTTTGAACATTTACTGTATACAAGAATGCACATAATTTTTTTTTTTTTTTGGATAAAATATGCACAAAGGCTTAAAAGATAGCGTTTAGACATATAATTACTATGTAGGTAAAAAAAGAATATATATATTTTTTTTTATTGAAAAAAACAAAACCTAACAATACATGGCTTAAAGAGCCATATTTATAAAGACAAAATTATGTAAAACTGAAAATCTATAAATAATGGCTTTTCAGTCCAAAACATGCAAACCAATTTTTGGCTTCTTTCTCTCAACTTCAAAATCAGGAACAACCTAAAAACCTCTAAAAGCTAACACGCTTATTTACTAAAGTGTCAATTATCAAGAATACAAAGAGGTTTTCACATTTTAGGCTATTTTTGCCTAAAATGTGAAATTATCTTTGAATTCCTGACAATTCACACTTTAGTGAATCACTCTGTGTAAGATAAATTAACCTAATTGTAACCATTATGTAATAGACTAATGGCCATACCTGTGACATTTAGTCCTCTACCCTTTTGCCATCTGTAAAAATCACCATCTTTCATGTGTTAATTTTAATATAAATAGTTAAAATATCTCTAATTTTCTAATTTGTATAAGTCGGCATTTTTGTCAAACCATATATGTTGATTTGCAGTTTGTATGGTAGTTGGTAACTCAATGTGACATAAATTTCAAAATGTGTAGCAGAAAAATCCACTCCAAAATATCTTATAAATTCAAGGACATATGGTTTAATCAGGCTGCAACTCACATTATAAATGAGCAGTCAAACGGAATATGCATTAAGCAAAACTGCGGCAGATTTGAGGTAAATCCAACTGGAGTAGAACTGATCCAACATGAATATATGAAATACGTCATATAAGTTAGGCATTAAGTTATCTTAACTGTTAATGAACCCTTTACTCCCAAACACTTTTGCTGCAATACATACCGTGATTTCTTCTTACATTGAATACCTCACAGGAACACTTTAGGTACCACAACCACTTCATCTAATTGAAGCGTTTGTGGTGCTTGGAGTCACCTGACACTGACCGATGATTCAGTGTTACATTGTTTCAAACTGCTTAACACTGAATGAGGGTCCTAAGGCTACCACAACCCTGCTCCACTCTGCTGCAATGGGAAACAGTGATTGGCTGAGAATGTCACCTGACTACTCTCAGCTCCTCACAGCTACCCATCACTGCTTTGAGCTTGTAACAATGAAGAATGAAGAAGGGACCAGGGGACTCCAGGCACTATAACTACTTCAATTAGATTATTAGTAGTAGTTTTTATGTCTCGCCAACATATTCCATGGTGCTTTACAATTATAGAATGGGGATATTTGACAAGTAATATACATACAGAATATAAAAAAGACAAGAGGTGAAGAAGGTCCTGCTCAAACGAGGTGCAATGTGTGAGAAAGGTGAAGTGGTTTCAGTGCCTAGACTTTTGCTTTAAAGACATTGGGGTATTTTATGTAGCCCGTGAAGTTACACAGGCTGCATTATCTGAAATGCCCAGTAGATGGCACATGGACTCAGTATGCTGTTAATAAAACATTGAGCTTTGATCACATGACTTGCTGAAATCAAGAGAGGAGTGTGGCATCATCGCAGGGCCTGTGAGGACTTCCTGCACAGCTCTGAGGGAGGAGGATTCTAAGAGTGACCACATGCTGAGCCAGAGAAAGGACATGTGAGAGACTGTAGCACAGAGATAGGACCTGGCTGAGAGAACTTGTTTCACCCAAGATCACACCAGCTGAGAGAGGGACCTGCAGGAAAGGAAAGAAGACAAGCACTGAGTCCAGACGTCTGGTGAATCCAGTGAGAGGAGACTGCTGCTGACTGACTGGTTAATCGTGTTGTGAGGGTAAGCCAAGCCTCTCCCTGTATCGCCACAGGGCACCTGTCTCCTCACTCACAGTAAAGACTCTGAGGTCCCGTGACGGACATTACACATCTGAAGCTGCTTCAGTGACCCTGTGAGGCAGGACTTATAAGGGCCCCAATTCTCCTATGTGCACCAACGGCCGCTAGGGCGAAGATAAGGGGGTGGGGCGCAGGTGTGCTGGTGGGTGAGTGAGGAAAATCCCCATTTGCATTGTTATCTGTGTTACTCTATTGTATTTTCCTATGTATGTTGGTTCAATTGCTACTTACCATATAAAGTTAGTCCCATTTAGACTGTGTCAGTCTCATTTCACCAAGTATGTTCCCAGTGGGACCCCACATCCCTACCCCGGATGCTCCACTGGGTGGAGGCACTGCCGCAGACATGTACCCCAGCTCCCAGATAGCGGAGGCTCAGGATCCGCCTGTCAGGCATAGTGAGTTAACTAGGTTTGGGGACCCCAAAGACACTAGGGGGCACCCCGAAAACCCCGTTACAGATGGAGGCACTGCTGAGATGTATTGGGGTACAACCAGTGAGAATAGGTTAAGTCCTCAGGCCACTCCCTCCTTTGTGAAACAGTGGGCCCAGCAAAGAAATGTACCCTTACAGCAAGATGTGATGTTATGCAAAGTCCCATCCTGCTGTGAGATGAATCACGTCATCTTGTGTATAGAAATTCGACTGGGAATAGAAATGGCGACCATCAGAGATATCCTGCAGGATTCTGAAGGCCAAACTTACATGTTAATATATTGTCATACGGGCTTGGGAGACCATAAGATGCCTACCAACATTCATTTACATGGAGCCCCGGATGGAGGATGCTCCTTAGTGTACGCTCTCCTTGATAAGAAAGAAAGGGTCTCACTGCAACAACCCTTTGAATTAGAACGGAAAGATTATGTCACAGAAAATTATTCTAAGCTCCTGACCCCCATCTCCGGAAAGGCCGGAGCCATTCCTAAACAAGCTGCCCATCCTCCTAGAGGACAGGGGATGATTACTCCTAAAGCAGAATCTCATCCATCTACAGCATTACTGAAACCAGACAACCCTGAAGTACACACCCTGCCTACAGGAGGTAGTGATGTATCGGACATACTACAGAAACTCTCAGAAGCCATAGTGACGGCAAACCACACCCATAGTTACCGCAAACTAAAGGTGTTTTCTGGGAATCAGCCTGTTCCTGCAGGAGAAGAGCCTTTTGAGGTCTGGAAGGATAATGCTATGCAGTTGTTGGAGGAATGGTCTTGTACGGATACCATAAAGAAACAGCGGTTGGTGGAGAGTCTTCGTTTTCCCGCTACAGACATGATAAGACTGTACAAGGGAGTAAATGGGCAAGCTACTGCGCACGACTATCTACAAGTTTTACAGGATGCTTATGGGAAATCAGAAGATTTGGATGATCTGTTGGTTAAGTTCCTAGCCACTAAGCAGAAGGAGCACGAAAAAGCCACTGACTATATCAACCGGTTACAGCTATCGCTTGGAAAGTTATTCCATAAAGGAGCAGTCACTGCCTCTGAGTTGGATGCTCGGCTATCTAAGCAAATTCAGAGAGGTGGTTTGACCAGTAATCCAGTTATGATTCTGCTGAGAGCCAAGTTGGATGATAAAGTTCTGCCTTATTCCACATTAATAAATACAGCCAGGAGATTGGAAGACCAGATGTGTCCACCCCTACAGAAGGAGAAAGAGAATACAGAACTGTCAGCTCTTAGGAAGAAGGTGGCTGAATTGGAGCTTTTATGCAAATCACCACCAGAGAGAGCAGATCTTCCCCCTGGAAGTGGGGGGCAACACAGGAAGACTCAGAAAAAGCTGTTTCCTGAGGATTCACCCCGCCGAGGGAACTGCTTTAAATGTGGAAAGTCAGGGCATTTTCAGCGGGAGTGCCCTGCAGATTCCATGGAGGTGGATGTGGGGGTGCTGGCAACCGAGCTCGGGGAGACTCAAATGACCAGGTCTTACAAGCGAAGGAAGACCCGGCCTACATATAGTCTATCTGTAGGGGCCAAGATTGGGCCTAAATCTTTGATACACGTGCAAGTGGAAGGAATTCATGCTTCAGCATTGCTAGATACAGGTTCTCAAGTCACCATTATCTACAGAGACTTCTATGAACGTCATTTGAAACACATTCCTATGGAACCTGCAGGAGAGTTTCAGCTATGGGGCGTTGGGTCTCAAGCTCAACCTGTGGAGGGATGCATAAAAGTGACCATAACTATTCCCCAGTTAAATACCGGGATGATATGTCCTATGGAGCTGGAAGCTTTGATATGCCCTGCAGCCAAGAAAGTGTGTGCCCCAATAATATTGGGTACTAATGCAAAGATGGTACAGGATGTATTCAGGGCCTATCTGACAGAAGTGGGAGATGTCTCCTTAGACCGACTGATGGAGGTCAGCCCTGTCCTAGGAAAAGAGTGTCGACGACTAGCCCTTGCAACAAAACCAGGGTTGTGCCACTATTCAGGAACAGAACCTGCATTTGTGAAGCCTGGTGAGACCAAAACCTTACGAGCCATAGCCTCAATGCACCATGAAATGTTGGGGGGAACTGGACAATACCTTATTGAGTCTCTGCCTGAAGAGGATCAGAAGAAGGGGTGGACTCTCATACCTGAGATAAAAGATTGGCGAAAAAGGTGGTGTCGGAGTTTTCCTGTGATGGTACAGAATTTAACCCCCACGGAAATCCGGATTGATCGTCATCAGAAGATTGGTGTAATACACCTTTTAGATCAAGTTTCGTCCATCATGTCTGTGAGTGCAGAACAGACGGATCATGTGAAAGCGCCTTTAGATTTTGATCTAGAAGATTCTCCCCTACCACAGCAGTGGAAAGACAGCCTTCGTTCAAAACTGGCCACCCGAGAGGGAGTGTTCTCCAGAGCAGAGATGGACGTGGGGTGTTCTAAGAGTGCCACCCATGCTATAAGACTTGCTGATCCTACTCCTTTCAGAGAAAGGTCAAGAAGAATACCGCCTCGAGATGTGGAAGATGTCCGGGACATACTCCAGCAGATGGAAGGAGCAGGCATCATCACAGAGTCCCGGAGCCCCTATGCCTCACCTATTGTGGTAGTGAGGAAAAAGAATGGTTCAGTTCGGCTATGTGTGGACTACCGTACTCTGAACAAGAGGACTGTGCCAGACCAGTACACCTTGCCCCGGATAGAAGATCTTCTGAACGCCCTATCTGGCAGCCAGTGGTTCAGTGTGCTTGACTTGAGGTCTGGATATTATCAGGTACCCATGAAGAAGGAAGATCAGGAAAAGACAGCTTTCATCTGCCCTTTGGGGTTCTTCCAGTTTACCAGAATGCCACAGGGAGTCACAGGAGCTCCTGCTACTTTTCAGAGGCTGATGGAGAAAACTGTGGGGGATATGAATCCCAAAGAGTGTCTAGTGTATCTAGATGACCTAATTGTTTTCGGGAAGACACCAGAGGAGCATGAACAAAGATTGCTAAAGGTGTTGGATCGACTTCAAGCTGAAGGCCTGAAGCTATCAGTGGACAAATGCCGATTTGCCCAGAACTCTGTCACTTATGTGGGGCACATAGTCTCCGCTGAAGGAGTAGCCACAGATCCTGCTAAAATTGAAGCAGTGCTGAATTGGCCAAGACCAAATAACATCGGTGAGTTGCGGTCCTTTCTCGGATTCTGTGGTTACTACCGAAGGTTCGTGAAAGACTACTCAAAGATTGCTCGAGAGTTACATGACCTGCTGAAGATTATCTCTGACGTAAAGGGTGTTAAGGCACCATATCCTAAAGACCCCTTTGGAGAGAAATGGACTTCAGGATGTGAAGATGCCTTTCTGACGCTGAAGAAGAGACTTACAGAAGCTCCTGTCTTAGCCTATGCAGACCCTGAGAAACCATATATCCTCCATGTGGATGCCAGTATGGAAGGCCTAGGGGGTGTACTGCACCAAAGTTATCCAGCAGGATTGAGGCCGGTGGCTTACATAAGTAGGAGTCTTACAGGTGCAGAGAAGAACTATCCAGTCCATAAATTGGAATTTCTGGCACTCAAGTGGGCCATCGTGGATAAGCTGCATGACTATTTGTATGGGGCAACATTCGAAGTAAGGACTGACAACAATCCACTTACCTACATCCAGACTACAGCTAAGCTGGATGCTACAGGACATAGGTGGTTGGCTGCCTTGTCAAACTACAGTTTCAGCCTGAAGTACAAGCCTGGGCCCAAGAATGTCAGCGCAGATGCCCTGTCCCGCAGACCTAGACTCCCCCCTCACCAAGAAGAAGAGGAGTGGGAAGAGATCCCTGGGCCGGGGGTAGGAGCCTTTTGTCAGATGTATGTGGTGGCCGAGAGTCAAGAAGAATTTGCCGAGCTAAGAGGGATAGACTCCATTAGCCACTCTCCCGAAGCTGTGCCTGAGGTGTTCCATGCTCCAGTCATGCTTCAACAGTGGTCCAGTATAACCACAGAAGACAAGAGGAAGGCTCAAGCGCAGGACTGGTATATTGGGATAGTTATCAGAGCAATAAAGACTAAGAATCCTAAATTGCTGACTTCTCTACCTGTGAATCAAAGAGAATTATACCGAAGAGAATGGAGCCGACTACATCTCGAAGATGGAGTACTCTATAGGGTCGTGAAGTATCATGATCACCCTGACAGAAAACAATTGGTACTACCGCACCGATACCGTGGCATGGTCCTGAGAGCTCTCCACGATCAACATGGGCATCTCGGGGTGGACAAGACCTATGGCCTAGTACAAGATCGGTTCTATTGGCCTCGCATGAGGGAACATGTCGAGCAACATGTAAAGACATGCAGGAGGTGTATCCAGAGGAAGACCCTGCCTGTGAGAGCTGCCCCTATGGGTCATCTGAAAAGTACGGGACCCATGGATCTTGTGTGCATGGACTATCTCTGCATTGAGGACGATACAGCGGGAATTGGAAATGTGCTGGTGGTAACGGACCACTTCACCAGATATGCTCAAGCTTTCCCCACTAAAGACCAAAAGGCTGTGACTGTAGCCAAAGTCCTTTGGCAGAAGTATTTTATTCACTATGGACTACCCAATCGGCTACACTCTGATCAAGGTAGAGACTTTGAGAGTAAGTTGATAAAGGAGCTGTTAGGCATGTTGCAGGTGCAGAAGTCCAGAACCACACCTTATCATCCGGAGGGTGATGCACAGCCAGAACGTTTCAATAGGACCCTCCTAGATATGCTAGGGACTCTCAAGCAAATCGAGAAGCGGTCTTGGAGTAAACATGTGGAAACCATGGTCCACGCATACAACTGTACAAGGCATGAATCTACAGGGTTCTCACCCTATTTCTTAATGTTCGGAAGAGAAGCTCGATTGCCGATAGATGTCCGGTTGGGAGTGTCTCCTGATGGAACAGATTCAACTTCACACTTTCAATATGTGAGGAACCTCAAACAAAACCTTCGTCGGGCCTACGAGTTGGCCACCCAAGCTGCAGCAAAAATGGAAGAACGGAACAAAAGAAGATATGATGCTAAGGTGAGATATCGGGAGATTCAAGCAGGGGATAAAGTTCTTCTCCGGAATCTAGGTGTGCCTGGAAAACACAAACTGGCTGACAGATGGAAAGATACCCTGTTTGAGGTTGTGTCCAAACTGGAAGGACTGCCAGTGTACAACATTCGGGGCCCGGAGGGCCGAATAAAGGCTTGGCATAGAAACCATCTGCTTCCAGTTGTGTATACTGATGAAGAGGAAGAGAGTAGTGAAGAACTGGAGGAAACCCCAGCAGAGAGTCCTGGAAATGGGGCAGAGGAGACCCCGGGAACTCCCAGTGCAGAGGATCAGTGGTGGTCATCACCCGCTGAAGAAACACAACAATTGCCTCCTTTAACTCCTGTGGTTTCACAAAGTCCCGGAACCTCTCCTGGGTCACAAAGTTCTCCAAGGTTGAATCCAGAAAGTCCCTGTTTTGTGCCTGGAACTTCCCTTAAAAACTCTACTTCGAGGGCAGGAGTCGAAGTTCCACAGTTGATGTCCCAAGATCCTCTCCCCCAGCGAGAACTGAGACACAGCACCAGAGTGCGGCAACCCCCTAGGGCCCTAGTTTATGATAATATAGGAGAGCCCAGTTATGCCCCGCTGACACAAGCAGCATTTAAAATGGCCACTTTCCTACATGCACTAGCTGAAGTGGTAAATGTTAGTGACTGTTTACCCTAAATAACTAGCTAGCTAGGATGTTACTGTGCGAACTGTACTGTAGGTATGCTAAACCTTTTTCTGTTGAATTTTTGTTAAGCTCCCTGGCTAGGACTTGCCAGTGGAAGGCAAGTATTTTCAAGGGGGAGCATGTAGCCCGTGAAGTTACACAGGCTGCATTATCTGAAATGCCCAGTAGATGGCACATGGACTCAGTATGCTGTTAATAAAACATTGAGCTTTGATCACATGACTTGCTGAAATCAAGAGAGGAGTGTGGCATCATCGCAGGGCCTGTCAGGACTTCCTGCACAGCTCTGAGGGAGGAGGATTCTAAGAGTGACCACATGCTGAGCCAGAGAAAGGACATGTGAGAGACTGTAGCACAGAGATAGGACCTGGCTGAGAGAACTTGTTTCACCCAAGATCACACCAGCTGAGAGAGGGACCTGCAGGAAAGGAAAGAAGACAAGCACTGAGTCCAGACGTCTGGCGAATCCAGTGAGAGGAGACTGCTGCTGACTGACTGGTTAATCGTGTTGTGAGGGTAAGCCAAGCCTCTCCCTGTATCGCCACAGGGCACCTGTCTCCTCACTCACAGTAAAGACTCTGAGGTCCCGTGACGGACATTACACATCTGAAGCTGCTTCAGTGACCCTGTGAGGCAGGACTTATAAGGGCCCCAACTCTCCTATGTGCACCAACGGCCGCTAGGGCGAAGATAAGGGGGTGGGGCGCAGGTGTGCTGGTGGGTGAGTGAGGAAAATCCCCATTTGCATTGTTATCTGTGTTACTCTATTGTATTTTCCTATGTATGTTGGTTCAATTGCTACTTACCATATAAAGTTAGTCCCATTTAGACTGTGTCAGTCTCATTTCACCAAGTATGTTCCCAGTGGGACCCCACATCCCTACCCCGGATGCTCCACTGGGTGGAGGCACTGCCGCAGACATGTACCCCAGCTCCCAGATAGCGGAGGCTCAGGATCCGCCTGTCAGGCATAGTGAGTTAACTAGGTTTGGGGACCCCAAAGACACTAGGGGGCACCCCGAAAACCCCGTTACATTTATACAGAATATTTTTTAACATAAATGCTAAAAGTAACAAACCACAGAATTTTCCTGTCAGCTGCTCTAATTTCAAACCTTGGCAGACCCTTTTCCATCATTAGCGGCTTTTACAACATAACATTCTAACTGAGGTACACAAAATGGTAGACTGCACAGTACAATATGAGTGTGCTGTTTTAGTCTGCGTAATAGCCGTGTTTCTGTATTTCAGATGATATTGTTTACCTGTCAGACGAGGCACAAAGGCAGGAATATCTCCTGTCAGAATTTGGTATTATTTTTATGGGTGAACCGAGTAATCCACAACACGTACCCTGGGATTATGGACAGGTGAGACATGTATATAAAATCAGTCAGACTACTAACTGTATGATTCAAGGTCTGGTTACACGGGTACACAGTGTTTATACAGGTTTTATTTATTTTTTTATTCTGCAGTTCCAAGACAACATTCTTGATATTTGCCTTTCCCTTATGGATTCAACCATAAATTACCGTCGCAACCCATCTGAAGATGTTAGACGACGAAATGATCCTTCATACTTGTGCAGAGTTCTGAGCGCTATCGTAAGAAAACCATTATAATGTTGAATTATCCGACTGACTGTGTATATAGATGAAAGATATTTTATTGTATTTTAGAACTAGCAATTCATCAGAAGTTATGTCAATTTAATGTATTTAAGGCTCAAATATTCCTTTCGCCACTGATGCAGTATCAATGTAATATGTAACACATCCTTGATAATCTAATGTGTATAGCAGCCAGTTCTAAAATATTGGAATTGTATGTGACTAAAATATTTGTCATGGTAAAATACTGGATCTCATTTTTTTTTACACAATGATCAAATGGTAACTGATGTTTTTAACTACTAATACCAATGGTGATAGTTGGGGAGGCACTACCCCTTGATTTGTTTGTCTCTGCTGTGCCAGTCTCCTGACCCATATTTAGGAAACAATCACCTCTCAAAAGTGGCTCAGGTCCACCTTCTGAAACTTTTACTTAATGACAACCGGAGAAGACAGGAAAATAAGTAGGCCTGTCTTTTAGGCCATCTGGGACCCAATGATACCTTGGAAAGCCTATGTGAGGGGTCTATACCTAGAAAATTGGTATTTAAAAAAATAAAATAAAAAATGATTCCATTCAATTCTGTATCTCGTTCTCCACCTCATCCCCCCCACCCCTCTCCCCTTTTCTCCATCTTATCCCATGATCCTTCTCTTCATGATGACAGTAGAAAGAGTGGATCAGGCGTGATTTTGGAGGGCAATTAGATATTTAAAGTCCAAAGAGAATTACAATCTACCCAAATGCCCAATGTGAATTACCTGTGGGCCACAACTCATCCTTTAGATTGTAAGCTCATGGGCCATCTAGCCAAGCACTTTGTATAAAAGAGCTCCAATGGCTAGAAATCAGCTTACGGGCAGGGCTCTCTCTACCTCTTGTATTTGTCTGTCTATATTGTACGTTTCTCCACTAATTGTACAATGCTGCGGAATCTGTTGGCGCTTTATAAATTGCAGTAATAAATAATAAATAAATAAATAAGGTTGTAAGATAAGTCAAACTCTTAGAAATCTTATAAAAATCAGCTCAAATGAAATGTACAATACAAAATATACCAAGTAATATCAAACACAAAAAAAGCTAATGTCTGTATATCCTAGTTGAAAATAACTTAATATTTCATATTTTATGTATCAAATTTAATACATCATTTGGATTTTTATTTGAACTGAGCACATTGCATTTTGAATGTTTTACTCTTTGTCTTTCTTTGTATATTTCAGTTATGTGACGTAGTTACAAACACTGATTTGCCACAACATTAAAATCACTGACAGGTGAAGTGAATAACAATGATTATATTGTCACAAGGGAGCCTGCCATGGAGTGAGATATATTAGGCAGCAAGTGAGCAGCACGTTCTTGAATTTCATGTGTTGGAAGCAGGAAAAATGGGCAAGTGAGAAGATCTGATTGATATTAGTGTAGGACACACCAATATCGGGGCACTATGGAGTTGTGGTAGTTAACACGATATGGCCATATGGTGTAACTGAATCCCAATATTTATTTGCTGAGATAGGTGATTTTAAGTAGCCTTGTTTAATTTAGAACAGTTTTTTTTTTTGTGTGTGCGCTGTTCCCTTATCTGTATTTTGTATGACTTTGACAAGATTTAAATAGTGATGGCTTGAGCATCTCCAAATCGGCGAGTCTTGTGGAGTGTTCCTGGTATGCCGTGGTTAGTACCTGCTATAAGTGGTGCAAGGAAGGGCAACCAGAGAACCTGCATCATGGTTATGGGTACCCAAGGCTGATTGATGCACATTTAAAGTGAAGCCTAGTCCATCTGATCCGTTCACACTGAAGCGCTACTGTACTGCAAATTGCTGAAAAACTTAATGATGGTCATGATAGCAAGGTATCAGAACACACAGTGCATCACAGTTTGCTGTGTATGGGGCTGCATAGCCAAAGACCGGTCAGAGTGTCCATGATGACTCGTGTCCACTGCAGAAAGCGTCATCAATGGGGACATGAGCAACAGAAGTGGACCATGGATCAGTGGAAGAAGGTTGCCTGGTCTGATGAATCATGTTTTCTTTAAAAATAGGTGGATGGCCTGGTGAGTGTGTATTGTTTACCAGCCCATGGTAGGTAGTGTTATGCTCTGGGCAATGTTCTGCTAAAAAAGATATTGAGTCCTGGCACTCATGTGGATGTTACTTTGACAGGTACCACCTACCTAGAGATTATTGTAGACCACATTCATGACAATGAATTGTTCATGACAATGGTATACCTTGATGGCAATGTTTTTTTTTCAGCAGGATAATGAATCCTGCAAAAATTGTTCAGGAATGGTTTGATAAACTTGAAAAGAATTTAAGGTGTTGCCTTGGTCTCCAGGTTTCCAGATCTCATTCCGCTTGAACATCTGTGGTATGTAGTGGAGCAACAAATACGATCCATAGAGGCTCCACCTCACAACTTGCAGGACTTAAAAATCTGCAGCTAATATCTTGTTGCCAGATACTACAGGACATGTTCAAAGATCTTGTGGAGTCCATGCCTCAATGTTTCAGAGCTGTTTTGGCAGATTGAGGAAGACCTAGGCAGATGGTTTTAATGTTGTGGCTGATCAATGTAGTAGTCAAGGTTGAAAAAGACTAAAGTCCATTGAGTTCAACCTTCAACTTGTTAAAGTTGAGCCTATGTGTTTACAATATAGTGAAAAAAAGAAGTATACACACTAAAAAATTACTTAGTTATGAGAAGTGTTTACAATGACTTAGTTATGAGAAGTATCGTATGTCTCATATGCTGAAATGGCAAGCAGAGAATCCAATCATTTGAACAATGTGGCCTTAAATTATGTGTTTAAGTGGCATCTCTGTGTCCATCTCTAATCAGGTGAATGATAGAGATGATGGTGGTGTGATTCAGGGGAATTGGAGTGAAGACTACTCTGGTGGCACAGATCCAAAGGCCTGGACTGGAAGTGCTCGAATCCTGAGAAGCTGGTATCCACAGAAGTCTCCAGTGAAATATGGACAGTGCTGGGTCTTTGCTGGTGTTCTCTGCACAGGTAATTTTAAATTTCTATGCCACATCAATCTCTTAAGAAGATCTTTGATAATAAAAGAATCAAGTGTTAGGGAGCAGTCAAAACTCTTGTAGAGTTAACAAACTATCTTAACCACTACAGCCCACTGTAGTGGTTATTATGTAAGGAGTACCCTGGTCCCATTTCCCAGTAATGGGGCAAACCATTTTGTTTGCCCACTTACATGGGTACTCTCCTGATGTTATGGGTCCTTTTTCCTCTGGTGACGCACTTCCACAAAATGGATGCCGAGGCTGTCTCCATTCAGCTGACCACAGTTAGTCAATGAATACAATTCTGTGCATAGAAATATGTACAAAATTGAAATTATTGAGTCTGGAACTATTGTTCCGGGCTGGCTAATGATGCTCCAGGGATGACTGCTGAGTTACACCTCTAGCACCAGAAGGTTTAAACTCCATGTGTACTATGTTTCAAAGCAAAACCCAGCTTATACAGTACCATGATCACTTCAAATCAAAATGGCCATGGTGCTTAGAGTAACCATTTAAATCCTGCTCCCTCACAATACACTATAGACTTGGGAATACAATTTCCAGATCGGGTGTCAGATAAAACAGCTACATCAACGTCCAAATGATATCCAAATATTAACTCTCTTGCAAACTATAGCCTCAATTTAATATTTTTAGATACGCTTCTCAAATAATTGAATATTCTTGGAGAGAAAAAAAAAATAATATATAAATAGTATATATAAATATAAAATTATTAGAAAATGTCCAAAAAGTATATCATTTGAAAAGCTTACCCAAAAATAATACATTGAGGTCTATATTCCCGAGTTGCACTGTTGCACATAAATTATTGCGCATAGTAATATATAGACTTTAGACAGAAAAAGTATTTGCACAATAATTATACATTCTTTTAAGTATTTGGCTTAAAAAAAAAAAAAAATAGGCACACCGCACCTTATTTTAATTTTTATATTCCCGAGTACAGGAGTTAGCAGGAAGTGTAAAATCAGTATTCAGAAACTACTTGCAAGATCAGGCAAACAGTAAAAAAAGTTAGCAGTCAATCTCAGACAAATAGCCAGAAAGGGGTTCTGCTTTAAAGGCTTTGTCAGGGAAAGTGTGATGCTTAAAGGACCACTATAGGCACCCAGAGCACTTCAGCTTAATGAAGTGGTCTGGGTGCCTGGTCCAGCTAGGTTTAACCCTTTTTTCTATAAACATAGCAGTTTCACAGAAACTGCTATGTTTATAAATGGGTTAATCCAGCCTCTAGTGGCTGTCTCATTGAGCATGCTTTCCTATGGACTGGCTGAATGCGCGCGCAGCTCCTGCCGCGCATGCGCATTCAGCCGAAGAGGAGGATAGGAGGCGCCCGGCGCTGGAGAAAGAGGTAAGTTTAACCCCTTCCTCCCCCTAGAGCCGCGCGGGAGGGGAAACATGAGGGTGGGGACACCCTCAGGGCACTATAGTGCCAGGAAAACGTGTATGTTTTCCTGGCACTATAGTGGTCCTTTAAGCTGTATATTTCCACTATTTTCCAGTATTTTAAGACATTCAAAAAAATTATACAAGCATACATATTTTTCTTGCCTATGCTGTTTTTTTGTGCACTTATAAATTAAAATGATTTATTTATGTTTGTATATAATATACATAGTATATATATATATATATATATATATATATAAAAGCAAATGTACTAGTTGTCTGTCATTCTAATCAGTATTTTCAAGATTTTTAATTACTCAGTTTCCCTTTAGTCAGCAGGGCACTGGGATTACCTTGTCGGATAATTACCAACTTCTCCTCTGCCCATGACACAAATAACAACCTAATTATTGAAACGTACTACAAAGTGACAGGTGAACCTTCAGACAGAGGAGGCGACAGCATCTGGTAAACATGAGACAAGTGCAATATTTTAACGCTTGGCTCCTTTCCTAGCGTTCAACGAGTGTAAAAGACAAGTTTGCGACTACAAGCTACCAATATATATGTTAGTTAAAGAGGATCATAATTTTTCTGGATTTACAGTATTATATTTACATATTTGCTATATTTAAACACTTCACCACCAGAAACCAGGAAAAGCCAGTTGTAGTACAAATGGTTGATAGGAGTGCCATATTGCCATCACACACTAAGATCTAAGATGTTTTTGTATGCTTTGACAATTTACCTATTTCCCTCTGGGCATATCCTGCAGGAGAAGTCGAAGTTGTGCTCAGCTGATATGTTCAGACAGTGATTGTGGGTATGCTTTGTTCCAATGCTGTGAGCTTTTAGTCCTTGTAACGCTAACAGTTGGAGCATATTTGCACAGCATAACAGGTGCATTGTCGCCATATGGGAAGGTGGAATTGTATACCTCAAACCCAGCCCCCCCCTACCAATCAAACAATGACACTCTGAATTTAGGGTCAATATGTCCAAAGCTTTTTTGATAACTTCTGACATCAAAATTAAACATACTAAAAATCAGTGCCCAGCCATACATCAGCAAAACATATCCCGCATGTCATGAATAAACTTAATGATCCTTACTGTAAACATTATTCTAACAATGTAACGCCATACAAATATAAACAAATAAAGTGCAACAGAATTATTAACAGCATCCTGGTAGGGGTATATCCAGATACCCCTACACTCGTCAAGGGGTTCGAAACCCACCAACATTATACCAACATTATAACCAACAAACTTCCCTAACTCTTCTTAACTAAACCAGGGATGATTTTCTCCCTAGCCCTCCCCTCACCTACCCCGTTGTTGTTACCAAACAAGGCTGAAAAGTAAACCACCTTACAAAGAGAGGGAAGAAAGGACCAGCTAAGGCTGGGGAGTTAATTAAATGTGGCACGGATCAAAATGGCAGGCTTATATATACTAGCCTTACCCCTAACCCTACCTACCAACCCTCTGCCATGTCCACCTAAGCCTGCCTTCTAGCCTGATCAAGGCCCTCATTCCCTACGCTGTGCTTGCTCCGTGGGGCTACATACTGGTGAAAGACAGTCAATAATGGCATAACCTCCCACTCCCATGCTGCCCACCAACAAACCCTCCCAGGCAACTAGAGAGTGTGATGTCATCAAAGGAGGATCAGACTGAGGAAAGAACTTGCAATAGAGATAAGTTTATGCATTTTTCTTTTTTTCTTTTTTTTATTTCAGCACATGAGTCAGACTGAATGGACCAGCACAGCAAGGCTTACTTGAACCGAAACCATTGTTTTCTTAAAGCACAGTTTTTTGTTTTTTTAAATAAAATAACCCTTTAAACATAGAATAAATGCATTTTTAAATACAAGTAAAAGAACACTTTAAGCATTATAACCACTACAGCACACTGTAGTGGTCATGATGCCAGGCAGCCGGTGTGGCTGCAACTGGGCCCACATGCTCTGGGGGCCCATTGGGTGGCCCATGCACTTAAAGCCACCCAATGGATATTTCTTAACAAGGGCCCGATCGGGTTCAGCGGGCCTTTTAACAGCTGACGGACCTCGGTAATATCGTCGGCCAGTGCACTGCTATGAGTGCTTGTCACTTCCTACCAGATACATATAGAGAGCACATAAAGGGAGGAGAAGAGGAGGAGGAGGCAGAGACCCATCTGTGTGTGTGTGTGTGTGTGAGTGTGTATGTATATATGTATGTCAGTGTGTTTTTATGTGTGTATCAGCGTGTCAGTGTGTGTCTGTCATTGTGTGTTTGAGTGTGCGTATATATGTGTGTGTGTGTATCAATGTGTCAGTGTGTGTATCTGTGTGCTTGTCTCAATGTGTATGTGTGTATGTGCATGCATCCCAGCAATCACATGCCTGCAGTCAAACGCTAAACTTATATAGAAACACACCCTTTATTCAAACACCAACACTACACACAAATGTACACCTTAAAAGTTAACACTACATATAAACACACCCCTGCATTCAAATGCAAACATTACATGGAAGTACACCACTGCATTCCAATGGCTAAAGTACGTAAAAATACACCCCTGTATTCACACACACTCGGTAAATATCTGAGTAGCAGCATTACAATTAAAAATTCCACACCGAGGTATGAGTTAGAGAGTATGAGGTAGGAAATTCCTCTAAAAACTCTATATCTGACAGATTGCCTTTTTATGTATTGCAGCATATATATATGTTTTTTGCAGCTCATAATCAACACAAATGTGTTAATTTAAATACATAAAATGGATGTTATATTTTGTATGTCTAGTACAGGTTATGATTTTATCTACTGAAAATTATTTGTTTGTTGGAAGCAGTCTCAGTGTGCTGTATATGATAGGTGCTAAATGACTTACATCTGGGAGGAAAGCCTAGCTAAAATAATACTACTGAGAGACTACATTATGGTTTAGGTTTCTGTTTGCCTTTTAATTAATCTTTATTAGACTTATGTTACTTACTAACTCATTACTGGCAAAGAGTTAAAGGAATACTCTAAGCATCAAAAGACATTTAGCTTAATGCAGCAGTTTGGTGTATAGATAATGCCTCCGCAGTCTCACTGTTCAATTATCTGCCATTCCAGAGTTAAATCACTTTGTTTTTATTTATACAGCCCTAGCCACACCTTCCCTGGCTGTGATGTTTCATTTTCAATCAGATCTGACAGCACAGTGTGTTTACGTGAGACATTTTTTTTATCCTGCTCTCTTATTTGAACGTGAGTCACACATAGGATGCTCCTGCAGGCTATAGAAGGCTATTAACAGAGCAGGATATCTCCTGCTCTGGGAATTATAAATTAAGGATATTTAAACATTAAATCTCTCTTTACAGGAAATGTATAGGGAGACTGTGCAAGTCACATGCAGGGGAGGTGTGGCTAGGGCTGCATAAACACAATGATTTAGCTCCTAATGGCAGAGAACTTGCCAGTTAGACTGCAGGGGCATGATCTATATACCAAAACCACTCCATTATAATAAATTGTGTTGGTGTTTTTGAATATATTGTAGGAAAGAGGAAGAGTTTATAAATATGATAACTGGGTCAACTTTGTCTTCTGAAGACAGGTTAAAATGGAAATATAGCACAGATAACCCTCTCAGAAATGCAGACAGAGATTATAGACCCATTGTGCCATAGTCACTACAATGACCTGTAGTAGGTATGGTGTTTAGAGTGCCCCTTAAATTGAAGAAGAGTCCACACGAACTTCAGCTTCTGTTCAATAGATGTGTATAGTTGGCAACACTGTGAGACAATGTCTGTAGTGCCAGCTCTCTAGTTGTTAGTCTAGTTGTTAGTCCATAAGATATTTATCTCAAGTTTAACTTTAAATATATTATTTATATATATATTGATCTTGAATTATTTATCCAAATGTAACTTGTTAATTAAATTTACTGTACAGCAAGCATGTCAAACTCACGGGCCGTCTTTGCGGGCCAGCTAGCCGCGAGTGCATGCTGGTGTTATAGCAGAGTAGGCACCTGCTTTCCCCATATTGCAGGTGCCTACTCTGCTAGCACTTACACGGCCAGCGAGGGAGCTCAGCCTTCCAACTCCTCACTGCTCCCTCGCGCGTGCTTACTGAAGTGAAGCTGGGCGCAGGAATATGATGTCATATTCCGGCACCCGGCATCACTAAACCGCGCGAAGGAGCAGTGAGGAGCTGGAAGGACCCCAGGGAGATGCCCCACATCGGCATAAGGTAAGGAGCAATGAAGAAAATAATGTGTGTGCAAGAATGTGTAAGTGTGTGTGTCTGTTAGTGAGTATGTGTGTGTGTCTGTTGGTGAGTATGTGTGTGTGTGTGTGTCAGTGTGTCTGTATGTGTGTGTCTGTCAGTGAATATGTGTGTGTGTCAGTGGGAGGATCAGATTTGTCACAGGGTGGTAGAGGGGGGTGCTGTGGTTTAGTAGAGGGGGGCTCGGATTTAGTAGACAGGGTGCTGTGGTTTAGTAAAGGGGGATGCTGATGGGGGGGAGGTGGTTTATACTGTACTTTTAAAAATAAACCTACATTTCTATGAAAATTTACGGTATTTTTTTTTTTTTGCGGCCCACATAAACTTAAACCTTGTTTATGTGACCCGATCCACACTTTGAGTTTGACATGCTTGCTGTACAGCTACTTTAATTCAAGATACACCTTGCGTGCTTGCATTGAAACACTGTAGCTAGTACAAAGTTTGAATTTTAAAGTGATTTAAAATGATAGCCTGCAAACTGCAGTTTATCCAGTAGGTGTCAGTAATTCTTCATGCTACATCTGTAAATATGGCCTAGCGTAGTGATTAAAGAAAGTCATTTAGTAGAAATTACTCTAGGAAAGAGTCAGTACTCTCCTGCACCATAACCACTACATTGGGCTCTAGTGATTATGTTGCTTGCGATGTTTCTTGAAGTCCACAAGGGCATTGCACTTGATAGACATTAGACAATATGCTCCTTATGTAATCCTCTCTTATAATTTATTTGATTATAGCTATAATAACATCTTTGAAGGAGTCACATGAACTAAACATAACCGTAATTTTATATTAAAAATTTCTTTTTTTCAATAGATCCTTTAAACACGCTATTGTAAATCAATACTTAATAGGTCATTTGAGAGAGCACTGACATACAAAATATAGTAATAAGAAAATAAATTGAATCTGCCAGAATGGACTAAGCTAGTTTAAAACGAATGCCTAACTGATTATGATACATACAATTTTATGGGAGGGGGGATGTAACTTTAGGACAATTACATGAAAACTTACAGGAACAATAGGTTAAAGAGGAATGGTTGTGAGCGATCCAACACATTGCTATGACAACAGCACTCGTATTGCCAAACCACAGTTGCATTCTAGTTAAATTGTTATAACGAGAAAAAAAATAGCATTAATTGATAAATGAAGATATTTTTGTTTTTTGTTTTTATCCAGGAATTTCCACTGCTGGAATGAAAGCTGGTTTCGAAGAAGCGACCTTGATGCCAAATATAGTGGATGGCAAATCTGGGATTCGACTCCACAGGAAAAGAGTGATGGTAAGACACAATTATGTTGTAAGAGTGAGAATTTATTAATTTAGGAAATTTCCTAAAAAGGTATTACAAAGTGTTACATGAAAACTATGGCAGCAATCGGATGGTTACACCAAAGCATTGCAAATATAAATATATAAAGGTGGCTGGCCAGCAACTGTCACATCTCTTATTTTGTGCAGCTACCCACTCGTAATTTACCTTATTTTTGTTCACTATTAGTAAGGGAAATTAGGAGAAATTTGAGCGACAGTCCCTTTTAATTTGCGTGATCCTTCCTTCCTTTCTCTCAAGAAGAAAGATCTTTCTCATATCTCCCACTATTCAGAGGTATGAAGAGAACAGAGTGTGGTCAGTACACTCAATGTTACTTTTGTCCAGAGAGTTGTATAAGTCCTGAGTCAAATTATATTTAGTCTATAATGCAGGCAAAACACATTTCTTTTATTTCTTATGGGATTCATATTCAACTGTAGGTTATAACAGAATGGTACAATCATAAAACATAAAACAAAAAATTATTCCCTTGTTTAAAAGTTTGCATACCCTTAGTTCTTAATACTGTGTATTGCAATGACAGCATGCAGTCTTTTGTAATAGTTGTCTATGAGGCCCCTAATTCTTGCAAGTTGTGTAGCTGCCCATTTTTCTTGGCAAAATGCCTCCAGGTCTTGCAAAGCCTGTGGTCGTCTTGCATGAACCACACGTTTGAGATCTCCAGAGTGGCTCGATGATATTAAGCTCATCAGAATGTGATGGCCACTCCAGAACCTTCCCCTTTTTCTGCTCTAACCACTGGAGGGTCAACTTGGTCTCATCCGTAAGGTCAGGGACGTTTTAGCCGCGAGGCAAACATGGCATTTGCCTTGGGCGGCATTTTTCAGGGGGCGGCAAAAAACGCAGCCCCCAAATGCCCAGGGCAAATGCCTGGTTAGCCTCGCGGCTAACAGACATGCTGGGCTGGGCGGCGCTGGCTACTGGGCGGGCGGCTGGCGAGGGAGCTCTTCCTCTGAGTGGTCTGCTCAGCTTCCTCGCGCGCCGCACAGTGAGACTGGGAGCCGGGTTGATGACGTCATATTCCGGCTCCCAGCCTCACTCTGCGGCGCGCGAGGGAGCTGAGCAGACCGCTCAGAGGAAGTGTTCCCTCGCCAGCCACCCGCCCAGCGCCGCCCGCCCAGCAGCCAACCCATCAGCCCGACTGGCAGCCACTGGACCACCAGGGAGAAAGAGGAACCCCCCCAGCACTCCCAAAGGTAAGGAGGCTGGGGGGGGGGTTAAATAATAAATTAAAAAAGTGTTAATGTGAGTGATTGTGTGTGTTTGTGTCTGACTGTGTGTGTCTGACTGTGTGTGTGTTTGTGTCTGACCGTGTGTGTGTGTGTGTTTGTGTCTGACTGTGTGTGTGTGTGTCTGACTGTGTGTGTGTGTGTGTCTGACTGTGTTTGTGTCTGTGTGTGTGTGTGTGTGTGCTGGTAGGTTCGACCGTGTGTGTCTGACTGTGTGTCTGACTGGGTGTGTGTGTCTGACTGTGTGTGTGCGGACTGTGTGTGTGACTGTGTGTGTTTGTGTCTGACCGTGTGTGTGTCTGACTGTGTGTGTATTTTGTTTGTGTGTGTCTTGACTGTGTGTGTGTGTGTGTGTGTAAAATCTGGACTGTGCGTCTGACTGTGTGTTTGTCTGTGTGTGTGTTTGTGTCTGACTGTGTGTGTGTGTGTGTGTGTGTCTGACTGTGTGTGTGTTTGTGTCTGACTGTGTGTGTTTGTGTCTGACCGTGTGTGTGTATTTGTGTCTGACTGTGTGTGTGTTTGTGTCTGACTGTGTGTGTGTTTGTGTCTGACTGTGTGTGTGTGTCTGACTGTGTGTGTGTTTGTGTCTGACTGTGTGTGTGTTTGTGTCTGACTGTGTGTGTGTGTGTGTCTGACTGTGTGTGTGTGTGTCTGACTGTGTGTGTGTTTTGTGTCTGACTGTGTTTGTCTGTGTATGTGTCTGACTGTGTGTGTGTGTCCGACCGTGTGTGCGTGTGTTTGTGTCTGACTGTGTGTGTGTGTGTGTGTGTCTGACTGTGTGTGTGTGTTTGTGTCTGACTGTGTGTGTGTGTTTGTGTCTGACTGTGTGTCTGACTGTGTGTTTGTCTGACTGTGTGTGTGTGTGTCTGACTGTTTGTGTGTGTGTGTGTGTGTGTATGTATTTAGAAGGTGGGGCGGGGGGAAGGGTTGGGAGGTGGTGGCGCGGGGGGTGCCTAGGGCAGCACAAAACCAGGATACACCACTGCGTAAGGTCATTGTCTAAGAGCTTCTCATGCACAGTCTTCGTGCAGAAGAATGCATATTGTCTCATAGTATTTTCTGATAACATGCTGCATTCATCTTTTCATCAATTTTCACAAGATTCCCCTTGCCTTTAGAGCTCACATCCCCCCCAAAACATGAGTATGCCACCACCATGCTTCACAGCGGGAAGGGTATGCTTTTCACTATATGCTTTGATGACCTATCTCCAAGCATAGCGCTTATGGTAGTGACCATAAAGCTCTATTTTGGTCTTGTCACTCCAAATAACGGTGTGCCAGAAGCTATGAAGCGTGTCAAGGTATTGTCTGGCATATTGTAACTTGGCTATTTTGTGGCGTAGGCGCAAAAAAAAAGACTTCTTTCTGGTAACTCGACCACGCAGCTCATTTTTCTTCAATTATTGTCATATTGTGCTCCTTGAAACAACCACACCGTCTTTTTCCAGAGCAGCCTGTATTTCTCCTGAGGTTACCTGTGGGTTTTTCTTTGTATCACGAAAAATTATTCTGACAGTTGTGGCTAAAATCCTTCTTGGTCTATCTAACCATGACTTGGTATCAAGAGATCCCCGAATTTCTCACTTCTTAATAAGTGATTGACTGGCATTTTCATGGCGTTGGATATCTTTTTATATCCTTTTCCATCTTTATAAAGTCCCATTACCTTGTTACACGGGACTTTTGACAGTTCTTTTCTGCTCCCCACGACTCAGTATCTAGCCTGTTCAGTGCATTCACGTTAGAGCTAACAAACTCATTGACTATTTATACACAGACACTAATTGCAATTTAAAAAGCCATAGGTGTAGAAAATTAACCTTTAATTGCCATTTTAACCTGTGTGTGTCACCTTGTGTGTCTGTAACAAGGCCAAACATTCAGGGGTATGTAAACTTTTGAGCATGGTCATTTAGGTGGTTTCAGTTATCATTGTGATTTAAAAAGGAGCCTTTCTGATATAAAACAGCTTGATATGATCACTATCCTTCAATAAAATAAATTTTTTTTTTTGCATGATCAGTCATATTTTCAAAATTAATGCCAAAATTTTACAATTTATGCCATGGTATGCAAACTATTTGCTTAAGAGTACTTGATATTAAAGAGGATAAGGCTGCAGATACAGTTCCTCAGTCCTAAAATAAAGTTGAAACTAAATGGAAAACAGGGAGATAAGATCGATTGAGCAGGGCCTTCATCAAATCCCCCTTTTATAGCTGTAAAGCGCTCCCTTATATGTTGGTGCTAGATAATGATGATAATAATAATAAGAACATTGGTGTGTAATAGATAGTGAGTAGGTAAGTGATTAAGAAGCGAGAAAATCGAATGAAAACAAAACACAGATGAATCTTGGGGCTGTTTGGTAAAGTTTATAAATGTGAATGTGGTTTTACAATTTTGTGTACTTTGAATAAATGCTGGAAAATCAGTAAAACGGATTCCTCTTTATGGTTTTCTTGCAAGAAAAACATAAAAGACGTACATTTAAACCAGAAAGACATAATTATAAAGAATGATTTCTAATATAGTACCTGATAATATTGTCATGAGAGTAAGAACCCTGAATACGAGGCGATTGCGTGTCGGGTGCATTGCTGACTTAATTTGGTTTCTCCCTTTCTTTATCCCTGCTATTGGAACAATTCAGCTGAAACATATGTAGGTGTCAGAATAGACCATTAATTTTAAAATATAGGGAAAATCAAGTACCCACCAGTTTTGGTAACAATTTCATTCTGTCTATTGTGGGATTACATTTTTGGATGCAGTGTACACCCCCTAGTGGAGATATGATGAAATGACATATCTTACTATTACAAATGGCCTCTGAATATAGGAACTGATACCTTAATCTTTTAGATAGTGCTCTCTAGTAGTGATGTAGTGAATTGCTGCTCCTTATTATCTTAACTGCTCTTGTGAACGTGAAGTAAAACTCTTCTAAATTTAGTTGTTATGGTGCCAAGAGGTCCTCTGTCACTTGAGGGGTTAAACAATTCTGGAATAGTTTAACCCCAAAAGCTCCTCCATCACCGGATCTTCTGATACACCCATTGCACCAGGCTTCTGAAAATTAGTTTCAGGTAGGGCAGACAGGGTCTCAGCTGATTGGCTAGAGCAGTTAGCTGACACTCTAAGTCAATCAGCAGCTCCCCATTCATAAAAAAGTTATGTTCCTTTAGTAACTTGAGTTTTGTTTTGTTTTATCTCATACATATTATTTTGGTGGTGACAGTTAAAATTTTGGTAAAGATTGGAAGAAAAATAAATTTTAAAGTAAATATATTGTAACAAACTTGTAATAAACTATGTGATGGACTAAATCTTAACAGACTTTAGTGAAGAGCTTCCCTACTTCGTTTCCCCAGTTTAACCGAACACAATATTTCGCCCTTGGTTCAGTATTTTCATTTGACCGAACACTGACCACCCCCCTGGCTCGTTAACTTCAAAAGAAACGCCTAACTCAAGAGCTCTCTCTGGGTGGCTGCCATTCGAAAAACTGACCACACGTGCTCTAGTAAATGGTAGCCATTTTGTCTCCCCAACGCAGGCAGAAGTATTTGGTCATCGAGTGTGTGGAACTGTATTTCAGATGCTTTGACTAGCAAACCCCGGGGAAAATCATACCATTGCCTGCTCCATTCCCAGACAAGTCAGGAGAGAGCTATGCATGGAAAAAGACACTCCCGAACAAGGAGAACATTCACCCCCTATGAGCCAGGGGGATCCGTCATTTATATTTGTATAGGAACTCCCGGCCGCTATCTCTTTTCCCCTGGAACTATTTTGGGGAGCAGCCACATGTTAGATTGGTCAAAACTTTACCCTGGTGGCGATTCGGCTATACTACATTTTTTTTTTTGCTTAAAGGAAATAGTTTACAAAAGCTGCAGTTCTTGTGACATTAAGAACTTGGAATCTTGTGACTGCAGCCTTTGTAAGCCCCTCTCTTTTTTTTCCCAGAAGAGACTTTCAGTTTCTTCACAAAGAAATAACCAATCAAAGGCACGCATGTTGAGTGCACATATATAGGCGCGCGCATGCACCCGGTCGAATGTGCAGGGATGAAGGTGTCAAGCTGGTCTGAGGTCTGTAAGGGAGGGAGGAGAGGCAGGCACACTCAAGTAGAGCATGCCTGCATCTTCCCTTAGCTCAGGGAGCTAACGGAAGTAGGAAGGAATCCTCCCTGGCAGTTTTATTGACAGCCAGGGGGGAGTTCCCTGGTTAATTTATATCAGTGCTAGAAATCAGCACTTTTATAAACTGGGGTTAAATGAGGATGCTGATGAAGGTAAAACCTTAGTCATGTTTTGGCTGATGCTTGGGAACACAAGAGCAATATCACACCTTCACTCTGCGGGACTAGGGAGACTCTTCAACGGATATACTTAGCCGGAGTATAGGGGATCTGTTACATATATTCCTTGGGTTTTATTTTTTTATTTTTTTTAGACATTAGCATTATTGAAAAACTCTGACTGTTCTTCTCAATGTGTAACAATAATTTTGGCCTGCAGAGCCAAAAGTCCATGACATTCATTGCTTTGTTAGCAGGTGGATTTTATCTGCCACCAATATATTTATTTCTAGACATTTTCTACAAGTGAAAATATCATCTAACATCATCTAATTTATTTTCTAATGTTTAGGTATGTTCCAACTGGGGCCCACTTCTCAGTTTGCTATAAAAGAAGGAGATGTTGATAAAAAATACGATACCAGCTTCCTGTATGCAGAGGTAAATGCAGATGTGCTTGTTTTCATTGAACAAAATGATGGAAGTATCACAAAAGGATCTACAGATACTGTATCCATTGGCCCTCTTATTTGCACTAAGGCAGTTGGCATGAATTCTATGAATAACGTCACACAGGAATACAAACATAGAGAAGGTAATATTTGGACTTCAAATCTTCAACAAGATAACTTAAACATATTGATCAATTCAAATTCTAATATGAAATCATATGTTTTTACCGTTTCTGTAGGTACACCAGAAGAAAGACAGGTTTATAGCAAAGCTCGGAGTTTAACCAGTGGAGCAGTAGGATTTGTAGCCTTGTCTTCTGCAGGAGAAACTGCTACAGCTCCTAACAGTGACCCTGTGGTGTCTGGAAAGATAATCATCAATGGAACCCCCACTGTAGGGGATGATATCAATGCTACTTTGTTTCTGAAGAACTTGACCTTGGCTAACAAAAATGTCACTGCCAATGTGAATGCAAGTGCTATTGTATACAACAAACGTGTGAGACGGACAGTTTTCTCAGATTCTGTAGCAGTACAACTGGGCCCTAATGAAGGTATTTATTCATTTTGGAAAAGCAAAACTAAATAAGCAAGCTCTACAGCCAAGAGATTTTTACCTATATTAGATGAACAGGGAGACAAAAAAAAAACAAAAAAACAGTGGACAAGAGAATACTGAGAACAGACAACAACTCAAATAGTTTGGTGGGTCCACACTCTGTTCTCAAGCTGGTTTTAGCTAATTTTGAGCCATTTCAGAGAGAACTTAAACCATTTGCATATCATACTGGACCCACACAAAATGGCGGTACAAATCCAAAATGCAGGCTGGCTCCTTCTGCACTAAAGATACAGTAACCTCAGACCATCGTTTCAGCCTTGGTACACCTCGCCAGTGAGGTATAGGCACAATGAGCAAGCGGTCCATTTTGGATTACCTTTTACCCTCAGGGAGAGCCAACAAACTAAAAACAGGCCCTATTCTCTTATGCTATGTTTTTGCTTCTCATGTGTGAAAAAAGAGCCATATTGCTAAAATTAAATTGCCTGTTTTCCTGTTCTGTTATATAATGGACAATGTCTGTTTTCACAAGATGAAAAAATGGTCTTAATCATTATCATATGGGAAAACCAAAGTGTTCAGGTTTATGCACTTGTCTCATAGGAGCAGGAACAGTTCAAGCACCTCATTCATTGAGAGCTGGGAGCTATCAGCTCTAAACTGGAGCTGTGGTGCAAGGCTCAGCTCATTGACTGATAGCAATCAGCTGCAAATGCTTTGAATATTTGGACTGGGAGGGAGCCAGTGCAAATCTAGTGGTTATGGTTGTTGGAATGTTGCTATAGGGTGTCTGGAATGGATTAAGCTCATACTTTTAAGGGCCACTCTAAACACCATAACCACTACAGCTTGTGTTTTTGACTGGTTTGACACAAACTGAGAGTTCTCCAGGAAACAGTGGCACAACCATTCTCTTAAAAATTGCTATTACTGCAATATCAAATTTGGATGCAATTCAGTGACTAAGCACAACATAATACACCAGTAAGAACAAGGATAGTGGTGAGAGCACTCAATAAAAAGAAATAAAAGTTTTTTAGACCAGTAATCTGCAGGGGCCATAACTAATGACCATCAAGAATATTTTATTTCAGTGTTTCATGAAATGTACATAATGATTTTTGTCTGTAATAATTACAATAGCATAATTTAAACAAACATAAAGTATATATAACATTTTTTATAAGTGTGTATATATATATATATATATATATATATATATATATATATATGTATTATTTGCACATATTCTGTACACAAACACCCGATTATTTATGTATCCATTATGCTAGCACAGTAATCACACATACAACCAACATCTGATAAAATGATAAAATATAAATATTGTGTGAGGTAAAGGCATTATCAATATCTACTAATGGTCTAGTATGGGGAACTCGTTGAGGTAGAGTCAAGGGCATGAACTAAGTTTTTTGAACATTAGCAGTGGTAGCTCCCCAGATATTATACAACTGAAAAGTCCATGATGTCTTGCCATTCGAGAGCATCATGGAAGTTGTAGATCCGTAAGATCTGTGTGGGTCTACCTTTCACCCAGCACCTCACTGACGCTCCATGTAAAAATCAAAGAACAAGCTCATTGTAGTTGTCAAGTTTAAGATATTCTTAACATAGGAAACCCCAGGCCATGGACCTTAGCACCACACCACTATCTATTTATGTTCTATTAATTTGAATCACTGTTTCCTGAGCAAAGCCTCAGTCTGACTCAGAAGCTCCAATGTGATAAAAATGTGATGAGGGACAATGGCAAGTTTGTAGAAACTACATAAAATGCTAAATCCAAAAGTGTTAACATACTCATGCTCATTTCACCTTCAACGGACCATTTACTACAAGCTTACTGTTTAGATTATTATTAAACAGCCACCACTGTGACTATCCCAACCAATTACACCATAGTTTGAGATGCTTTGGCTCAGTTCCAAAAGTCACTATTTAAATATTATCATGTGTTTTGTACCACCCAGAAAATCCCTTTTTGTGAGACTTTGAAAGGGCATTATTTTTTGTCAAATATTTTGTTATGGGTGGGGGATGTCATTAACATTTTTGTACACTTTGTTTTCCATTATTCTACTCTGTAGAAAAACCAGTCGCATTACAAATTCTTTATTCTCAATATGAAAACTCGCTGACAACTGATAAGATGATCCAAGTGTGCAGTGTCTGCCAAGTTGAAGGTTGGGGGGAGCTGTATGTCGAAGCAAACATCACACTTCAGAATCCTCCCATGGAAATAAAGGTTACATTCTTCTCTGTCTGTCCTGTGTGTCTGTCTGTGTCTATCTATCACTCTAATTACCCAATCACTCTGTTTCTGTCTATCCCTCTAATCTTGTAATTAGGTATAAACTAAGAAAGACGTGTTTCAAAGCTCTATTTATCTGTAACTATCTGTCAGTGTTTAAATCTAATCTACTGATTTCTAGAATGTAAGAAGAGAATGTCATACTTCATGGTTCCTATGGAAAACTCAAATTCTAACAAACAATTACATATCTTTACAATAGGCAGTTGGTTACAATTTGGTATAAAGACTTGCTTGGTCATTGCAAAGGGCTAATGCCCCAGATGTCACACTACGAAGCCCTGGATTTGACTTTATTTATTGGCAGCTAGCCCTTTCAGTTCTTAGGTTGCAGCCTTTGACCAACTTCAACAGACCCAATACCTACATTTATTCCATCTTTAAATCAGGAGGCAAATTGCCTCGTAATTATAGATGGATCTATGATATTGGGAAATACATTTGTGATATATCCTTGATTTGATTGTATCGAAGCAGTGACACGTTTTCGGACACTGCTCCCTCGCAGTGCATTCTGTTTGTGAACAGCCTGTCAAAAGTGTGGTGAATGTGAAGGTATGATGAGCTTCATACAAACAGTGCTTTGAAACAAACAGCAACAGAGAGTGGGCCAAAAGAGTCACAGCCTACTGCTGCTACCAATAACATGAATTCGTTCACTGTCTCCTGTATTACCAATATCCAATTAAGATCCAGGAATGCCCAACTGTGCTTCAGTGTTGCAACTCTGGAAATCAACATGTGTAACTTTAGTAAAACCAATGTTTTGTTTAATCAAAAGTATCAGGTAAAACAATAATGAAGATCAATAACAAAATTCACCAACTCACACATTGTGTGTGAATCTCTCACACCATTAGATCACAAGGTAAGCCAGGAGAAAGGTAGAGGATTTGGGTTAAGTAATAAGGAGGTATGTAGATGAATGTGCAAAGAATAGATGATGCATTTAAGGGAAGTTGGACTGTTACCCCTAAGTTTGGAAAGTAGTTTCAGCAGATCCCAGGTGGGATATGTGAGGTTTCTGTCCAAAAGAGTGCAGTTCTAGGAATCTTTGGACTCCCAGGTCTCTGGTAGAGGAACCGAGAATTAAGAATAATGCCAAAATACCACACAGAAGGGTGAGAAAATAATTTTTTCATGATATAAACAAACACCCGAGTGCTTTTGTCCAAAAAAGTATTGACTTAACAGAATTATAGAGTGTTTAAATATCTTATACATTAAATGCTTATGTATATTGGATTGATTTTTCAGGCTCTTGGACCAGCTGTTTTGGGTACACCGTTACAATTGGAAGTCACATTCACTAACCCTCTCTCCATGCCAGTGGCTGATTGTGTACTGACAGCAGAGGGCAGTGGTGTAACACATGTGATCCATAAAAGGCAAGTATAACTTTAGTGGGTAGACGTAAACATAATAATTTGAAATATATCGTAAAATTAACAAAAGATTTAAAAATGGGCACATGGGCAAGTTTGTAGTGTATCATTTTATTTTATTTTTGTGTATAGAAACGTGTCATAAACCCTTCACTACATTATATTCTTTAAAGAAAATAGCATAACATTTGAAATATGGAATGTATAGCTAACATATTAACACTGTTTAGAATTATACTTTTGTATATACATTGCTGTTCAGAGACATTTAATGAATATATTCTGTAAATGTTCACAATTTTTTTTTTTTTTTTTAGCATTCAAAAATATCAGGAAATTACATGTTTTAGATATATTGTCCTTATCGTTTACCTATTTTAAATATAGATAGATACTCCTTACCTTACAATATTTCGGTAAGGGTCAGGGGCAAGCATGTCAAACTCAAGGTTAGCACGGGCCAAATAAACAAAGTTTGGTTTATTTTGAAAAGTACAGTATAAAAAAAACAAAAAAACAGCATCCCTCTCTTCTAAACCCCAGCACCCTCTTCTACTAAACCCAAGCCCCCCCCCGCTACTAATCCACAGCCCCCTCTCTATATTTAAACCCAGTCCCACTCCCTCTTTACTAAATCCCAGCAACATGTTTAAAAAAACAAAACAAAAAAACAATATTAGCCAACAAGCAGACTTCCCTCACATTGCCGCTGTCAGTATGCAACTCCGGAGTCCAGCCTCTGTATACCTGCAATGGCGCTGTACGCACACTGTGCCAAAGTGGATCCTCCCACTACTCCTTGAAAACCTGTGAAGGTGGAGCACATCGATGTCCCGTGTGAATGTGACGTGTCGTTGCGTGCCTCCGTGCACCTCCAGGTTGCCCACTATCCTGTCGCAGCCATCGCAACACTGACCGACACACACTCACTGACAGACACACACACTCACTAAGAGACACACACTCGCTGACAGACACACACTCACTCACTGACACTCCCTTCCTGCTCGATTACACCCATGAAGTTTGACCTACAAAAGTTGATGTATAGTGTAGGAGGAATGTGTCATACACAGTCCCAATTAGAAATGTAATAATTATTTGTTATATTCTCACAGCATTGGAGTTTTGGAACCTGCACAGACGATTTCTGTCACTATAGACACTATGCCCTATATGTCTGGAACTAAGCAACTGCTAATCATTTTCACCGCAGACAAGTTTCACATGATAAAGAATTTTACTACTATCGAAATAGCTGAAGGCTGATGTCACAGAAGTTTCCTCGTACAAGCTACTCCATTCAGTTACAGTTTTTAACAATTACATTAAGTAAAAACTTTGTAGAATGTCCATAAGCATGTGCTCAGTACACTATATAATAAGTAAACCTCCTAATTCACCAAAGCGACTAATGCATTTATATTTATCAAATTGTAATTATCTAAAGCTTTAATAAAGTTACCATTTTGCATTATTATGCATATCTATAAGAATGCGTCATATTTATTTTATGAATGGTCTCTCTTTTGACCTCGACATATCTTCAGTTATCCAATATATGTGAACAACAGTGTCGGGTAATTAGAAAGTATACATTTCTTAAAAGGGGCGGCTTTGTAGTTATTGATGTTTTTATCTAGGTATAGGAAGCAGTGAAACCTGGTTGTGCGGACTCTATGTTATCACTTTAATTTCCCTCTATCAATAATTTAAATTGGAAAGAGATTATGAGGACAGAGTCCAATTTACATGTCAGGTGCCTGTAGGCACAGAATTCTAAGGTGAAAATTAACTTATTAATGGTTTGCACCCTTACCTGGAACCCACAGTGCTCCATAGAAGATCCGTGAATTAGGAATACACAATATACTACCCAGAGTGTCCAGTGACCTGCTTTTGGCTTCTGCCGCGGTCAACATTTATTGACTGAGAGCAACATAAGTAGAATTGACATTTGCCAGCACAGAACACCCCTTTGGCAACAGAGGAGTTAATTTCTTGTGCAGCGTTTCAAAGTGAAAAGCTGCACAGACTCCAGTCACTATGACCACTTCAAATCACTTAAGTAACCCTTTAAGTAACCCTTTAAGCTTCAAAACGGTTCTCTAGTCTACAAGTGCTGAAAACAGGCACCGCCTTGTGGACATGCACCTATAGGCAGGTGCTTACTCTGCCTAATAAGAAATCCAACCTTGTGTTCTGTTGGTAGAAAGTACTAGGTGTAGCGGGTCTCAGAATCATGGCTGAATATACCCACTTAAGTCTGCTTCCACCCTCCAACCACCAACTGTTTAACCTTTCACTGGTTCCAGGGCAATATCAGCGTATCATCTGCTAAAGTTGTTCGAGCTACTCACAACATTCATGCACCAGGGGATCAATAGTGTAATATATTTCCTCCTGGAACCTAGCAGTCTGAAGGTAAAACACTACATTCAGATTTTAAAATAACTGATTTATTACTTACACCTGGAAGAGATTAGCACATTAACCTAATGACAGTAAATTCAAACAATAGCTGATGCCAAGAAACCTGTATCCTACAGTTTTCCCAAACTTTCCCATATATTTAACCAAGCGCAAGACAATCAGACAAACTCCCTTTCAAAACACAGAACCTCAAAATCTTAACTGAAAGTCCTAAGATGAAAATGGGGACCTCAGTTGAGAAAAAGGATAAATGAGTCATTTATTACACATGAGTTTACAGAGGAAAGTGATGGAAACCATGTTAAAGGATAAGATTGTTGAACATCTAAAAACACATGGATTTCAAGATCAGAGACAACAAGGGTTTACTTCAGGGAGATCATGTCAAACTAATCTTATTGATTTTTTTGATTGGGTAACTAAAATTATAGATCAGGGTGGTGCAGTAGACATTGCTTACCTAGATTTCAGTAAGGCTTTTGACACTGTTGCACATAGAAGGCTTATCAATAAACTGCAATCTTTAAGTTTGGATTCCAATATTGTTGAATGGGTAAGGCAGTGGCTGAGTGACAGGCAACAGAGGGTTGTGGTTAATGGAATATATTCGAAGCTTGGACTTGTCACCAGTGGGGTACCTCAGGGATCTGTACTTGGACCCATTCTCTTTAATATTTTTATTAGTGATATTGCAGAAGGTCTTGATGGTAAGGTATGTCTTTTTGCTGATGATACTAAGATATGTAACAGGGTTGATGTTCCAGGAGGGATAAGCCAAATGACAAATGATTTAGGTAAACTAGAAAAATGGTCAGAATTGTGGCAACTGACATTTAATGTGGATAAGTGCAAGATAATGCATCTTGGACGTAAAAACCCAAGGGCAGAGTACAGAATATTTGATAGAGTCCTAACCTCAACATCTGAGGAAAGGGATTTAGGGGTGATTATTTCTGATGACTTAAAGGTAGGCAGACAATGTAATAGAGCAGCAGGAAATTCTAGCAGAATGCTTGGTTGTATAGGGAGAGGTATTAGCAGTAGAAAGAGGGAAGTGCTCATGCCATTGTACAGAACACTGGTGAGACCTCACTTGGAGTATTGTACACAGTACTGGAGACCGTATCTTCAGAAGGATATTGATACCTTAGAGAGGGTTCAGAGAAGGGCTACTAAACTGGTTCATGGATTGCGGGATAAAACTTACCAGGAAAGGTTAAAGGATCTTAACATGTATAGCTTGGAGGAAAGACGAGACAGGGGGGATATGATAGAAACATTTAAATATGTAAAGGGAATCAACACAGTAAAGGAGGAGACTATATTTAAAAGAAGAAAAACTACCACAACAAGAGGACATAGTCTTAAATTAGAGGGACAAAGGTTTAAAAATAATATCAGGAAGTATTACTTTACTGAGAGGGTAGTGGATGCATGGAATAGCCTTCCAGCTGAAGTGGTAGAGGTTAACACAGTAAAGGAGTTTAAGCATGCGTGGGATAGGCATAAGGCTATCCTAACTATAAGATAAGACTAGGGACTAATGAAAGTATTTAGAAAATTGGGCAGACTAGATGGGCCGAATGGTTCTTATCTGCCGTTACATTCCATGTTTCTATGTTTCTGTTTCTAAGAGTCTCTTAGAACATAGTGAAATGTGGTAAACCTGAACCAGGGGCCAGGGATGGTAAGTAGTCCAAATGGTCCCCATGTTTCTCCCTCCCCAAATTGAAACCACGTTCTAGTGCTAGTCAAACTTAACACGTTAAAGCCACCCCGCAGTTTTCTACCTTTCGGGTGCTTGATGGTGTCTACACTGGGGTCCAGTCTACTGGCTGCAGCTGTTGGGAGTTAGGGGCTGTCTATCCTATATGCCTTCTCTATATATCTTCTATATACATCTATATATCTTCTTTTTGCCTTCTCCTCCCACGCAGCGCTCTCTCTGTAGATGGGAGGAAGTGACAGGCTCTTACTTTCTCCCAAGCTGTGATATTACAAGGCCCCGGTTGTGTTGTTCAAGGGCCACTGATGATACATGATCATCTGGTAACCCTAAGTGTATGGGTTACACTGGCTGCACCAGGGGTAATCCTGACACTGGCTTGCACTTCATCTTGGTAAAGTGTTTTATGTGTGAAGAGTGTGTCCTGTTTTTTTTTTCCATTCTACAAAAAGAGCAACAATTATAGCTTTAATTTTTTTATTCAACCAAACATGCTGGATGAATTCTATATGCTACTTCTCTGTAGTCGTAGTGACTTTCTAACAAGAGTTAAAGTGAGCACTGCACACATAGCAAAATTGCAGGACTACAAGCTGTTCCAAATCCAGCAGAACACTAGCAATTCAGGGTTCTATCATGTTGTCCTGTGTTTGTTACCTTGTGTCTTGCTTTTGGGTACATCGGGGAACTGTGCCCAGGACGTGTAGGACAATAGGCTAGGTACATTATCACCATGCAGAGAGTGCCATAACATAGTCATGCCACAATAGCACCTTCCAGTGTGTTTGGCACTTAAGCCAGGGGTCACTGGTGCTCCCCCTTTCTGCTTGTCTACCTACCTCCTGCTTAAAGGGACACTATAGTCACCAGAACAATTACAGCTTATTGTATTTGTTCTGTTAAACATAATCATTCCCTTCAGGCTTTTTGCAGTAAACAGTGTCTTTTTGGAGAAAATGCAGTGTTTACATTACAGCCTAGGGATACCTCCACTGGCCACTCCTCAGATGGCTACTTGAGGTGCTTCCTGAGGCAGTGCTGCACACTATGCAATGCTGCCATTCATTGTCTCCACCCTGTGCATGAAGATACTGAACTTTCTTCATAGATATGCATTGATTCAATGCATCTCTATGAGGAGATTCTGATTGGTCAGGGCTGTGTTTGGCTTGTGCTTGCTCTATCCCTGATCTGCCTCCTTGACAGTCTCAGCCAATCCAATGCTTTCCTATGGGAAAGCATTGTGATTGGCTCAGAGAATCACTTCTGATGATGTCTGTCAAGCAGGCAGATCAGGAGTAGAGGCAGCAGCTGCAGACAGGAGGGGGCATGGCGGCTAGATGGTGATTTTAATACTATAGGGTCAGGAATACATGTTTGTGTTCTTGACCCTATCGTGTTCCATTAACAGGATGCCAAAGTTGGGGGTTATGAAAGTGCAAAAAGACCTTGGTCATGAACTCTGATATGCATTGTTCCTTAAGGGGTTAAAGGAAAGGTATTTTTTTATAGTCAATACATATATTCAGGAATTGAGTCCCACAAATATGTATGGCAACCCCTCAACTTTACAAAAGTCTTTCATGTACCCTTTCATGGAAAGGGAACTCAACAGTTTATAAACCCATTGATGAAATAGCAATATTATCACTGGCCACTTCCACAGTGTTTTAGACTATGCAACATTTTAAAGTCACTTTGAATACTAAACAGTTCACACTTTTGTGAATAAACACAATTTTTATTTTTTTTAATCTGTTTGGAAAACAAAACCACAAAAAGTTTACAGTTTATAGACATTTAATGACAAAAAATATGAGGATTACAGGTCCATTTAAATATTTCTATAGAACACAGACGCACAGGTGATTCCTTACACACACACACACAGCTGGATCTCACTGTGTCACATTTCACCATGGTCCAAAATAATGATTAGTTTATTAATATTGACAGAACAGAATCTCAAATGTTTATTGTTAATCTCAACGATAGTGACTCATGAAATGAACAAGCATTCTGCTCTGTATGTATTCCATCAGTTAGAGCCAGTAATCATTACTTTCTGTGATTCCTTCACATTCTTTATTAAATCAGAGGTAAAGGTGACTAGAAGTGTTCTTAATCCACTTTTGAAAGGGGTGATCTCAAAACTTGTTTGATATCGTTCTCCGGGCATCAGTGGTGGAAGGCTAAAAGGAAAACCACAAACAAAGATCAGTTGATTCCAAAAAACATGCAGTTGTAAATATGGTGTGCTCCACCTCTAAAGGTCAACTACAATTTTAAAACATGTTTGCTTTACCTAACTATGGGTCGATTTACTAGGAGTATCGAGAACATATTACTGCTGCAAATAATGGGCAAGAAATATAGTGAACTTGGGTCACCCTGGTTGTGTTTTATCTATCTACCCTAGTTAGCCTCAATGTTGTAAACTATGGGTGCTATAGTGCAATGAAGAATTGATGGTCACAGCTCTCATGAATGGTGCAAAGTGCCTTCATGGTAATATTAAGCAGTGGTGGCCCGGGGGACGGAAGACTTTTCATCAAAATTGAAGGCACAATGTACGATAGGCCTACAAGCTCCATGTGCTCATTTCTGAAGGAATGTTGATGAGAAATATAGTACAACATGGTTTAGATATGTATTTTGAAGTATGAGATATATTTACTCAGAGACATTTTTTTTGCATAGCATGCTTCAAGAAGTTTATATAATCTTGAGGAAAGCAGGGAATAATGGTGTTTTAATATGGAACACACATTATAAAGGCTGCATTGTAACATATGAAGCCAGAAGTTCTGATGTTGTGAGTGATAAGGTTAAAAAACATTTTATGGAATATATAAGATGCTTTGCATTGTAGGGTGACTGTTGTGACATATGTTAACTTTGTAAAAGTAAAAAGCATGTAACAGAATAATCAAAGTCTGAGGCAGTACTGCACACTATGCAACGCTGCCATTCATTGTCTCCACCCTGTGCATGAAGATACTGAACTTTCTTCATAGAGATGCATTGAGTCAATGCATCTCTATGAGGAGATTCTGATTGGTCAGGGCTGTGTTTGACCCTGATGCAAGTAAAAATAAAAATAAAGAAAGTAAAATAGAAGACAAGGATATTAAGTATCTTCACAGATGAGTACACAACATGTTAATAATGCTATAATAGTGCAAATAAAGAAATACCCAAACATAAGAGTTTTGAGTTTCTTAGTTTACTAAATTTACTTTAAAAAAAAAGTTAGAAAAAGCCATTAAACTTACCTTTTATCCAGTTCCAGGACAGACTATTTTCTAATTAAGTCATCAGTTCTGATGACATTTGTCCAATCCAATGATTCTCATTGAGAAGCAATGGGGATATTGAGCCTAGGTGCAGTTGCCACCACTCTACTAATCTTGTGCTTCTCGTTCTCTGTAAGAAGTACTGGACATGTTTGGTGTCCTCATGCTGTGTGAGATGACACTGAAAGCGAAAAACCCTTCAAAAACCAAAGGTCATAAGGAAGTTGATTCTCTTGTGACCGTATGTTGGGCATTCACTGGAGACGCTTTATAGGCAATAATGTAAATAGTATCAGTTAGACATAAAGTCCTGCCTTATGCAAATCATAATTAAAGGTTCACTTCATCAGGGAGAGGGCTACACACCTATTAACCCCTTAAGGACACATGATGGAAATATTACGTCATGATTCCCTTTTATTCTAGAAGTTGTGCCCTTAAGGGGTTGAGGATACTTTGAAGGCCATGTTTCCCTAAACCTTCTTTGGGTTGAATTCATATTTTCTGTTTTGTTATTTTATTCCTAAACTGTGCTATTCAGTAAGGAACATTTGCCTTTAAAGGAACACTCCAAGCACAATAACTACTATAGCACTCTGAACTTATTATGGTGCATGGAGTCCATTGGCACCTCCCTAATGTAAGTAATCAAACTGTTTGCAAATGGTTTGACTACTTTCCTGGGGTATGCCGGCCTTCCGTAACCTCCTGCATTGGTGCTAGCTGTCACTCACGCTCAACTAATGTATTTGCTCCTTCATGGCAGGTCTTAGCTTAGAGCTTTCAACTCTCAAAAGAAGAGGTAACCATTGCACGGCAGACCCCAGGTAAGTCGTCGTGCTATTTAGAAAATGGATTGACAATTTAAATTTGGGGAGGCGTAGCAGGTCACGCCAGGCACCATCCCCATTACAGTGCACAGTAGTTGCTATTTGACTTGGTGTATTCCTTTAACAGCCATAGTATTACAATAGATTGTATTCTATTCTGAGAAAAGGAAAGTATTCATTATAAAACATATTTCTATTCTAATTCTTTATGTTAATTATATCTTGTCTTCATTTTATTTTACTTGGCTCTGATATTTTTTACATTTTATTTAAGCTGCATTGTTTTTTCACTTAGATACTGTCTGATTATATTGAAAGCCTGTTTACTATCCTGTTTTTTGTGAATTACCATAGCAGATACAGACTTTACGTGCATGGAGATATATCCATATGATGGCTAGCTAAGTATAAACATGTATATTAAAAAATGCAAGGCTGTCCCATGTTTGTGTCATACATTTTAAAGGGTATAAATTAATGATTACTGTACTGATTTATTAATTTTATACTCAACCCAGGTAGATTTAAGTAGATATGAAAATAACACATTCATAACTTACATTGTGGCCTATTAAACAATTACATGAATTCAAAGAACTGTTTTATTGTTTGATTCTCTTTACAAAATGAGTCTGAATCCTTGTTGTGAGCCACTCTAATCATCAGTTCAATTATTATTATTAAAGTTGCCAACTTGTAAAGTCTTACATTATTTTAAATGCCTCCAAACTAATTATAGTTGACAAAATTCACAATAAATAAAAAATGGGAGTGATTCATTTCTTAAAGCCTAGTGAATCTGCAAATCTCCTATAAAACTAGCAAAGTTTTTATTATAGATTTCCTGTTGTTGTAAACTAGGAATAACCAGCGTCATAAAACACTACACAACTCCAAAAATAAAAATCCCAGCAAAGCTATTTAACATCAATTAAAGGTCTTGTCAAACTCCTGTCCACTGTGTAACTTTTTTCATAATGATAAGTCTAAAATAGCAATTGGTTCTCCATGTCTTTGACTATGACAATTTTCAAAAAATATTTAACTAGAATGGGCTATGCTAATCATTTTACTACTGCCCATTTTTAACCCCTTAAGGACTGGACTGTTTTTGCGATGTTGTACATTTGCGACCAGGCCTCTTTTTACACTTTTGTGGTGTTTGTGTTTAGCTGTAATTTTCCGCTCTCTCATTTACTGTTCCTATACAAATTATGCATTGTTTTTTTTCAGGACATAATTATTTATATAATCTCATGTAATTTAATTAAAAAAAAATAAAAAAATATGATGAAAATTTTTTAAAAATACATGTTTTTTGACTTTTACTTGAAAAATCTTTTACTCATCTACAAAAGCAAATAAAAAAAACTTCTAAATAGATTCAAAATTTTGTCCTGAGTTTTAAAATAACTTTTTGCAAGTTATAGGGCTATAGGTACAAGTAGGATATTGCGGTTTCAAAACATACATTTTTTCAAATTTATCAATAGTGACATTGTAACACGATTATCTGTCATAAATCTCTGAATAACACCCCACATGTACATATTTTTTCTAAAGTAGACAACCCAGGTTATTCAATATGGGGTATGTCCAGTTTTTTTTAGTAGCCACCTACTCGCAAACACTGGGCAAAATTAGCATTCATATTTGTTTGTGTGTGAAAAAAGTAAAAAACTAAATTGAATGCTAATTTTGGCCAGTGTTTGTGACTAAGTGGCTACTAAAAAAGACTGGACATGCCCCATTTGCAATACCTTGGGTTGTCTTCTATTGCAAATGGTATGCCATCATGGGGGTAATTCTCATTCCATACACTCTCAAAGGCAACGTAACCAACCTGGCCATTTTCAATGTAAAAATATTTGACCCATATATTTGACTCTGTAACTTTAAAAAAACGCTATAAAATCTGTACATGGGGGGTACTGTTATACTCGGGAGACTTTGCTGAACACAAATATTAGTTTTTCAAAACAGGAAAACATATCACAACAATTATATCATCAGTAAAAGTGCTGTTTGTGTGTGAAAAATGGAAAAAAAAATCACTTTCACTGACAATATCATCGCTGTGATATGTTTTACTGTTTTGAATCACTAATATTTGTGTTCAGCGAAGTCTCCCGAGTAAAACGGTACCCCCCATGTACAGGTTTTAGGGTGTCATAGAAAGTTACAGGGTAAAATACAGTGCTAGCAAATTAAATTCTCTGGACTTTCGGCCTGGGATGGCAGGCAGGTCCCTCAAATTGCAATGAATAAAATTACTTAATTATGTAAAAATATTACATAAATACGCACACAGAATTTAAATATATATATATATATATATATATATATATATATATATGTGGATAGTTAATACAATGCTAAACAAAAATCTGCACACCAGTCAAGCCATAAGACTTGCTTTTCCCACAGAAATCCCAAATCAGCAGTGATGTTACAACCGCAAAGGATTCTGGGTGGGCATATGCAAATTAGTTTAACAAAGAATCACATTTTTGCCTCATTCCATTTTAAACATGGATTCCTTTTAATTTGTGTTTGCAGTATACAACTGCTTGGAACACAATTTAGGATAAGATGCAAAACCAGTGAACCACTCATGGACAGCTGTTTCGTTGTTAATGCAACTCTTCAGCATGAGGTTGGTTACTGGTTTGCTAATTGAGGCTTGGTAGTGCTTGGGAAGCAAAATCTAACTAGGTTATGGTGGGGAAAAATTGTGTTCCAAGCAGTTGTATACTGCAAACACAAATTAAAAGGAATCCATGTTTAAAATGGAATGAGGCAAAAATGTGATTCTTTGTTAAACTAATTTGCATATGCCCACCCAGAATCCTTTGCGGTTGTAACATCACTGCTGATTTGGGATTTCTGTGGGAAAAGCAAGTCTTATGGCTTGACTGGTGTGCAGATTTTTGTTTAGCATTGTATTAACTATCCACATACTTCAGGTGGAAGGGGTTTTCAATCACAATTTTTCCCCACCATAACCTAGTTAGATTTTGCTATATATATATGCATATTTATATATTTGAAGTCTACGTGTATATTTATATAATTATTTATGTAATTTTGTATATGGACATATGTATATTTCATATTATTTTTATTTATTTATATATACATAGATATATGTACAATTTCATTCTAAGTGTATTTTGATATAAATACATATATTTTAATATCAAAATACAGTTAGAATAAAATTTCATATAGATATATATTTTTTTAATTTTTATTATTATTTTTAAGTTTTTTATTTAATTTAATCTACTTATTATTTGTATATATACAATATATATAGTTATTATATATATATGTGTGTAATTTAATTATAAGTGTATTTTTAAATTAATATATATACATATTAATGTAAAAATACACTTAGTATGACACTATATATATGATATATAGACAGATATTATATTTATTAACTTTAACTTTCATTTTTTTAATGATTTTACACTAGCAGGGAGACTACCTGTCAGCACAGACAGTCCCCCTGCAGGCAGACACATGGACACCTATTGTGACCATGTGACTGCTCTGTTGAGCGATCACATGGCCACAGGGGTCCTAATCCGCCATGGGGAGACTGTCTGGGCTACAGGCAGTCTCCCCACACCGGGAGCACCACCGATCACCCCCAGGGGAACAACGGCGATCGGGTAAGTACATAAGTACATAAGACCGTTAGGACGGTTCAGGACCGTCACCGGTCGGCAATGGAAAAATGCCGATGACGGTCCTGAACCGTCCTCGGTCGTTAAGGGGTTAATAAAATAAATTAGGACAAAACAAGAATTTTGTGTATGTTGTACTAAAGGGAACGTTTTTTCAAAGAGCTACATAATATAAATTTATTACATTTTCTCTATTTTATCTGTTCATTGTTTCAATAAATAAGGGTAGGAGAAGTAAATAAACATAAAAATGGTATCCATTGTCTGTTATATCTTAGGAGCAGATTAGATAAAATAGCATAGAAGTGCATATATCACTATCAGAATGTATTGTTTATCATATTTATTGGAACACAAGGCATGTTCTAAAAAATCTGTCACAAACCAAAGAAGATACGTATTTCTACCTTCTGATCAAGTACCAGAATCAAGTTGTGCCCCTTTTTATGGAAGAACTGACAACCAATGAAGCTAAATCCATTGGCATTTCTTTGGTCTTTTGAAATCAATAATCTGTAGCCTGATATCCAGTGGTCATTTCTGGTACTTGGATCTATTGTCCTGATTTACCAGACAGGAACAAGTGTAGGCTACTTTATTATGTTATCATACTATGAAATAACTTAAACATTGGGACTAAACTATTAAATTTCTACTTTTCCCTATATTTTGAATAGAATGAGACACAATAAACATTTTGGTACAAACTGCATTTCTTGCCTAACAACACTCATGCAATGTTTTTGAATTTCAGTAGATCAATCAACAGTGGTGGCCAGTAGTAGATCTCCAATTCGCTAACAATTTATCACCCCTGTTTTTGGAAGTAACAAACTATTTATGAAGGTTACCAAAGAAAAAACAAGTGCTATTTTGGGGCAAAAAAGGTAAATAATAACCATGGAAAATAAAATAATATATCTCAACATTTCCACCCATAATAGCCCCTGTTTTACATTAATCCATCTCTTTCGACATGTTGCTCTGAATAGGATTCACAAAAGGGTAGATTTATCAGGCCAAAAACATGCTATTCTGGGGACAAAAGAAATTCAGAGAAGACAGCCTTTAATACTATGCAATTTAATACCATGGCCTTGATATAATAAGCCTTCCAAATGGTTTAATACTGTTAGAAAAACTATCTAAATGATTTATCTACAAGCAATCGCATAGACTTTAATTGTGACTTCTGTAGATAAAATATTTGGAATGTTTTTCTAACAGTATTGAATCATTTGGAAAGCTTATTAAATTGAGGTCCAAAAAATCACCCCCTAGGAAGCATGCATCGAAAGGTAAAATATTACATAATTTTTAATTCTATAATGAGGGAGACATTGTCTTGTCTAAATGTAATGGAGAAGATAACTAACTCCTTTAAAATATATTTTTTTCTTAAATAGTAAACCATGAATCATGACTGAGAAGGATCTTACCACCTTTATCCCCCCTACTAGATTATCTGGGGGAATCATCCCCTATACTTACACTTCTTCAAGCCATGGGCAAAACTCTAAATATGAAGCAATCACCATGGAAATCAATTGAATGTCTCACAACCTTTAGCACTTTGCACCCAAAATAATGCTTAATTGCTTTGATAAATCTTCCCCCAAATCTTTTAAAATGTCTAAATCTTAACTATTTCACCAGGATTAAAAGGAAATACAGTAGACATACTTTTTCTGGGTCGGTGCGTTAACCAGGCCATTTCCTTCCAATATAAATGAGCAAGAATTCAGTGTTTCCGAAAATGTGTTTGAGATTTCAACTTCTGCAAGGATTGTTGAATTTATAACAGCTTGAACAGGGAGCTGTGAAAAAAAAAAGAGTACGTATTTGGCATTTTCTTTATTGTCCATGTTGGTTCCTTTCCAGAAAATGTCCTTTCTTAGCAGATCAAAGAACTGAAATGTTGTTTGCCTATTTGAAACCATCCTTTGCAATCTGTCAAACAACTATGATTTGTTTAACCCCTTAAGGACACATGACATGTGTGACATGTCATGATTCCCTTTTATTCCAGAAGTTTGGTCCTTAAGGGGTAAAGAAACTAATGGTAACGCTTCAGAGATACTCTGTTAAATTGCATTAGAACCCTTATTTTTTGGACTTGGTAAATTGTGCCAATAGCTAGAGATATAGACAGAAATGGTTCAGAAATTTCCATTGGCCTAGGTAATCATCCATTTTGATATTTGTCCACCATTCTTGTCTTTCTAGTCTCTCATTCTTTACAGCCTTTTACTCACTGTCTCGCTCTCTTGCAGTGTCTACTCCTCTTTTTTAAACAATCTCTATTCTCTATACAACAAAGAGGTGAAGGGGAACCAAAGAAAATTCTTTACCCCCATCTTTACAGTTGATACGTTTATGGTCTCTTGCAGTATGTCTACTCAACTCTCTACTGCTTCTGTACTTTCTACTTTGTTGTCTGTTTTTTTCTGAATCTGTTTATGAAAGAATGAGTTGAGGATTTTTACAGCGCCAATGTTCTGTATTTGGAAGCATCAAAACAGTTGAACTGGACCGGATAAGTCTGATTGCTCCAAATTAAGCCAAATGATGCTTGTCTAGTCTACCTCTCTAACTAACAGGATCCCAAGGCTACGGTAAAGGCTCTGAAAGTCTATAGCTACTACAAAGGTTCAACTCCATATCTTCTTAAAAAATGACTGATGGGGATTAGGAAAAAAAGGTTAGCTATGAAGTAAGTTGTCAATAAAGAGTTTGTTTCATAGGTCAGTGAGACCATTAGGTCTTGGACTCTTAAAAGCAGGGCTAACATTTAAGACTACATGGTCCACTAGGTCTAGATGTACTTTTGGAAAAATATAATATTTAAGATATTTATAGTTAAAAAGCATGGCAAAGTGTTGTTGACCTAAGGATACATTTTTATTGGCATTGGAGAGTGTTTTATAGCTGGTTCAACCTCATTTTGAATCAACAGCATAATCAGATATGTGAAAAGGTGAACTGATAACTCCTGGATAGCTATTTAAAACAAAGGAAAAATTGGAAAGTAAGGCAGTAAAAAAAATGTGGGGAGTAAACGTTGAGGTACTCTTTAGGATCAGAGATAAATTAGGAGCATGGAATGTTAGCAACTAAAGGGTTCAAGAGGACGTTGAAGGGAAGTAGATTTTAAGTTAGACCCAAAACAACTAAACCTGAACAACCGGTACCGCACCACACGTCGTGAAAGTGAGTGGTCTGTACATTTTAAATAATAATACCAGATTTCTCCACAGGAGAAAAAAAGGTGAATCAATCCAAGAAATAAAAAAAAACTAGAACCTTTATTAAAAAAACATTGTGGTAAAGGCTTACATTGGGAAGGAGTGAATCAATCTGACGCATTTTGTGCCCACCACGGCAATTCTATCCACGCCTAAAATCTAATGGGTTTAGTTAAAGCCTCTATCTGTCTCTTTTGCCCCATTCCCAACCCCTCTCTGTCTATTTGTGTCCTTCCATCTAGGTGTCTCTCTCCCAAGCACTGGTCTGTCTCTTTTGCCCCTTACACATTCTCTCTGGGCAATGTTAATTTTGGCAGCAAATTTCAATTTTGCCATTTTAGTTTTAGTCATATTTTAGTAACCTGAATGGTTTTAGTTTTAGTCTAGGTTTAGTCGACTAAATCTCAAAAATGTTAGTGCACTAAAATTTGACTACAATTGATAGTCGACAAAATTAACACTGGAACAAAGTTGCAGAGGTTGAGAAGCCCAGTACCATACAGTTGTGTTTTTATTTTTACAATATGTAAGTATAAGAGAGGATACATAATGGTGTTCCTTTCATACCTTGATACTCATTGGCAGCTTTTCTAAAATGACATCTCTCTCCACCAAAATTATTTCTTCTGATCCATCCACCTCACATAAAGCTGTCATACGGAAAACGCTGTCGTCTTTCAAATACTTCCCATACTGTGCATATGTTATTGGGATTGAAATATGTACTTCTTGTTTTTATGATTTCAAAAAATGAATAAATTAAAATATTATTACATTATAAATATGAAAGTACAGTGCAAATTGTAAATAACCAGCTAAAGACAAATACATTCCATTCTTAGATATATTTATATCCAAGGTAAGTGGGAGCATATTGAATAAAAACATTTTTCTAAATATCAAGTATTAATAATGTGTATGATTTACTGTGCAGAAATTCAAGCACAAGAGCCTTAACCCCTTAGTGACCAGACCACTTTTCAATTTTCTTACCGTTAAGGACCAGGGCTCTTTTTACATTTCTGCGGTGTTTGTGTTTAGCTGTAATTTTCCTCTTACTCATTTACTGTACCCATGCTTATTATATGCCGTTCTTCTCGCCAATAAATGGTCTTTCTAAAGATACCATTATTTTCATCATATCATAATTTACTATAACAAAATTATAAAATATGATGACAAAATTAAAAAAAACACACTTTTTTGCTTTTCTTTTTAAAGTTATAGGGCTACAAATACAAGTAGCACTTTGCTATTTTCAAACCATTTTTTTTTATTTATTTTTTAATTAAGGCAGGTTACATATTAACACTGATATCTGTCAGGAATCCCTGAATAACCCTTCACATGTATATATTTTTTAAAAGAAGACAACCTAAGATATAAAACTTGGTATATTTTGACTCTTTCCATGCAACCATTTTACCACCAATCTATGCCAAATGTAAAAAACAAAAAATAATAATTGGTGATTTATTTGACACACATAGCAATTTAAGAACCAACAACTTTAAGGGTTACTGCCAAAGCACACCCCAATATGTGTTCAGCAACATCTTCTGAATACATCCATGAATAGGTGTGTCGGGTTCTATGGGGGCTAAAAGACCTTATTTTGAGGGTGCGCATTCCAGTTTTTCAACGTGGAATTTTCACAGCTGGTCATCATGCACCCATGTCCTATTTGGGACATCTTTGAAGCCAGCCAAGGTAATTTACCCCCATCAAACCATATATTTTTGAAAAGTAGACAACCCATGGTGTTCAATATGGGTTATGTCCAGTCTTTTTTAGTAGTCACTTAGTCACAAACACTGGCCAAAGTAAGCATTTATATTTGTTTGTGTTAAAAATGCAAAAAACTGTTACTGTTATACTCGGGAGACTTCGCTGAACATAAATATTAGTGTTTCAAAACAATAAAATGTATTACAATAATGATATCATCAGTGAAAGTGCCATTTGTGTGTGAAAAATGCAAAAAACATCACTTTCACTGACAATATCATCACTGTGATATTTTTTACTGTTTTGAAACACTAATATTTGTGTTCAGCGAAGTCTACAGAGTAAAAAAGTACCCCCCATGTACAGGTTTTAGGGTGTCTTAGGGAAAGTTACAGGTTAAATATAGTGCTAGCAAATGAAATTCTCTGGACTTTCGGCTTGGGTTGTCAGGCAGGTCCCCCCAATTGCAATCAATAAAATTACTTAATTATGTAAAAATATGACATAAATATGCTCATAGAATTTAAATATATATATATATATATATATATATATATATATACATATTTATATATTTAAAGTCTATGTGAATATTTCATGTTATTTTTATTTATTTATTTATTTATTTATATATACGTGTATTTATTCATATATACATGTATATATATAAATACAGTTAGAATAAAATTACATATATATATATATAATTTTTTTTTAAATACATTTTTTAATTTTTGTAAAATTAATTAATTATTTTTTTATGATAATATATACACAATATATATATATATATATATATATATATATATATATATACACATATATATATATATATATATATATATATATATATATATATATATATAAACAAAGTGAAAATACCGGCACTCAAGGTTTTCCAGAAGATAACTTCCCCATTTATTGCGGAAGAAATTTTTTTTAAATTTTTCTTCTGCAATAAATGGAGAAGTTATCTTCTGGAAAACCTTGAGTGCCGGTATTTTCACTTTGTTTATGATTAAGCCACCAGAGCACCAGGTACTATTTTTATTTCTCTAGTTGGAGTGCAGGGGTATTTTGTATATATATATATATATATATATTTATATATATATATATATATATATTTATTATATATGATATATAAATATATATAAATATATATACACATGTGTAATATTAGTAAAGGTGTATTTTTATATTAATATATGTATATATTAATAACAAAATACACATAGTATGATGTTATATATATATATATATACATATTATTCGTAGATATAATATATGTATATATATATATATATAAATATATATATATATCATATATACATATATATATATATATATATATATATATAATTTTTTACATCTATTAACTTTACTTTTTTATTTTATCTTTTTTCACCAGCAGGGGGACTGTCTGTCTGTTCAGCTGGCAGTACTATAGACACCTATTGCGGCCATGTGACAGCTCTTTCAGAGCGATCACACAGCCCCTGGGAATCCTAATTTGCAGAGAGGGGAGTACATTTTTTCAAATTAATTATTATTATTTTTTTTCATTTATCTTCATTCAGTTCCTTGACCCCTGATGGCTTTCAATGCTCTGCGTCACTGCCGGGCACCACGGAAGTGATCACCCGGTGGCCTGTCAGTCAGGAGGGGTATTGCAGGATGCCTCGACATTGAGGCATCGCTGCAATACCATCAGAGCATCTGGAAGCGATCATGCTCCCTTCCGGCGCTCTAATTCGCTGCAGACATATCAGGTACGGTGTTTTGTCGGACGTACCTGATACATCCGCAGTCAGGAATGGGTTAAACATTAACTATTGTTATGAACAATGCAATCGAAGGAGTCGACTTTGTGAAGAGGCACATGGAGCTCATTTAAAGAAAGCAATCTACAGTACCAACAAATATCCATACTCTAAGCATAAATTGTATGTAATAAAATTGACATTGGTTCATTAATAAAAAAGTTTTTGACTCCTCAAACCCTACTCTAAATTTTGGCCCAACCTTTATATACATCATCATCACTTCACATTGCATCAGATGACTTTTCTAAACCTTCAATGATTTAGGAAAGGTGGGTGGAAAAAAAAATTATTGGTTAAATTCTAGGATTTAGGTGATAATTGCTATCTCTTGTATATATCCAAGCAGAGGTTTTGAAGCTCACATTCACAAGAGGTAAACTATTTTTAATTTCTGCAAGGGGTTTCTTCAGTAAGTTAGGCCATTCAAAAGCACACAAATGTGTTTGCCCATAAGAAAGAATATTATTTACCTTGTAGAGGACCCAAGAGAACCGATTTTGCATCTGTCCAGATGTTATATCTAGGCCTTCCAGTGTACAAAATACAGGAAGCGGTCATGTTGACTGTTACTCTAGCACTGTTATCTCTCAGGTTTTTCAGACTCAATATAAGGTTTATATCCTGGCCAACAGCAGTATCCATTACTGTCAAACGTCCAAACAGTGTGCCTCCACGCCTCTGCATATCTCTACCTCTGTTTCTAAAATGTAGAAGGTCCTTTTCAAGCTCATCCAATGGACCATCGTGCAACCTGTAAACTGCCTTCTCAAATACTTCTCTTTCTTCTTTGGTGCCTGATAAAAGATATGTGCTATGAGATATTCCACTTATAAAACACTCTTCAACAACACCTACATTTTTTATTATTTTAAGGAGACTCAGTAGAAAAATATTTCAAATATTAGAATAAAATTGATAACACAGTAAAAAAATATTTTTGTTCTTGATTTTTACCCACTCTCTTTGAAATAAAGCAGATAACAAAGGCAACTAATAACATAATATGCAATTCATTTGTAAAGTGTAAAGGGTACATTTGTAAAGGGAAAATAGAGAATAGGTGAACCCAAATTAAAGGTATAAAAAGGAAGGACTAGCTCTTGCTCCTTAGAACCTGAGGAGGCAGGAAGAGCTAGCCAGATCAATGGGCATGTGTGAGTGTGGGGGTGGTGTAGGAGAGAGTGACAGGGTGGGGCTGGGTGTGGTTAGGATTGATCAATTAGCAAGGTAGGGGAATGTAAATAGGGGCCATTTTCTATCCCCTGCCATTTTATAATCGAACTAGGAATTGTTCCCCTCCCTCCCTTGATTTCTGTCCTTTATTTTATGTTTGTTGTTCTGTATTGCTTTCACTTGCATTTTGTAACAGCAGGCGGGTGGTTGTCCTTGCCAATTGTGGGTTAGACTGGGGAGTCCAAGGAGAGTGAAGGAAATTGGGGCTGATCCCTCCTCTAGCCACAGTGAAATTAAGGTGAAATTAAGGTATGGGTTGTTACGGACGTTCCCACTGAGAGAAAGGCCTGCTAGTGGTTAGCATTGTGTTAGTGGAAGGCCAGGTTTGTGTCCAGTGTTGGTTGGAACGAAGAGGGAGGACAAGTATGGTATATTGTTTAGTGGAATAATTTTAATAAAAGCTGTGAACTATTTTCACCAGTTAAATTTAATGTTGTTTTATTGGGAATATAAAGGTTTACATAGGAGCACTACACAAATCCCCACTACTTGCGCACATGTCCTGGGTGTCAAGATCCATGCACATGTATTCAGTAGACAGATGTTTTAATAGAAAAAAATAGTAGTTTATAATCTCTTTATAGTCTTTGTTTAATAATCTTTTTTGAATGTTCAGAACCTATCTTCAGCTCAATCAACAATGACCCCTCAGCAGCCAAAAAACAATAACAGTACAGTAAAGTTACCTTCAAGGTATTTATACATGTAGGTTACATCCACACGATCATCACTTCCAACAGCCTTTGTACTAAGAAATTTGCCAATTGACTTGGTGTCATTAGAAGTTCTTTTCTTAGATCCATCACTGTAGGTAATCCAATAAGCAAGATCAGCATTTACAGAAGCAAACATAAACGCAACATCATAGTTCAGATTGGTTTCTCCTTCTTTAATAGCATGAAGGGGAGCAGGGCCACAACAATAGATACCTAAAGGGAACAAAAACAGAATGTGATTAAAGAAGGTGAAAAAAAGATAGTAGAGGTTAAAGAGACACACTTTTAATTTTCTCTATCTGATGGCTCAGGAAGCACAATGTACTAATACATTTTGTAATGTGTTATTGTCTTGGAAGGTTAACTGAGCAGCATACTTTTCTGGTTAAGATGCACCATTCCAAACCTCCAAGGTTTATTCACACTGGTCACTTGTCCATCGTGTCATTTTTATGATGCTTGAAACAAGATTGTGTCAATAGCTTACATGAGTAGATGAGTACATGGATCAACTGCTCATTTCCTTTGTCTTTACATGGCATTGAAGGTCATTGAGTAGTATGAGGTAGTGTAGTTGTGTAGTAGTATATAGTGTAATAATTTCTGATTATGGTTAAATAAGACTATGCTCCATGATAACCAAGATCGTTGGAACTTTGCATTCCACTAAAAGGTTCAAAAAATAAACAAACACATACCATTGCTCTTTTCCAGTGGAGTTGAGTCCATAATTTGCCAACCATCATAAGAGGGTCCTAGATCTTTGCGTTTGAACCAGGATTCATTCCAAACATGGAAATTCCTGTAAGAAAATACTTGGGTTATAACTCTTGACATATATTTTTCATACCATTGTGATGACTGAGCGAGATACCAGACTCAAGAACAATGTCTTAACCAGAATCTTGATATCCCACTTCTGACAAGCTTTCAGCAGGTTGGAACAGTTGTAACATCACTGCCTTTAACATGGAAACACAAGTTCACAATCCCAGTCAAACCATTCCACCAGTAAGTGTAACTGGGCAAGACATTTATTGAGATACCTACCTCAAATCCTCATAGATTGCAAGCTTGTTTTAGCTAGATTTTCTTTAAATCACATTTCTATCATTGTAAAGTACCTTAGAATATGTTGGTTATATGGTGATATATAAATGCTTATGATAATATTAAACTCTACTGAGAAGAACATCTATAAAATTGACTACTCTGACTTCAATTGCAGCATTTATTTTGCTTCCATTTGCAAACAGGGTGATGCAAAATGTTATGGAGCCGATACTTTGGTTAGAATTATTCCTTATACCTTGACCTCTCTGCTGCCTGTGACATCGTTGATCTTGCTCTCCTTCTTCAAACTCTTCAATCACTTGGTCTCTGTGACACTGTCCTCTCTTTGTTTTCCTGATATCTCTCCCAACACTCATTCATTGTCTCCTTTTCTAATGATACCTCCTCTATTCATCCTGTCTCTGTTGGAGTCCCCCAAGGCTCTGTCCTTGGTCCCCTTCTATTTTCTCTTTATACTGTGTCTCTTGGCAAGCTTATTGCCTCATTTGGATTCCACTACCACCTGTACACTGATGACAACCAGCTATATCTCTCCTCTCCAGGCCTCTCCCCTGCTGTCCTGCAATGTGTCACTGCTTGCCTTTCCTCCATCTCTGATTGGATGTACTCCCGCTTTCTAAAACAAAATCTCTCTAAAAACTGAACTCCTTGTCTTTCCTCCTCCTAATACTGATCCTCTTCTTTTGCTCTCCCTTCATGTCAGTGGTATTCACATCAGTCCATCCTTGCAAGCATGCTGCCGCCAGACTGATTTTCCTCCATAGTCGGTCCTCTCACACCTCACCCATTTGTCAGTACTTACATTGGCTTCCTGTATCCTATAGGAGTCAATTCAAAATGCCAACCCATACCTATAAAGCATTGACTAATTCTAGCCCCTCTTATATCTCTTCACAGATCCATAGGTATGCCCCTTCTCGGTCTCTCCGCTCTGCCTATGACCTTCTCTTGTCCACAAATGGCACCAGTATAGCCAACTCACGCTTGCAGGACTTCTCGCAGGTGGCTCCCTTCCTATGGAACAGCCTGCCCACCGCCATCAGACTCTCCCATAGTCTTCAATCTCTTAAGAAGTGCCTTAGAACCCATCTTTTTAGGAAAGCTTATGGCCTCACAGAGTAACCTCTACCACACATACCTGTTTCTTGCTCTCTCCTGAAGGGCAGCACTCTACTCTCACCTCCAGCTCTGCTTCACTCCCACCTATTTTGATTGTTATTCCCTGTTCTAGTGTGTTTTACACTCCATCTCTTATAGACTGTAAGCTCGTTTGAGCAGGGTCCTCTGCAACCTGTGGTTCCTGTAAGTGTTCTTATAATTGTCCTATTTATAGCTAAATCTCCCCTCTTATAATATTGTAAAATACTATGGAATCTGTTGGCGCTATATAAATGGCAATAATAATAATAATAATAATAATAATACCACTTTTGAGCCTTAGTTTATGTTGAACAGATTATAGCACTGTGGGTTAAGAAATGTAACTGATGTTGATGTTATCTAAGCCTTACAAGTTTCTTTGTGCCATCACATTGTTCACATCTACTGACCTTAACCCCTTAAGGACACATGACATGTCTGACATGTCATGATTCCCTTTTATTCCAGAAGTTTGGTCCTTAAGGGGTTAAACTTTAAACAATCATCTAGATGCATTATTATGGCATAATTATACTTTTATTTTAATTTCATGCACAGCATTTGTGGTTGAACACCAGACAGTACATATTTAGACCAATACTCTGATTGGTAAAATGAGCTGGATGATGCTTGCAACTGACCAACCTATACAAATCTCATCATCTGAAATATCAATAATGAAATAATCAATATTCACCACATCAAATCCTGCTGGATGTCTTGGACTCCATGATTGTTGTAATGTAATTCAAGGAAAATATTTTTATCTCGATCTTGAGCGGAATTGAAGTTTGAAATGACTCTTGTAGGAATACCCAAGCACCGGAGCACTGTAATAGAAAAGCACTTAGTAATTAAGGTCTATCTAGATTATGTTACATTGAACATATGTATAAGATGACAAAATTAACCAGCTAGGTAGAAAATAATATTTCTATTGAAGGCATTCACAATATTTACATCCACAAGTTGGCCACTTCTCATTCACTTTTTTATTACCTAATGCAGTACGTTAAAACTCATGGGCCAGTGTTTGAAATTGAACCAAAATTAGATAAATGGGTACAGTATGAATAGGATGTTTCTCTATTGAGGGACTGATAGAATTAGGCAACAAGGCTAACACATCATTAAAAAGATTCAGTGTGTAGATTAAAGCAATTTTGGGGTGAAAAATACGTATTCAACATTTAAACTAAATAAATCTTAGTTAGAAATATCTTCAAATGAAGACCTAAAATAATTATAGACAACTCATTACACAACAGTAGAGATGTGCACAATGAAAAATTTATCTTGTTGCATTTCAATTAGCTAATTATCACATTTCGGTTTGAAATTTGGAAATTCACAATTTCAGAAGCAAAACAAAATTCGGACATCGTTGTTCCGAAAGCATACAAAATTAGCACATAGCTCCCTAATTTGCACCCTTAATAATGGTACTCTAACATAAAGGTATACATTTAGAAAGCTATCTACTAAACACAGTTTAAAGATCAAATTAATAAATTAGCTTTTCTTCTTAATGTTGACTTTTCAGCTGTTTAATAGATAAAAACCCTTATTTTCTACCAGTACGTGGAATTTCCATATTTAAATATATACCAGATTAGGTGGCGAACATCTAAACAGCATCATTATTTGGTATCCTTAAATATGTCAATCCCACATTAATATACTAAATTAAAGTGCTGTTGTATTTAGTAAATAGCTCCCTAATTTGGTATCCTTAGCGAGGTAACCAAATTAAGGAGCTATCTACTAAACACACTGGTAGATCAAAATTATGTGAAGGCCTTTTTTATTTTGATATTTCAGTTGTTTAGTAAATAACTCCCTAATTTGCTTCCTTGCGTGGCATTAAGAATACCAAACAAGGGAGCTATTTGATAAACACCACCATAATTTTAAATCCTTAAATATAGCAATTCCACATCAGAGTACCACATTAGGGAGATATTGTGTTTGGTAGATAGCTTTCTAGTTTGGTATCCTTAAAAATGAGAATCCCACATAAGGGTACCAAATTAAGGAACTATCTATTAAAGACAGCTAAAAGACCAAAACAAGGAAAAGCATTTTTTCCCCTTAATTTTGCTCTTTAAGTTGCTTAGTAGATAAGTCTCTCATTTGGTACCTGTAATTATGGCAGTCCTATACCAAACTAGAGACCGATCTACTAAACATTTGAAAGAGCAAAATCTAGGAAAAATGTCCATTTCCTTAAAGGGACAATATAGGCACCAAGACCACTTCAGCTCATTGGAGTTGTCTGGGTGCACTGTTGCAGGTCTCTTAACCCTGCAAAGATAATTATTGCAGTTTTTTTAAGAAACTGCAATAATTAGCTTGATGGGTTAACTCCATCTCTAGTGGCTGTCTACCAGACAGCCACTAGAGGGACTTCCGGGCTGCTAGGCGACTTTTGTTTGCTTAACTATGCTGGATGTCCTCATGCTATGCATACCAAAGCATTAGCCATTGCTGCACATGCGCATGAGGAGCGAAGGTGGACCTGAGACAGCGCCAAGGGACATCAGAGCTGGACTGACGTGGGGGGAGCTCGAGGGAGTGGGAAGCTATAGTGCCAGGAAAACAACCTGGCACTATAGATTCCCTTTAATTTAGCTGTTTCAGTTGCTTTGAAGATAAGATAAGTACCTAATTTGCTAGCCTTGTGAAACTTAACGGATCGTAAAAAAAGGGGTGAAGTGTTTTTTGTTAGCAGAACAGGATATTTTAGGATACTAAAAAACGTATTGGTGGAATTATTAACAGATTGACAATCTAAAGAGAAACCAGATGAACCTTTTCGAGTAAAGAATTCCTTTTTTTCCACATATTGTAACTCAATGGGAAATCACTTCAAGCTAGTTTAGCGTTGATGTGAGACATAACCAATTATCCATTACCTGTGCAGAGTACACCTCCATAAACCCAGCACTGCCCATATTTGGAAGGTTTAAATCCGCTAAAGTACCATTGTTTCAAGATGGGAGCACTGCCATTCCATTTCATTGGGTTAACCCCATCAGCATAGTCCCCACTCCAATTCTCCGTAAGGACACCATTCTCATCTTTACTATTCACCTAGGAGAAGAAATTCAGAAATTGTAAATAAATATAAATCAATATGAACAAAACCTAAGAGTTTTGTCAACATTAAAATGTTGGTTCTTAATATGGTAGTTAGAACGCAGTGGCGTACTAAGGGGGGGGGGGAGGCGGTCCGCCCTGGGGGCCATCAGGCAGGGGGGTGCCACCTGGGCTGGCCAGGCTTGGGAGTCAGTGAGCTGTGTGGCTGCACTGGTTGCCATAGCAGCAGGGGCGGGGCAGCTGACACAGCTCGCACGCAGGGGCAGGGAACAGGAGACCTGCATTGAGATTTGGGGGCGGAGCCAAGCCGGACGTGGGGGCGGAGCCAAGTCGGACGTGGGGGCGGAGCTATATGCAGCCTCATACTGCTGCACACAGAGGGAAAGCTGGAAGGAGTCCCTGCTTCCCAAACTACATCACAGCAGGGACTGAATCCCCTCCTCCTCCAGCCCAAGCTTACTGTAAGGGAGAGAGTGTGTGTAACTGTGATTGTGACTGTGTGTGCTGTGTGTGTGTAACTGTGATTGTGACTGTCTTTGACTGTGTGTGTGATTGTCTGCTTGTATGTGTGTGTGACTGCCTGTGATTGTCTGTGTGATTGTCTGCCTGTGATTGTCTGTGTGATTGTCTAACTGTGATTGTCTGTGTGATTGCCTGTGATTGTCTGTCTGTGATTGTCTGTCTGTGATTGCCTGTGATTGTCTGTGTGATTGTCTGCTTGTGATTGTCTGTGTGACTCTGTGTGTGTGACTCTCTGACTGATTGTGTGTGTGTGTGTGTGACTGTCTGTGATTGTGTTATGTGTATGTATGACTGTCTGCCTGTGATTGTGTGTGTCACTGTGTGTGTGTGTGTCACTGTGTGTGTGTGACTGTCTGCCTGTTATTGTCTGTGTTACTCTGTGTGTGTGTGTGTGTCACTGTGTGTGTGTGACTGTCTGCCTGTGATTGTGGGTGTGTGTGTGTGTGTGACTGTCTGCCTGTGATTGTGTGTGTGACTGTCTGTGACTGTGTTGTGTGTATGTGTGACTGTCTGTGATTGTGTGTGTGACTGTCTGCCTGTGTGATTGCCTGCGTATTTGACTGTCTGCCTGTAACCGTGTGTGATTGACTGTGTGTGGGACTGTGTGCATCTGACTGTGTCTGACTGTCTTCGCCCTGCAGTGAGCCGGCAGCCAGGATATGATGTCATCGCGGCCTCTGCGTCATTACAGGGTGTGCGAGAGATCCCAGCAGCAACCACTGACCACCAGGGACTGAGGATCCACTCCAGCCCTTCTAGAGCAAGGTAGGGAGGCTAGGTGGACCTCTTAATTATTAAATGTGTGTAAGTATGTAATGTTTGTGAGTGGGTCAGTGATTGTGCTTGTGTATAGCTGTGATTATGTGTGTGATTGTGTGTATCTCTGCGTATGTGTTTAGTAGATAGCTCCTTTATTTCCTGTCCTCAAATATTGCAATCCCACATAAAGATAACAAATAAGGGATTTATCTACTAAACAACTGAAAATAAGAAAAGGGCTTTTTTTTATCCTTTAGCTGTTTAGTAGATCATTCCCTGAATTGGTGCCCGTATGTGAGATTTCCATATTTAAAGATACCAAATGAGGGTGCTGTTTAGCAGATAGCACCTTATTTGGTGTCCTTAAATATGGCAATCCCACAAAGGATAGCAAATAGAGGAGTTATCTGCTTAACAAAGATTGAAATTAAGAGGTGTCAGCCAGCCCATAACAAGAAATCTGGGTGGCTAATGTGAATTATATGCAAATGTGTAATCAGATGCCAGCATGCAGAACACAGCATGCTGGCATCAGACAGCCAATGGCAGCATATTACCCCATCCTCTAGTGAGAAGTTTTACTGCTCCACCTCCCCCTCCTGTTTTGGCTGTGTATATTATGTGCCCCCCCATATATATTGTTCCTAGAGTCACCACGATGTCTGCATGTGTGTCAATGTGTATCTGTGTGTGACTGTGTTTGTGTGTGTATGTCCGTGTATGTGTATATGTGCAGACATCTAAAAATCTCGCCAACACTACACACAAATACATTCATGCATTTCAACGTCAACACTACATACAAACCTCACCATTATATATAACCATACCACTGCATTCAAATACCACACAACACACAAATGCATGCTTGCATTCAAACGCCAATACTACAAACAAACACACCGCTACATTCACTCACATATACAAAAACATGCATACATTCAAAAACACAAACACTGCTTAGTGCTAAATACATTAAAACATTTTTTAGTTGTTTTTATATTTAAAGTTGAGGGGGGAGAGCAAGGGGGGGTGCCAAAAATAGGACCTGCCCCGGGTGCCAAATGCTCTAGGTACGCCCCTGTTAGAACGTCATAGTGATTCAGCTCTTAGGATGCGGGCAATTATTTTATGGACATAAGACAACTCTGATTAATAGTTGTTTAAGATTATGGGTACAATATGGGTACCATGTCAATGATTTATATTATGTTTACACTTCCACTTTTATATGTAGGATAATCATTTTATTGCATGCACTTGTGATATTTTATACATATACATAATACACATCTTTATAAATACAGGTGTGCTCAAAAATTTGCATACCCTTGGAGAATTGGTAATATATGTACCATTTTTAAAGAAAAAGAAAACATGAGTGAGCAGGTAAAACACATTTCTTTTATATCTTATGGGATTCATACTCAACTGTAGGTTATATCAGAATGGCACAATCATAAAACAAAGAAAAAAATGAAACAGCCCCAAATTCTTGCAGGTGGTATAGCTGCCCATTCATTTTGACAAAATGCCTCCAGGTCATGCAACGTCTTTGGTGGTGTTGCATGAACCACACATTTGATCTCCCTAGAGAGGCTTTATGATATTAAGGTCAGGAGTCTGTGATGGCCACTCCAGAACTTTCACCTTACTCTGCAGTAAAAGCTGAGGCGTGTCAAGGTGTTGTCTGGCATATTGCAACCGGGCTTCTTTGTGACATTGGCGCAGTAAATGCTTCTTTCTGGCAACTTGACCATGCAGCTCATGTTTGTTCAAATATTATTGTATTGTGCTCCTTGAAACAACCACACCATGTCTTTTTCCAGGGCAGCATTTCTCCCGAGGTTACCTGTGGGTTTTTCTTTGTATCCCGAACAATTTGTCTGGCAGTTGTGGCTGAAATCTTTCTTGGTCTACCTGACCTTGGCTTGGTATCAAGAGATTCAAAAATGGGTCGCAAGAGAATACTGAGGACGGACAGCAGCTGAAATAGCCTGCCCTTCGGTCGGTCCCCTCTCAGTTCTCAAGCAGATTTTTGCTCATCTTGTGCCATTACAGAGAGAACATATCTGAAGCATATCAGACTGGTCCCCCCCTTACGGGCAGTCCAAATCCGAAATGCCAGCAAGTTCTCTCTGCACGATTATGATTTTTTAAAAGGAGCCAAACAAATGATAATAAATGGCTTCGTATGACCATTATCCTTCAACAAAATACTTTTTTTGCATGATCAGTCCTATTTTCAAAATCAACGCCAAAATTTCACAATTTCTGCCAAGGTATGCAAACCTTTGAGCACAACTATAGGTTTCTCATACTAAACATGACACTGCTCTTTGGTGCATGGTCACCTAGGAACCACTAGGTGTCAACTTATTTTATTCTCTACAAATCCAAACACTGTAAATTTTGTTTCATTCACTGAAAACAGGGATAATACAATGTATCTACATAGATAAAGTGTGCTAGCTATACCTTGATACCTTTAATTCAAAAACATGCAACTGTTAAACCAAGAAAGATTGTGTTTTACCGAAAGGATGCATCCGGTGATGTCATGTGTTTTCAGTTTTATTTTGTGCAACATGTACAGTGTTATAAATTTTGACCTAAGTGGAAGTGAATGGGTTTGGTTCAATATGGCTACGTCAATCAACAGCAAGTGTCTTTCTACTTGCTATTCAGTATTTTGCTAAATTTAATTTTGAGCTAAGTCACAAAGAGTCTAATATTCAACCCAAAGTGGAGAATGAATGTGTAACAATAAATAAGTGTCACTATTTGCATCAATTTTCATACGTATGTAAGATTATTTTTTTGTTTTTAAGCACTTTTTAAAGAAAAATCTGGATTCTGGAATCCCAAATTATGGATTAGTTAATATTCTGAACTACACAAGAAAACTGAAGAAATTATTTGCAGGTAACTTATGCTGGTAAATTGTGTTTAAAGGAGCATTTTCTGGACAAGCATCACATATAAAATATACATACACACACTTTTATTTCCTATATATGCATAATATATTATAATTAAAGCATTTTACAATATATTATACATATATAATGCATATATATGATTTCATTATAAGTGTATTTTGAGATATATGTGTACATATCTCAAAGTACACTTACAATGAAATCATATATGTATAATAAATTATAAAACACTTTCATTATTTTATAATATATTATACATATATATGTATAATATATTTATTTTATTTTATTTTTTAGCAGCCTGTGGGATTGTCTGACAGTTCAGACAGTCCCCCTGCTGGCAGCTCCTAGACTCCTATTGCGGCGATGTAATCATGGTGATCAAATGGCCCTGGAGGGCCGGGGTGGCCGGAGCTGCTGCAGGGGGACTGCTCGGGTTTCCGGCAGTCCCCCCGACCGTTATCGCCATGGATCGCCAGTCCAGGGCTCCTAGGTACGTCCACAGTCCTTAACGACTGTATTTTTGTTAAGGTGATATACGTAGCTATATATATAATTTCATTCTAAGTGTATTGATATATAGTTAGAATAAAATTACTTTTATATATATATATATATATATATAAATAATTAAAAAAATTAATTATTTATTTTATATATATATATTTTTTTTAATATATATTATATATACATATATATATATGTATATATATATATATATATAAATATATATATATATATACACTTGTGTAATTTTACTCTAAGTGTATTTTCTATTAATATATATATTAATAAAAAAATACACTTAGTATGGCGTTTTATATATATATATATATATATATGTGTATATATATATATATATATATATATATATATATATATATATATATATATAAATTACTTTTTTTTAAACTTTTTTCACCAGCAGAGGGACTGCCTGTCAGTTCAGGCAGGCCCCCTGCTGGCAACATTGTGTACACCTATTGCAAAGGGGGGACTGTCTGGGCTCCCCCTAAGAAGAAGGCCGACCGTCGGCGGAGGAACGGCTACGATCGGTAAGTACATGGGGAGGGAGAGGGAGGTAGGGTAGGCAAGCCACCTAGATGGTGATTTAGCACTATAGGGTCAGGAATACATGTTTGTGTTCATGACCCTATAGTGTTACTTTAATTTCTGTAACCTTTGAAAAGCAAACTTTGTGTTTCATAATTTTAAGAACAGTTGTCTAATCTTGTTGAGATGCAACCCATGGTGGCCCTCTAGTAGGGATGAACTGAGTACATAGTCTGTCGAGGCCCATAGATAATTTTCTGCCAAAGGTAGACCATTCAGTCATAAGGGTAAAATGATGTACTTACTGTGGCGTTCAGCATTCTACACACATAAAGTGGGTCATTTCTTTGTGAGACATCTGATATTGGGTCCGTTTGATGATTTACACTTCGATCCAAAATGGCAAAGCAGATATCAAGCATATTTTTATCAAACTAAAGACAATGATAAAAAAAGCATCAATATAAGACATACAGAGTTATTTACTAAAATGAGAATTGAAAGTGAATTTTTAATTTAAGGCCACTGTTCCTGAAATGGAAATGGACTTAGCACATTTTTTCAGTTCAGCTATTTTTACCATATATTTTTAATTCACTGTGAATTCTCACATTAGTAAATAAACCTTATAGTGTATTTTATTTTATTTTCTGGCAAAGGACACATTTCAATAATGGTAATATTAATCCAAATATACAGAACATAGAACCTTTCTAATGTACAACATTCAGTTACTTTAATTATTAGGTGACAGGAGGCTGTGAGCTACTTATACCTTAATTTATTATTACAAACACTATCAAGTAAATCTGGATACTATCAAAAGATTTGGTATGGTCCAGATACCAGTTAACGTGTCTCCGAATTACTCCAGTGTTTTATTGACCAAGAACATTAATGAGGCTATTTATCGAGGCAAAACAGGTTCTACTCATGGTGTAAGTTCTAAATGTTGAGAGATATTCAGTTGGCTTTCATGGTTATTGATCCTTCTTAGCACTTTGCCAGAAGATGGCAACAGTTTTTGTCTTTCTTAAGAACCCTGAAATGTTATTAAGAGAACTTCCAAGTCTCTATATTTTAATGAGACACTGCAAACACCTCAAGACCTTACAGGTTGCATAGGCGATGGTGCACGAAGCCACCTCCGTCTTTGTCCATCTGCACTTTGTTGCATAAAAAAAACTTCAGTGATAACGAAAACCACTAGAGGTCCACTTCATCATAACATTCACTGGGGTAAGCTTTCTTTCCTATGCCTGTACTGATCTTATATGGTGTGTACTTATAGGGTGGGTCTCAACAAAAACTAATATTATCTACATCTCATTTATATCTGCTTATCCACTTTACCAGTAAACTCTTGTTTACCAAAGAAAAAAGTTACCTGCACTCTTTCCTGAATCCCCTATGTAAATTTAAACAAATTGAGGTTATTTAGTTACTCCAATGGCCATTAGAAGGAATGCCCACCTGCCATGTTAAGTCAAACCTCTTAGGTGGGAAAGCTTTTGATGCTTTGCCAACATTATGGGTGTAAGAGCATTTTGGGACATGTAGTCCACAACATCTGGAGTGCCGAAGGTTGCTTATCCCTGTTCTATGGAGTTATCTGGATTTTTCTGCTAGGGAAGACTAGATGTAGGAGATGTGGCCACCACAAACCATATGCAAATTACTTTACATTTTACCATTGATGTTGTAAGGTCACTACTGGCAAGTTTCATTGGTTTGGACTTTTTTTGGGGGTCAAATTAAAAACATGTTACATCCCCATCGACAGATATGAATAATATATCCTATAGAATTTGTAGACGATTAATTCAACGAAACTAACAGTATATTGCTTATTTGTAGATGTGTTTATTTAAAATGTAGATTATTTTAACAGCATGCCTCAGAAAAAGGCTTTTGAAGTCACATACGTTGATTTTGCCATGACTTTAATAAGAGATGTTCATGTTTTGTGGTTATCTACTTTATTCTATAGTATTCTTGCAAAGTCACCTGATTGTATTCCCAGTTCCTTGGCAATATCTCAAATTCGCTTCCAACAAATATAATTCCATTTTCATTAAGAACATATTCCTGTCGCTCATCCTCCTCAGCTTTAAAGACATCATCATCTAAATAAAAAATAAATAAAAAGATAGTTCAGAAAATTTGATTAGATAAATCATGTAATCACAATATAATATAAATGATAGGGATTATTTACTACCAACTAAGAACTGTAAAATGCAAGGTCCACAATGCTCTGGGCTATAAAGGTTCTAGGACCATGATTTAGGAGTCTTTTGTTGACAGAAATGTATTTAAAACAGGGATCTCAAAGTCAATTTAATTTAGATCCACTGGCCATGTCATTGTCCCTATGAATATTGCAGGTCCATACCTCCGGACACTTGTGTGTACACAATTCCTTACTCTCATATGGACACACAGCTACAGACTCCAATACACACTCCCTCACAGCTATCACATGTTGTACAGCCAAGCTATCGATAAAGTATGCCTATTTTCCTACATTGCTTGTACCAGACAGTGTCATCACAAAAGTTATGGCTTACAACTGCCAAATGTGGGAACTTTAATAATGATGTTGGCAGGAGTCCTCACACAGGCAAACACTCAGGCCCGTTCAACTGCACCATAAGGATATGGGATATGATTGTGACCCTGATGTAGAGCAGGTTACTAGCAATCTAGAACATGGAAAAGTTTGCAGGACCTGGACATAGCTCTTTTATCCAGGACAAGTGGCCATGGGCCACATTAAAGTATTTAGGGGGCAGAAATTGCATACAATCCAGGACTTTGAAACCCCTAATTTAAAAAGCACTTTTTTTTAATTTTACCTTGGATCCATGGATTGAAGATAAGAAATAGTCCACCAATAGCCTGAGGAGTCACATTATCGGTGTTGCTACTAAATACACATACACTCAGGATGTAATGTCCAATAACAGAACTCGAGGAGCTGTTTATAGTCACAGTTAAAGAATTTGAAGTAGTTGATGTCATAACGGCACTCCATGTATCCTTTCCTTGACCTCTAAACAATGGGAAAACAGCTTTTGTTTTTGATTCCTCTGAAGGGGACGGACCTTAAATGGGAATAAATAACAGAAAATAATTAGTATTAATTGCAATTCAGGAAGATCGCCTGCCTATTTTCTTTTTGTATTTGAACTTTTGGAAATATTCTAACTATAAAAAGTCTAATCATATCTGGATTTTTAAAGTGATGCATGAGAGGATTTATTTCAGTAATCTCATATTCTGTATCGTCAATCATAAATCTGATTTATTACAGCTAATCCTTTTTCATTGTGTAGTGACAGATGGATTTAGGGTCATCAACTCATTAAGTAGTTGTAGGATAATTAAAGGGATTTTTGGGGGTGATTTCCCTTTAAAGTTCCAGTACCTCGAACCACTATACATGAGTACGACTCAAATCTGTAACTAATAGGCCAGTTAGAATACCTACCTTTACCTGGATTCGAACTTGGGACCCTTGGGATATGTTACTCTCGAGCGCCGAAATCGTGGTGGGCGAGTGTAGCAAAATGGCCGCCCATAATCTCGTGAGATTAAAGATGGCAGCCGAGGGTAAAGGAGGAGTAACATGGTCCCTGGAGTCTTGGTAGATGTGGGATCAAAGATGACCGCCGTTTTATGCTCGGGCTACCACGTGGTCACCCGACAGACTGCCCTGCACCAAAGTAGTGGATGTTGGAAAGCATCCAGCACATTACCGGGTGTACGGTATGGGGCAGCCTGAGAGAGCGAGGGCAGTGAGTCCGGCCGTCCCCCTGAGAGTTGTAGGAGAAAGGGGTCGAACGGATAGGCTGGAAGAAGGGGTTAACGCCGGGAGCCGACGGGAACTGGGGGAGGGAAGGGGTTAAGCCCCAGCCAGACCCAGAATCCCCATGAGACCCCGGGGAGAAGGAGGAAAGCATGGAAATAGGGTCCCCAGATGCCCCAGGTATAGAAGGCCAGGAAAATCGCCAGAAAAGTAATGATACATATGGTATAAAGTACATCTACCATAACTATACATAAAACCTATTAAGTCAAAAATAAAATTTACACCTAACACCTATTAAATCCATGTTATAAAATACATATGACATCTATTAAATACATATAAAGTACATATAATACTTATCAAAACAAAGGATGAAATGCCTATAAAACTGATAAACTACAAGTGATATTAATCACAACTAAAGGTTATGAAATAAGGATAACGTTAAATCTACATAAAATCTATGAAATAACATAGAAAAAACACAGCTGCACATAGTACAGAAGCACAGCAAGAACATACAGCAAAGTATATAAAAAATATAATACAGAAACAACCTCAAAGAGGCAATAGAAACATAAGTAATAGAGAAGAGTAATACTCTGACCTGCCTGCTTGATGGAGCAGCAAAGAAAGAGGCAATGATAAGGTCACATTGCCTTTTATACATCGTGCTCTCCTGTGATTGGTTCTTTTTTCTATATGTTTCTTTACTGCTGTATGGAGTTAGTAAAGAGAGATATGCAAAATACGAAGCCGCCTGTCATGTGGTAAAATTGTTAATTATAGGGATAAATGAACATAAAAAAGCCTGTTAACTGATAGTTACCTTTTAAGTTAGTTTAACATCATCCGTCCTTCATAAAATCATGTTGATTACTATTAGCGGCATTGTTATGCACAATGAATTTCAGTATATTATCCTTTAATAATCTTTCATCATAGAGGCAGGCTAGGGTCATCAAATCAGAGCTTGCCTCTATAATAATATTTATTATTACTATAATCCCCATTTGCCTGGTGAGGTCAATATTAGTAAATATTGACTCTGATCAGTGTTGATCTCCCTCCCTCTCTTCACTTGTGTTTTAGTGAGAGAGAGAGATCTGTGTTTATGTAGAGAGATTTAGGTAGTTTTAGGTAGAAATTTGTAAAATTGTGAGACCCAAAGGCTCTTTTCAGAGCCATTAACCCCTATCTTGCCAGTGATCACTATAAATCACTTCCTCTTGTACAGCAGCACTTTTTTGCTGTCTGTGCATTTTTTTAGGGGTTAATTTTTTGTGATTTTTTTTTTTTGTGAGACCCAAAGGCTCTTTTTTTAGAGCTATTAACCTCTATCCTTTTAGGGATCACTGTATAGATCAGAGGCTCTTGCACAGCAGCACTTATTTTGTGATTTTTTTTGTGACAGATCACTAAATAAAGTGATTGTGATCATGTCACCGAGGTTACAGAGGTTGTATAGCGCTGAGGAGGCATATGCCATGCTTCCGTTAGAGTCTGACTCATATCCATCACTAGATACAGTGTCTGCTGCTAGTGATGTATCTACAGGGAGTGCAGAATTATTAGGCAAGTTGTATTTTTGAGGATTAATTTTATTATTGAACAACAACCATGTTCTCAATGAACCCAAAAAACTCATTAATATCAAAGCTGAATATTTTTGGAAGTAGTTTTTAGTTTGTTTTTAGTTATAGCTATGTTAGGGGGATATCTGTGTGTGCAGGTGACTATTACTGTGCATAATTATTAGGCAACTTAACAAAAAACAAATATATACCCATTTCAATTATTTATTATTACCAGTGAAACCAATATAACATCTCAACATTCACAAATATACATTTCTGACATTCAAAAACAAAACAAAAACAAATCAGTGACCAATATAGCCACCTTTCTTTGCAAGGACACTCAAAAGCCTGCCATCCATGGATTCTGTCAGTGTTTTGATCTGTTCACCATCAACATTGCGTGCAGCAGCAACCACAGCCTCCCAGACACTGTTCAGAGAGGTGTACTGTTTTCCCTCCTTGTAAATCTCACATTTGATGATGGACCACAGGTTCTCAATGGGGTTCAGATCAGGTGAACAAGGAGGCCATGTCATTAGATTTTCTTCTTTTATACCCTTTCTTGCCAGCCACGCTGTGGAGTACTTGGACGCGTGTGATGGAGCATTGTCCTGCATGAAAATCATGTTTTTCTTGAAGGATGCAGACTTCTTCCTGTACCACTGCTTGAAGAAGGTGTCTTCCAGGAACTGGCAGTAGGACTGGGAGTTGAGCTTGACTCCATCCTCAACCCGAAAAGGCCCCACAAGCTCATCTTTGATGATACCAGCCCAAACCAGTACTCCACCTCCACCTTGCTGGCGTCTGAGTCGGACTGGAGCTCTCTGCCCTTTACCAATCCAGCCACGGGCCCATCCATCTGGCCCATCAAGACTCACTCTCATTTCATCAGTCCATAAAACCTTAGAAAAATCAGTCTTGAGATATTTCTTGGCCCAGTCTTGACGTTTCAGCTTGTGTGTCTTGTTCAGTGGTGGTCGTCTTTCAGCCTTTCTTACCTTGGCCATGTCTCTGAGTATTGCACACCTTGTGCTTTTGGGCACTCCAGTGATGTTGCAGCTCTGAAATATGGCCAAACTGGTGGCAAGTGGCATCGTGGCAGCTGCACGCTTGACTTTTCTCAGTTCATGGGCAGTTATTTTGCGCCTTGGTTTTTCCACACGCTTCTTGCGACCCTGTTGACTATTTTGAATGAAACGCTTGATTGTTCGATGATCACGCTTCAGAAGCTTTGCAATTTTAAGAGTGCTGCATCCCTCTGCAAGATATCTCACTATTTTTGACTTTTCTGAGCCTGTCAAGTCCTTCTTTTGACCCATTTTGCCAAAGGAAAGGAAGTTGCCTAATAATTATGCACACCTGATATAGGGTGTTGATGTCATTAGACCACACCCCTTCTCATTACAGAGATGCACATCACCTAATATGCTTAATTGGTAGTAGGCTTTCGAGCCTATACAGCTTGGAGTAAGACAACATGCATAAAGAGGATGATGTGGTCAAAATACTAATTTGCCTAATAATTCTGCACTCCCTGTAGTGATGTATCTGGGGCTGCTATGCCCCCTGCCACAAGGAGAAGTGCTGCTCCAGCTGGCAGTGCTGTTGAGGAGTGGGTTGCGCCAGATATCCCACTCTTCACCGCAAATCCTGGCATCGATGTGGATGTCGCAGGATTTAGCCCCCAACAGTTTATGGAGGTGTTTCTGGGCAATGATGTATCGGGGAACGTTGTCCCCCAAACTAATTTATATGCCCATCGGTTCCGTGCTTCAAAGTCTGACTCTTTTTTGGCAAAGCAGCAATGGGCTCCAATCTATGTTCCAGAATTTACAAAATCCAGGGGATTGTCTTTGCTGATGGGCATCATAAAGAAGCACTCCATCCACTCCTATTGGAGCAGTAGCCCGATCTGTTCTAGCCCCATTTACTCCCAGTGAATGTTGAGGAAAATATATGAAATGATTCTACACTTCAGTGACAACAGCCTGTGCCCCCCTATAAAGCATCCCCAGTTTCACAGGCTGTATAAAGTCCACCCCCTGATTACCTACTTCACTGCCAAGTTTGCAGAGCCTTATAAATCCCGAAGGAATAAATTCCTAATGAAGTATAAGGGAAGGCTGGGATTCAAACAGTATATTTCTTACAAGCGCTCCAGGTATGGTGTAAAGGTGTATAAGGTCTGTGAGACTGGGTATACTCAGGTATTCCAGATGTATGAGGGAAAGGATAGCCACCTTGACCCTCCAGGTTGCCCAGAACATATGGGAACCAGTGGCAAGATTGTCTGGGACCTAATATTCCCCCTAATGAACAAAGGGTACCACTTGTATTTAGACAATTTTTATACAAGTGTCCCTTTGTTCAAGCTATTGCACTGCTTTGATACAGTAGCTTGCAGTACAATCAGGAAGAACCAGGACAACTTGCACGCACCTGGTTACGAAGGGAGAAGACCTCAGCTCTGCGACAAGAAGAGCTGTTGGCAGTTAAGTACAGAGACAAGAAGGATGTGTACCTTTTTAACCACCATCCACACTGAGATGACTGTGGGGGGTCTCTGTACGTGGCAGAGCTGAGAGCACAAGGAAGCCAGTGTGCATCAAGGCCTATAACCGACATATAGGTGGGGTTGATCTGGCAAATCAGCTGCTGCAGCCCTAACTAATTATACAGAAGACAAGGGCCTGGTACAAAAAGGTTGCAATTTACCTAATGCAGATTGCAACCCACAAGGCTTTTTTGTTGTTCAAAAAAGAAAACCCCGTAATGAAACTGACTTTTTCGCACTTTCAGCTCCAGATCAGTGATGGGAGAGAACAGAGTTGGGGCTACCCACTTTATTTTTAAAATTCCCCCTACTGTGGCAAAGCAGAATCCTCAAAAAAGATGCAGAGTCTGTTTCAAGAGGGAGAAGAGAAAGGACACCGTATTTTACTGTCCTGGTTGCCCAGGACAGCCTGGACTCTGCATTGGGTACTACTTCAAGAGATATCACACACTGGTCTGTTTTTTTTTATTTTTTTTACATTTGCCATTCAGTTTTTTTTTGGTTACGTTTACTGTTCCTGAGTTTGTTTTTTTACGTTTACATCACCAGACAATTTTTATGATCAAGTTCAACCTATGTATGGGAGCATGAGTGTACTCAGACCTTGCAGGAAACAGCCTGGAGTGTTTTCTTGCAATAACCAACAACAGTCTCCCCTAAATCACACACAAATGTCTGTGTAAAAATGAAAATTGAAAAATTGCCATCACACATTTTCTCCATTTATTTTGGCTAAAACGGTTGCATCAAAGGCATCAAAACACTCCATATACAATACCTTGGGGTGTCAACTTTTTATTTCACATATTGTAATTAGAATAACTTGTTGTGCCACACTAGTGTCTAGTATAAGAATGCTATTCAAGAGGAAAGACTGATGTAATTGATTAACAAAACAATTGCTCCATGATACTAGACCATGTGAAGCTGAACTCATTCAGTTGAAAGTTCACACTTTGCACTCATTCCACAACTGGCTGTATGTACGGTCTTGAAAACTCTATCACTGTGAGCGGCAACTCATACCTGTCTCAGTGGTGAATAGGATGTTCTCTCCTTGCTGCAGGGCTCTACTGAAAGTCAGAGTTAGAAGAAAAGGTTGGCCTCTCCGTAGGATCAAATCGTTGCTGTCGTACATATTGGTATGGTGGACTTTCTTGTTAGCCGCATAATGCCAGTCACAGCTCGTGACTTGTAAACCTTTAAATTGAACATAAAATAGGAATGAAAATCAAAGAAAACAAAGAAAATATGCATATATATATAAAATTCTATACAGTATATTATTTACTATATGGAATTTCTCTGTCTGTCTGTCTATTTATTCATTCCTCCGTCCATCAATGCTTATAAATAGATATCTAATCAGGATGGTTTATTTTTTAAATACACAACATAGAGTGCTAATAATAATAACACAAGGAGAAAGGAAGAGAATAAAAACAAAAATAATAATAATTAGTTTGCAGAGAGACCTGGAACATGATGCTATGATGATAAATTGCATATTACTTGACTATGAATTACAGCCATTGTTTTATTTACTTGCATTGTTTAAATTTATCATCAATCTTGTGCAAAACTTTATTGCCGGTAGGAGGTAATGTATGAAGCCAGTATCTGTTAAATACTCACCTTGCAGCCAGGACAATTTTATAAAATAATTTGTATTCAGATACATTCTAAATGGCTTGTGAAAGCAAATAAGTCCATTTATGTAAGGGAATGCCAGCATATCTTTGAATAAACAACTAAGCACTATTATCATTATGGTATGTAGAGCTTATGGTGCTAGAAGTGCCTTGGCCCCCACTTAAAGGGACAATATAGTCACCAGAACATCTAAAGCTAATTGAATTTGTTCTGGTGAGTAGAATCATTACCTTCAGGCTTTTTGCTGTAAACACAGTCTTTTCAGAGAAAATGCAGTGTTTACATTACAGCCTAGTGATAACTTCACTGGCCACTCCTTAGATGGCTGTTAGAGATCCTTCCTGGGTCATGGCTGCCTAAAATGCATCAAAACAGTCAGTGTCTCCACCCTCTGCACGCAGACACTGAACTTTCCTAATAGAGATTCATTGATTCAATTCATCTCTATGAGGAGATGCTGATTGGCCATGGCTGTGTTTGAATCATGCTGGCTCTGCCCCTGATTTCTTTGTCAGTCTCAGCCAATCCTATGGGGAAGCATTGTGATTGGATCAGGCCACCACTTCTGATGATGTCAGAGGTCAGAGAAAGTTCACAGGCAGAGGCAGCATCTTCAGACTTGAATACAAGTAAGATTTTACTATATTTACAGAGGGAAATGGGCCAAGGGGGCTAGATAGTGGTTTTAACACTACATGGCCAAGAATACATGTTTGTGTTCCTGACCCTATAGTGCTCATTTAATATAAGTAGTCCTTCCATTTTAAACTTCTTATTGCTGGGTGTAGCTGCCTAGCTCTACTACAGACTCCTCTATAACTAGAAGCTCTCTGTCTGAGCTAAACTCAGTGGTACTTCAACTGAAGGACTCAACCAATGAGCTGGTCCTGCATCAACACGGCAGGACTTAACTCAGGTCTGCTAATGGAGTACACAAAAAATGCGAATAGTGGTGTCTGGCAGACTACAATAGGGGTCTCACTGTAGTGGTTATGGTGTTTGGAGTGTTCGTTTAACCATGAGATTTTATTGCCAAAATGGTAAATTGTCAAGGTAATGATATTGGATGCACACCATACAAGCAATGAACTCTCAATCCAAGATGCTAGCATTAACTTAACTCGCTTAGATAAAGGGTATACAATACAAAAAGAAAGCAGAGCTGCACGTATACAAATACAATAGAATGTAGTACTTTATAAAAATACATGCTAAGGCCACTCCTAGCTGCATAGTCACAAACAGTGCTTTTCACAAAGTTAGAGAGTAATCAAAACTTATATTACCAGAGGAAAGAACACAGGTATCCCTATCCCCAACTTTCTGGCCACCCTATTTTCTATGAAAAAAAAGGTTTTGGGCTTATGTAATTTTTGTTACCTTGAATTATGAATTCATTCTTTTTTTTTTTTTTTTAAGTTTCTTTTTTGTAAATGCCCCTTAATTTTCTAGATATGTCTTAATAATAGACTGAACAAAATTGCTGTTCATTTTTAACTTACATGAGCAGCACAAATTATATTTAAAAAGAATAGTATATTTCCTAATGAAAGTTCAATAAACAAAGTAAAAAATAGACAAATTGTATTTTTTAATTTTTTTTTAAATATCCAAAAAAGGACTTTTGCAAATGTGTTGACCAAACAAGTTTTATTTTATTCTCCCTGATCGGATTTAGTCTGGTTAACATGCATACTATGCAAATTGTTGTAAATAGTTAACATAAAAGTTTGAGTCATATATAATTAAAAATATGAATTTATTCTAAAGAATGCAAGAGTGTTATTTGCATTCAATCACGTTGTCACTCTAAGCACCATAAGCCACTTCCTGGAGATAAATATCATTTTTCTGTGTGGGGGGTGCTTCTCTGTACTGTCAATCAACTATAATTAGGATTCCCATCAGAAATATTGGGAACACCAAAATGGCGGGATCCAGAGTCTGCCCACACGGCTGGCCCATGAATCCACCCCCTGGGCACCCCCTGAGTTTGCTCAGGGAGTGGAGTGTACGTGTTGGGGGATGTAATGTGTGTGTGCTTATAGAATGTAGTGTATAGGGATTCCAGCTTGTATAAGAGATGTAGTGTGTGTCTGTGTAATAGAGTGTGTGCATATAGTGGATATAGTAAGTGTTTAGAGGATGAAGTGTGTTTATGTAAAAGGATGTGTGTTTGTGTGTAAGGCATGCATTGTGTGTTTCTGTGCGTGTGTAAGGAATGCATTGGGTGCTTCTGTCAGAGTGTGGGTAAGGAATGCAGTATGTGTGTGTGTGTGTTTGTGTGTAAGGGATACGTTGTGTATTTGTGTTAGTGTGTGTGTGCTTGTTTGTGTGTGCATGTGTGTATGCAAGGGGAGCAGTGTGTGGGTATGTGTGTGTGTGTGTAAGGGATGCATTGAGTGTGTGTGTGTGTGTGCGCATGTGTGTGTAGGAGATGCATTCTGTGTTTCTCTGTGTGTAAGGGATGCATTCTGTGTGTGTATGTAAGGGAAGCATTAGGTGTATCTGTGTGTGTAAAGGATGCATTTTGTTTTTCTGTGTGTGTAAGGAAGGCATTGTATGTGTGTGTAAGGAACACATTGTATGTTTGTAAGGGATGCATTGTGTGTTTATGTCTGTGTGGAAGAGGTGCAATTGGCTGTCTAAGGTCTTGCACTGACTGAGGCCTCACGAACACCTTAGGACAGACTGAAATGTCGAGTCCTAGGTCCGTAACTGAGACACCAGGCTATAGTGTATGCCACCGGGTGCTGGACCCTTCCACTCAATCTTCCCTGGTAGAGAAAGAGCCCAGTAACTCTGGTCTGCAGCTCCGCCAGGTCAACTGGTCGACTGGTGGGCCAGCATAACTTAAGGGTTAATACCAGCCAGGGGTGCACAGTGGCCGGATAACCAGCCAGAGGGAAGCATACTTCACAGTGCTCCTCCTCCTACCAGTCATTACATGTAGCATGGCCGAGCAGACTGCGGATAGAGGATTAGACACATGGAGGGGTTGGGTGGGGCTAAGTGGGAGGATAAGACAACTGAAGGGGCTAGGGGGATGATACACATGGAGGTGCTTGGGGGAGATTGAGACACATGGAGGGACTGGGGGGGGAATAAGACACTTGGAGGAACTGGGAGGGGAGAATGAGATACACGAAGGGCCTGGGGGAGAGAATGAGACACCTGGAAGGGGAGGGGGAAATAAGACACATTGGGGGGGAAACAGGGCTATTTTCGCACAGGGCCAGATGGTTTCTAGCTATGCTTCTGGTGAGGATGTTCTTAGCTGTCAGTCCTGTAGAGACTGAGGGCTGAGACATAGAGGGGCTTTGGGGGTGAGACATGTGGAGGAGTTGGGGGGAATGACACACATAAATAAGCTGGGAGGGAGATTGAGACATGTGGAGGGGCTGGGGGAAGAATAAGAGAGACTCAGTTACTTGGAGGGACTGGGAGGGAGTATTAGACAAATGGAAGGGCTGGGGGGGATCGAAACACAAATGCTGGGGGGCCCCAGGGCAATTTTCGCACTTGGGCCTGGGGTTTTCTAGTTGCGCATCTGGTGAGGATCTTCATTAGCCGTCAGTACTGCAGCTTGTAAAAAGGTAAGATTTTAAGCCTGATGAAATATTATGTTGTATTGTGTGTATCATAAGAGAGAATTGAGTTATTGTCTACAGACAGAAACATCAATAACAGGTTCAAACATATTAATAATAACATGTAATAAGCTTGACAGGGCAAGGAAAGTTCAATAGATCTGCCCTGTCTGGCAAAACTCCCAGCTTTATTAACTACATCTCAACTTATGTAATCACTCACTTAAAAAGGTCCGTAGAAAATGAACATATTTATGTTTAAAATTGTACAATCTTCCTCTTCCTCTATTTGTTTCATAAACATTTTGGATTTTCATCAATTTTGGTTGAAACGTTTTTTGGTTTTTTTTTATCAGTGTTACATAATAATAGATGCACATAGTTAATAATTTGCTGTTGTTTAATAAATATACAAAACCAAAAAACGTGTGGACCTCCTTTTCCTTTTGGGAATCCTAAATATCTGTAAAGAAGACTACTGTTTCTTCTTAAGTGAGGAGTCTCAATATCACTTTCCATACTTGAAAATATCAAAGACCAAGTCATGTTTTTAAACAATGTAAATGCTCATTTTTCAAAGTCCAAATTGTCCTTTTAATTAAGTTGCATGTTATTAATTCTTAATTCGTTTTCACACATTTATGTTTTCTTTAATGTTCAATTTATGAGTTTATGTAGCATTATCCTGTGATTCAGAACGAATACTGATGCTTTATTGTCTCAATATTTGGACCTTGGAATGTATTAACACATTCATACTAATATTATAACTATTATTATTATTATTAATATGACAGATCACTTTTCCTCTTACGTTTAATAGACTCAGAAACAAAGAAAAAAGGTTTTACAATGCATTTCTGTCATCCTATTTTTTACTTCTATCCCCACTCTCTCATCCTCACCCACATCTTGCTACCTAATTGCCATTTTTTTCCTTTCTGTTTTAGATGCCCTCCACCACTTCCAACATCTGCTCATCATCATCATCTGAACTATAAATCTCATGATATACACAGATCAGCCACAACATTGAAACCATTGACAGGTGAAGTGAATAACATTGATTAAATTGTTACAATGGTATCTATCAGGGGGTGAGATAGATTAAGCAGCCTTTAATGTGGAAATGTGTGTTAGACATGGACCATGGAGCAGTGGAAGAAAGTTACATGGTTTGATAAATCATGTTTTCTTTTAGATCAGGTGGATGACCAGGTACATGTGCGTTGTTGGCAGAGGCAGTGTTATGCTCTGGGCAATGTTCTGCTGGGAAACCTTGAGTCATGGCATTCATGCAGATGTTACTTTGACACGTATCACCTACCTACATTTTGTTCAAGACCATGTACACTCATTTATGGCAATGGTGTTCCCTGATGGCAGTGGCCTCTTTTAGCAGGATAAGTCACCTGCCACATTGCAAAAATTGTTCAGGAATGGTTGGAGGAACATGGCAAAGAGTTCAAAGTGATGCCTGGGCCTCCAAATTCACAAAATCTCCATCTGAATGAGCAACTGTGGGATATGCTGGAAGAAAAATCCCAGAGGCCTCGTCTCACAACTTTCAGGACTTAAAGGATCTGCTGCTAATGTCTTGGTGCCAGATACCACAGGATGCCTTCAGAGGTCTTGTGTTAGCCATGCTGTTTTTGGAAGCACGACAGGGACCTACACAATATTAGTTTTAATGTTGTGGATGATCAGTGAATGACTTCATCTTTAGCTGGCTTCATTCCTGTTTGACCTTTCTCAATACTATACGTCCCAGCATTTAAAATGGGCAGAAATAGACAATTACATTTTAGGAGTTGGGGCTGTTCCGAGGTATTTTAGTTGACTTATTACGGTAATAACAATTTATGCAACAAAAATGTAATTTGAACAATGTATCTTTTTTACACAGATTGATTTCTAAACACATTTATTATAGTTTAAAGATGTAAGAGTTATTTCTGTGGAGCTCTGTTATACTCTGAGGCACAACAACAATTTGATGCTCCTGGAAAAGAGGGATATTAGGATAAAAACAGAGGAAAAGGGATTTTGGGCCCAAAAAACAGGACTGTACCTCCTAGATAGGGACAGTTGAGAGGTATGCATACTCCATTCGTCACCTTTATAAATTAACAACAGCAAAAATATATGTGAGAAAGGCGGAACTTGATGGATGCAAGTCTCTTTTCAACTATGTAACTATGTAACCTAGAATAAAATTCCATGGTTACTGATTAAAGATGCAAGTACATGATGACGTTGTTTTTTTCATTGTTAGAAGAATATTTGTCTGCAGGGCTGTCTTTTCCCATGAGCACACTGGGCAGTTGCCCGAGGGCCCCACAAGTATGGGGGCCCCAGCGCAATGCCCAGCGTGCCCGGCCGGCCGGCAGGGGAGATACTCTGATCTCCCCTGCCGGCCAATGGAGAGCTGGCACTGCTTTCTTGCAGTGGGCCCTCTCGGGCCGTTGGGGTGATCAAAGATCTCCCTCACCGGCCCAAAGTCCCTTCATTAGCGGGAGGACCCAGAGGCTGCATTATAGGGAGGAAGGGAAGGACCTGGGAGGAGATCGCTCCTCCCACGAGCATGATGCGGCGCATTGCCCTTCTCCACTCAGAGCTCTGCTCGGGAGTAGTGAAGATAGTCTGCAGCCAGAGGAGCTGCAGGCTATAGAACACCACCACCATACCACCAGGGCAGTGTTTCCCCTCCTTCACAAAAGGTAAGAAGAAAGATTTGGGGGGACATCAAAATTTCATTAATGTATGTTACATTTATTATTTAAAAAAACATTTGCTCCATACACCCCTCACACTCTGCAACACACACACACCACTCACCCTTCACACACACAACACAAACACACACAGCACCCCCGCACACACACACACACACACACAGCACCTCTCACTAGACAGGTGCAATTAGTTTCGTTCCGAATGTACATTTGGATGAATTTCATGCCATTCGGACATGTGGATGCTTACGAATGTCCGAAGTGCTGAGTTTCCGAAGCGCCGAAGTTCTGAAGTGACGAAGTTCGGTAGTGATTCGGATTTCCAAAAGTGGCAAAGCAAGAGAGAGGGAGGGAAAACTATGTGAATGATGACAGGAATATTGACCAATAAGCTAATTCTGTTTGTGCAATGTAATGCTTGCTTGCCCAATCCGGTTTCACTATTCCCTGTCCAATGAAATAAGCACATTTTTGTGATTGATGTTAGAGGACAGCCAATTAATGGTGATTTTGTCACTGACACTTGGCCAATGAAGGTACACAGAGTCATTGAGGGCTAGTATATAAATCAGGCTGTCAGGGTGTTGGCTTGCATTCATGTGACCAGACTAGTTGTGATAGCACAAGAGACTGAGAGAGATAAGTTACATTACATTTATTGTATTTTACTTGTTGCAAACTTGGGGAGCCATATTGCTTTTAAGAGTGTGTTCCAGGGAGAGAGAGAGAGAGAGAGAGTGAGTTTTGCCTTTTTTTCTTCTGAATTTTGTTTCTTTTTTTGAAGAGGGGGAGGTGAGAGAGTGTGTGGCTGTGCACGCCAGATAGCCTGATTGCCAGTGTGTCTCTCTGCTGCACTGTGACTTTGCTACAGTGATTAATTTTGTGTTTTTTAGTTTTCTGTGATTGAATTTAAATAAAAATTTTATAAAACAAAAGAAACCATAATGGATAGTCCATGTCATCCTCACATTCTCCCCTCAAGCGACGTGACTGAGGAAACTGAAAGCCGTCATGTCGCTGCTGGTTATACCACTACTAGCTCCTCCATCAGATAGTGGTACACTTGCTTCCTCTTCAACTCACCTGAAGCAGAGGCAAATGTAACAGCAGGAGCTTCTAGTGCCACCACCCTCCCTACCCCTAGAACACCCACCTTCCCCCCCACCACCCTCCCTGGGCAAATCTCCCACAACTACCCCACTACCATCACCACCACAAGTCTCCCTGTTGACCCTACACAGCTCTCCCTACCAGCCACCACTTGCTCTCACTTTGCTCTCTCTCACACACACTGTTACTTGCTTGTTCACACACAAATGTATTTCTCTTACACTCTGCTCTCACTCTCTGCTTCTAAGCTCTCCACAAAGATGGTGTCACAGGGGTGGAGTTATATAGTGTGCAGAAGTGTTGCATGCTGGTAGTGGTCCCTGATTGGCTGTACTATCTGTGCAGTGAAAATATAATTTTGTAAATTGTATATATACTAAACTAACATTACTAATTATTAACTAAAACCAGACCACTTCTTTAAGATTAAGTGGTCTGGGTTCTGCTGTGGTCCACTATGCAATGTAAAACATGGCTGTTTAAGAAAAAAACACACAAATGTTTATTTTTCAAAATAAACAACATTCCGAATTGGCCGAATGCCTGAAACGAATTACATGCCGAACTGCTGAATGCCCGAAATGAATGACCAAATGCCACGTACCCGAATGCCAAATGTCCGAAATGAATGTCATTCGGCAGTTCGAAGTGCCTAACTAAACCGAATGCCATTGGTCGGAATTGCTGAAGGAGACAAATGTTATTACTTACCCGAATTTCTGAACTGAACCGAACCAATTTTTTTGCCCATGCACATTCTTACCTCTCACACACCGCACCCCTCACACACACACAGCACCCTTCACACACACAAAGCACCCCTCTCACACACACAGCACCTCTCTCACACACTGCACCTCTCACACACACAGAGCACCTCTCTCTCACACACAGCACCTCTCTCTCACACACAGCACCTCTCTTACACACAGCACCTCTCTCACACACTGCACCTCTCTCACACACACAGTGTGAGAGCACCTCTCTCACACACACAGCACCTCTCTCTCACACACAGCACCTCTCTCACACAAACAGCACATCTCACACACACAGCACCTCTTACACACACAGCACCTCTTACACACACAGCACTTCCGTTACACACAGCACCCCTCACACACAGCGACTCTCACACACAGCACCTCTTCTCACTGGGCCACTGTGACTAAAAAATGCCCAGACTGAATTTTTTTCCTAGTTTGGCCCTGTCGGAGACACTCATGCTGTGGCTAGTTGAAATGTTGTGAAGCTTCAAACTGCATGACTGGGACTGTAACTCTGAAGACTGATCTGATTCTGATTTTAAGCTGTTTTAATCTGTAATGATTGTTGCTTCTGTTAACGGTGTCCGCTACTACCATCTTAAAATCTTACCAATTGCCACTGGAACAAAGACACAAAGTTGACAAAGAGAGATATGAATAGAGAGTTACAAGTGGGAGAGGAGGGTGATATGGGCACAGGAACATAAGTGGTATATATAGAGAGAGAGATGTAAGTAGGGTAGGGGATATGGAAAGAGGGACCCACAAAGAATGGACAAAAAAAAAGGAAAAGGGATACAAGCGAGGAAAATGATATAAAGAGATAGGAATGCTAGGGGAGAGAGTCTCGATGCAGCCCGGAGATCTCAGAGGACTCCGAGGCAGAGAGGGAATCCCCTGTGCTTACTCTGGAATCCAGACACAGCCGCCAAAATGTCCACTTGAGAGTGGTCCCAGAGAGGGTAGGGGATGATGTCCTGCTCTTAACCATGCGGAAGATAATAACCGCTATGGGCATTACAGACAGCCCTGAAACCCCCCACATAAAGGCAACCTTCCAAGTATGGAAGTCAGCGACAGCCCCAGAAACAGGATATCTTTGCCGTAACTACAGACATAACCATCCATAGTGCAATAATAAAACGCTCCAGAGAGATGGGCATGGTGCCTTCTGAGGGACACTCAATCTCGATTTACAGCAACCTACCTTTTCAAGTTCTTGCGGAAAAGAGGAACCTGTCTCAGGTGGCCAAACAAATACTGATGGGATATGGGAAGCTCATTGGTGGGACCTCGGGGGAAGGACACCTTAACCCTCTCCTCAGGTGATCCCCAGCCATTTCTCCAAACCCTCGGGCTGTCAGCCAATCATCATAAGGATACGGAGACCATAGAACCAAAGCCAACAGCAAAACCGGGCCCTGCAGGACACCCACAGTCATACAGGGGACTGAATGTGAAGAAGATCCGCAGGATCTCTGATAGATCATGAACACTTACGAGACTGCAACTCCTAGAAGATGACATCCTCACTAAGTGATACTGCTGAGTTCCTTCTCTGCCAGTGGAGAAATACATAATGTGTCACCGCTATTTCCCTACCCCACACCGACGAACACAGCAATACCAGAGATACCACACACAATGTTTTCCTTTGCTGTAGATAGCACTGTATGGCACTCCTTATTTGCATATACCTACCCATACCAAGCATGTTATCCTTTATATTGCTTCTACAAACCCCAGTTGAACAAAATATTGTATGCCTTGTGTACAAACCCAATAAAATATAAATTTAAAAAAAGAAAAAATGGAGAAACAGAAAAAATCTATAATTATATATTTATTTATTATATTTTTATTAAATGTATAAATTTTAATTACTGCTACTTCTTTCCCTCTCTATTGGTCACTTCTCATTTGATGACTAAAATAAATATTTAGTTGCTGCTCCCTAATCATCAATCGTCTTTTTTCCCATCAATTTTTTGGCACCACAGATGGAATAACACCACTCGTTTATTCCTCATTTCATTTGTTCCATGATTCAGATATATTGTGATTCAGAGTTCCAGAATGTGGATGGCTCACCAATCAAGATTTAGACAAATCAGAAATAATTTAAAAACTGAACACACAAGTCTAGGAATAACCTCAACATATATGGGCATTTTAGAATAATGGTGTTTTTTTATCTGATGAACTGCGGTTAAATATCTTGCTATGTTTCAGATATATATTAATGCCGATGGGCAATGTGCCCTCTCTCCACACTCCCCTTCGTCTACTCATTACCCTCTATTATAACTTCACTTCTCCTCTTCTATAACTCTCTCATCACCCTATCATATATTTACCATCTGTCTTCCCCAACTTTTACCGTATAATAGTAATAGTAAAAAAAAAATCCTGCACACATAGACTTTGTTCCATACTCAGAGCAGAAGATGATTAAATATAAAGACATGTAAACTATGCATATGCATGTCTGACATTACACGAGGAGCACAAACCAGCTTCACCTGGACCTACCCCTATTGGGAGGATGTTTAAGGATTATCTTTTTAAGCACTATAGTTAGTTAGGAATGCAAGCAAGTAGAAAGTATTTATGAATAGCTAATATGAACATTAACTCAGCTAATACACATATACAGAGATATGTAGAGTCCCATGGATTTTTCATAAAAAAATCTAAATTATGGTCAAACATAATGTGCTGATTAAGTCACCAAGGTAAATGTTTCATGATATCATTTCTGTTATCGGCAGATGGATAGGCAAGAAAATCTGCTTCTCTGTATTTTAATCTGAAATAGAGATAGAACCCAAAATGTATTTATTCACAAATATTAACATAAATAACATCTAACCACTTAAACCATTGCCACCGAGGGCATGATTTACCATGTTCCACCTTGTAGGGGTATACCAAGATACACCCTACACACACCAGGTTCGGAGCTACCAACGAGCTCAACAAAACAAAATCTAACCAAACCTAATAGTTCTTAGCGAACTAAACTATGTTACATCTGGACAGACAACCTACACCCAAACTTTTTTATCCATCTCCCGCCGCCGTGACCATACGGGATCCAAAACCTACTTAAAGGGAAGGAGGGTGGGACAAAATAGGTAAGTGAGGATTAATTAAGATGGCCCTTGTTCAAAAATGGCCGCTATATATACTTCCATAATCTAAAACCCCGCCCCCACTTTCTATAGCCAAACCCTCACATTAACACCTCATATGCCTGTCTCCTAACCATGTCAAGGCCCATTCCACTTAGCTGCGCTGTTCCATGGGCTACAATTCTCCAAGTTTTATCAATTGCTCTGTTCAAGATCGCAACTGTCTCCTTAAAGTGTAACCTGATTCCACCAGTACAAATGTTTCCTTTTAATGACAATCTTGTAAAATCACTTATCTCTGTAAAGTGCCAGAGATAATGATATTATAAAATCCAAGGAAAGTAAATAAATAAAATAGTAACTTCAGAAATGTGATTGTCAATAAAAGAAAGCTAACAGCATGTTTTGTAAACTAATAAAGCAAGAATTAAAGTGGTGCTACCAAATTTACACTAATATCAGATATCAGGAGTGTAAATAGGAGTTTAAAAAGTCCTAGTGCAAGAATCAAAGAAGCGCCCCACCCCCCCCCCTCTTCTTGCACTCTCACTGATACACAATGATACACTATGGAAGACATGCTGCCTTTAGCACACACACTGTTTAACCACCACACGTTTTCAATGACAGACATACACATTTCCACTGACAGACACATACTCTCAAATACATGTACACCAACAGACACAATCTCGCTGACAAACACACACTTTTGCTTATTTGACACACACTCTCACTGATTTGACACACTCTCACTGATTTGACATACACTGACAGACACACACATTGACACACACACACTCACTAATTTGACACACACTGACAAACACACTCTCACTGATTTGACACACACTGACAAATACACTTCTGTTGATTTGACCCCCTGACAAACACACACTCTCGCTGACACACACTCACTCATTTCACACACATTGACAGACACACACTCTCAATTATAATCTCACTGACATACACTCACACATTCACATTCTCTCACGCACTCACACAAATTAATTTAAATTATAGTTTGCTTGTTTTTTTTTTATTTTGAGGCCCATTCAGCCTCCCTACCCTTGGGAGAGCTGGTGTTTGCCCTCCTTTCCCTGGGATCCAGTAGGTCCTCTCCCTGTGGTCCTTTGAAAGCTTTAATCATCTTGATCTTCCTCACTGCTCCCTCACTACTGTTTAGTGATGACGGGGCCAGGGTGACGTCATAAGCCCGGGTCCTGACATCACAGCAGGGCGCACGAGGGAGATCAAGAAGATGACAACTTCCACACCGGTTACAGCCCTTACCCGGAAACACTGTATTTTGGCACAGGTCCCTACTCTGCCTTGGTAAACAACCGGCCTTCTACTGGAGGACCCTAGGGTGGCTAACCAGCCAGCTCCTGGACCTCCATGAGAGGCGGAACACAGCGGGCCCAGTCTCATCAGCCCTTGTAGTTCTGCCACTGGCTGCATGCAGGAATCAGCAGGTTCAACAGGGCAGCTGGACCCCCTGGAGTGACGGGCCCGGTCGCAGTTTCGACCTCTGTGACAGTAGTTCCACCACTGACTAATATTAAATACTTATAGTCAAAATATCCTATATTGAGACATTTCATTTTTTTTTAAAGAGGCAGTTGTAAGTGTTTTAAAAAAGGTAATATATAAGCAATCAATGGAGTTTTCTTCTATTTATTAATCAATGGAATAAATAAATCTATAGATCCCAAAAATTTTAATATGTTTCTACACCTCCACCATTTAAACAATAACTAAGCATTATGGGAGATTTAGTCCACACCATCTGAAGTGTCAAAGATGTGCCTACCCCTGTGCTAAGGCTTTAGACAGCTTTATATGCCATCTGTACCCATTTCCCTCAGCCAGCATTTAACGATTTTGTAGCTCTGATAGATCCATGAAGAAAATTAGATTATTTTATGAAAAAAGCTGTCCACATGTTTGCACTAGGTTAACAGAACTACACGAGAAAGAGAGTAGTAAACTAATGTCTATATGTTTATATTAAAAATCAACTGGAATGATGTTCATTTTTCCTAGATACATTTTTATCTAGGAGGGAAATAGGAAGTGCAGGAAAAGACATAAAGGAAGGAATCAGAAGTGACAGTTCCACATTAAACATGTATGTATACTTTTATAAATGCTTTAAGTTTGTTTGTTTGTCTGTTCCATTAATCCATCCCATTAGATCTAGAATATTGCATATTTTCCTCTTGTCCTCACTGTGTACCAAATGATCGACTTAATACACCTGGGAATTCTACAGCAATACATTTTAATTTAACTGATGGTGATGTGGTCTCCACATGCTCCTAGCTACACAATATTCACCAGTAAAGTATCTCCTATAATGCCTCCTTTGATCCTGTAGCACGTACTTTACAGCACTACGTTAAATGCATTCACCTGCCATAGTAACTTTATCCAAATGTTATAACTGCACAGCATTGCATTCAATGCACTCACCTGTCATTGTTGCTCTGGTTTTTTTTTTTTTCCGAGGTGCTTGTTTCAGATCATGCACAGTCATGTAATGACAGATACTTTAATCTAGGCTGTATTTATAACCAGTGTTTTTTTAAGTCTCCTCCTTTTTCAGATTAATTATAATTTAAATAAGTTGGGTGAGGTTCAAGTAGCTTTGTGAGTGTATTCCAATCAACAGCTCATACTAATGCACTGTCGATGACAGATGCCCTGACTAGAAACCCTATACACAATAAAGACATATTACTGGGCATTAGAGTGGCCGGACTTCACATATAAACATTATTATTAACAAATATGAGGTATACGATAGAAAATATGCAGATACAAACCTAGGTCAGGGTTGGAGATGGATATACAAGTATAGCAAAGCCAAGGGTCAAGGATACTAGAATACTGAATAAATGATTAAACAAAGCCAAATCAGTTACCAGGAATACCAAGGATATAGGGACATACTCTCGGGATAACAGTAACAGTGCAATGAGGAGAGGTCATCAGGGTAAATATAAGCCCCCTGTGGACTCTTATTGGTTTTGGTTACTTTTTACGCGAAAATGAAAGCGAGCCACGACATTCGTCATCGCGTCCGCCACGGGGATAGCCGGATCGGAAGAGAATTCGTTCGGCACATGGAGCAGGTATCACATGCACAAATAAACGTGGAAAGTTATTCACTAAAGTGTGAACTGTCTCAAAAGTCAAAGGGGAAACGTATTTTATAGTTCAAACAAACTAAACCGGAAACATTTTCAAAGCCAGCTATGCTTTCAGTTTGGCTACTAGAATTTCCTCTGAATTCAGGCTAAGTCACACTTCGGTAATAATCCAGATGAGTGACTCTGCAGATTGAGGGTAATTTAGTGTTCACAATGAAAGTATGAATTTCATCTGATAGTAGGCAAAAAATAATTAAGAACAAAAATGCAAACTTAAGCCTGCACTCAAACTCCCACTACTCCTATGCAGCAACAATTACTATAGCACACATCATCCCCGATACATGCAATAAAAAAAAAGGCCGATAAAAAGTTACTTGTGCGCTATCCCAAATCCCTATGCACATTTAATTAACTGGGGGTTTAAAGTATCACTCCAATGGCCATTAAAGTGTAAGGTCACCTGCCACGTCAAAGCAAACCTCTTACGTGAGTCCTACACTAACATTTCAACTTGCTTCTTTAAGGCAAAAAGAGAGGGGTATTTTTCTAAACACATACCCACTTATTAACCCTTAAGAGTGAGCACATGGGGTGGGCGGTAACACTGTAACATGACTGCGTATTACAGAAGTAAATACAAGCACACAAAATTAAGACCTCTTTTCACACGACCTCTACTCCTGAGCAGCAGCACTGACTATAGCACACACCAGCCCCAATACAAACAGCCCCAATATGTTTTATTGTATATATTGAAGCTGATGAATATAGCATTTGCTGCTGCCTATGAGTAGTAGGAGTTTGAGCGCAGGGCTTCCTTTTCTATGTTTGCATTTTCTTTTGTATTACACTGCCAAGTTACCGTACCAAAGAGGCATCACAACATGGTAAGGGTTTCACCCCACTGCATCGACCACACAGACAGAGGAACAAACGCAAATCAAGCCAACAGACAGCACCATCCCTCTGTTATTCCCTTACTGGGAAGGACTTGGGCCTTGCAAGTCTCTGAGTCTGTGGACAGATGAAGGCCTTCGAACGAGCCTGGCCTGTTGGGGAGTCCTGCCACACCACCATGCCTCTGTCACCACTGAGGACCCACCGGCTTATCCCTTGCTGCTGCCGAGCCTGCTAATTGGCTGATCTGTATGCTATATAATACACTGCCTTACTGTCCCCATTGGTTAGCCAATGATGAATATGTCCCCATTGGTTAGCCATTTATGTTTTGTTTGTTATATTTGCTTATTATTTATCCTGAGAGTGTTGTATGATATTGTGATTGCAGCCTAGACCACAGTGGCTCTCACATGATGAGCTATACTCTAGCATTGTTAATACTATATCTTTACTTCTTTTCTGAATGTCTACTTCTACTCGCATGCCTATTAGTATCGCAGTTGTTAATAGTTTAGACATGTGCACCTAGCCTGATACCTAGTATCCTTACAAAAGATATGACTGCCTAGCCCAGTGATAGGCAACCTTTGGCACTCCAGATGTTGTGGACTACACCTTCCATGATGCTTTGCCAGCATTATAGCAGTGAGAGCATTGTGGGAGATGTAGTGCACAACATCTGGAGTGCCGAAGGTTGCCTACCCCTGGCCTAGCCTGTTTATCATTATTATCATAAAAATGTGCAACTTCTTTATATGCCATGCAAATGTATATCCATGTATGCTATTGAAACGCTTGCCAATGCTGTTGTGGCATCGCATGCTTGTCTGTTACAGAAATACTCAGAGTCAAGAACTAGCCAAGGTCAATACCAGAAATAACAGACAGGAGCAAGGAACGCACTAAACAGGTACTAGGAAGAGAAACCACGATATGGCAAGTTACATGGGGCCAAAGAACTATCAGTAGTGTTAGTTGTGATTTGATTGGGCCACATCACACCTGAAACCAGGGCCAGCGCGTCCTATAGGCAACTTACGCAGTCGCCATGGATGCACTGGCCCAGGGGGCGCCAGATTTTAGTGACTTGGTAGAAGGGAAGCGCACAGCTCAGTGTAGCCGCCCGGCCACACTACAAAGAGGTAGGAGGCACAGAAGGGAAGGGAGACGGCACTAAGGAACACTGGTGGAGGGGGAACAGCACTTAAGGACACTGGGGGGAGACAGCATGAGGAACACTGGGGGGGAGACAGCTCTAAGGGACACTGGGGACAGCACTAAGAGACAAGGGGGACAGTACTAAGGGACACAGGAAGAGGCAGCACTAAGGGACACTGGGGCAGGAAGAGACATGACTAAGGGACACTGGGGGCGGTGGAGACAGCACTAAAGGACACTGGGGCGGGGAGACAGCACCAAGGGACACTGGGGGCACTAAGGGATACTAGGGGATACACCACTAAGGGATATGGGGAGACCACTAAGGAAAGATTGGGAGGGTGAGGAGAGACCACTAAGTGAAAGATGGGTGGAGGGGTTGGGGAGGAGAGACCACTAAGGGAAAGATGGGGGGGAGACCACTAAGATAAGATGGGGGAGAGACCACTTAGGGAAAGATTGGGGGACCACTAAGGAAAGATGGGGGGCACTAAGGGAAAGATGGGGGGGAGACAAATAAGGGACAGGAGGGGAGAGGAGATCACTAAGGGACAGGAGGGCAGTGGAGAGCCCTAAGGGACAGGGGGCAGGTGAGATCACTATGGGACAGGGGAGATCACTAAAGGACAGGTGGGGAGGGGAGATCACTAAGGGATAGGAGAGCACTAGGGAACAAGAGGGGTTGGGAGAGCACTAAGGGGCAGGAGGGGAGAGCACTAGGGAACAAGAGGGGAGGGGAGAGCACTAAGGGACAGGAGGGGATGGGAGAGCACTAAGGGGCAGGAGGAGAGGGGAGAGCACTAAGGAACAGGAGGAGAGGGGTGAACCCTAAGGGACAGGAGGGGAGTGGAGACTTCTAAGGGACAGGGGGAGAAGTGGAGATCAGACCACTATGGGACGGGGGAAGTGGTAGAGATAATTAAGGGACGGGGGGAATGTAAGACACACAGAGAGGCTGAGGAAGGCGTGAAAAGATGCACAGAAGGGCTGGTAAGGGAAACAGAGACAGAGACACACAGAGAGGCTCAGGCGAGAGACACACAGAGTCGCTTGTGAGGGAGGCACACAGAGGGGCCTAGGGGGGAAAGAGACACACCAAGGAGCTGGGAAGAGTAAGACACACAGGAACTTGGGAGTACAGGACACAAAGGGGCTTGGGAGAGTTAGACATGCAAAGGAGTTTGGAGGATGTAGGAGACATACAAAGATGGGGGATAAGAGACACACAATGTTCTTGTAAGAGATACAAAAATTTATAAAAAAATTATATCAACAAAATAAATATAATAAAAATAAAGAGCTGCTCCCCTTTCAGCCCCTATCCTACCCTATCTTACCCCACAAACCCTCTCTTTCACTCTATACACATACACAATGCATCCTTACACATATACAGAAACACATAATGCATGCCTAGACACACATGCACAGAAACATACAATGCATCCCTACTCACATACAGACACACCAAAACATACAATGCATCCTTCACTCACACCAAAACACACCATGCTTCCCTTACACACAGTGAAACACACAATGCATCCATTACACACACACACACACACACACACACAATGCATCCCCTTACACACACACAATGCATACCTCACAAACACATACACAGAAGCACACAATGCATCCCTTAAACACACACACACTGCTTCTCTTAATGTATCTCTTACACACATTCAATGCACCCATTACATTACATACACAGAAATACACCTGGCATCCCTTACACATACAAACACAGATTCACACAATGCATCCCTTACACACACTACATCCCTTACACAAACTGGTATCCCTATACACTACATTCCATAAGAACACACACACTGCAGACCCCTGTGATCGGGTGCCCGCCATCACCATTTGCCGTACAAGGGGTCCATCGGGTGGCCCATGCTATCAGGGCCACACGATGGATATGGATTTGGATTGTCAGGGGGCCCGGTCAGCGCTGGGTGCATTAACAGCGCGACCGGCCCCCTGTGATGAGATCATCACTGCTGGGTGGAAGTGACTACACGTCACTCCTCACAGCTTACACAGAGCCCGCGCGGGAGGAAGAACAGGGAGTCAGAGTGGGAACTCTGACTCCCATCAACCGCAGCCACCACTGGGCCCCAGAGAAAGTCAACCTCCTGCACCTAAAAGGTAGGAAACAGGAGGGTGACTTAAATATTATGTGTGTGTGTGTGTGTGTGTGTTTGTTTGTATGTCTGTGTCTATCTGTCTGTATGTATGTGTGCCTGTCTGTTTGTATGTATGTGTCTTTCTATGTATGTCGTGTGTGTGTGTATGTGTCT